GAAGTTAATCTTGTTTTTACAGACTAGTATATGCCCTTTAAACTTTTTAATAAGAGTTCAGTGAGGACTCTATCATGTCTGATGGACAGCTCTGTCAAATTTAATGCCATGCCCAAACACAATATGTCTGGAGAAAGACCCTCTGACTTTATTAAAATGTAACAAACCATTCTCTGCCCTCTGGACATTGCTGTGGTTTTTAGATGCCAGAACTGGCAGAACCAGATTAGCTTTGGTTGAACCTTCAAAAGAAGATGAGCTTCTTTTAGGAAAACATTGATTATTGTGTGGTTGATATACAGTACATCCTTCTAATCTTGGCTGAGGCTACTTTGAAAATCAGGTTGTCCATAACGCATTGGGTACAAAATGTTCAATCTGTATCTTTTATTAGGTTTTATTTTTAAATTAAAATCAAGACTTGAAACAGACAGCTGTATATCTGATTGTACCTGAAGTTTAGCCCAATAGTAACCAGGATTGTAGAGCAATGGATAAATAAAACAAGCCTACTAACTGATAAATGATTAACATCCGTCTCAGTCCAGCCGAAAGAAGGAATGCAGCGTCTTCATTCTCAGAACTAAATATTAATCTGTTGACCTATTCTCCACAGAGCAGAACGTTAACTCTGTTGGATCATTTATCAGGTGAGCTCTGCAAACATCCTGCCTACAATTAAATGCTAGATTCTGGCTAACAATCATACAGGAGTTCCTTGTTGAAAAAGATTATGTCAAGCCTCAGATAATAGAGTATAATGAATTTTTAAAAACTTACAGGTAAATATATTTTCCTCTAACGCCTTAACAGGGAACTAACCCAAATATTTTCTGACTTAAACTAAAGTTTGCCTTTAACTTGTATCCATACATGGCGTGCTTATGTGTGCTTCTTGTGGACATATAAGGATTTCAAAAAGTCCTACAGCGATCAGTTCCTCTCTGGATTCCTAAATGTTGAGGTAGTACAGATATATTAAGATTTTATCTTGAGCCCTTTAGTGCCCGACACCACAAATTATTGCCAGAAATTCCACATTTTTTGGAGCTGAAATGTTTATTTCATTTACTACTGAAAACCAAAAAATCACAATGTCCTTAAATTTAACCAAATATTTATTTATCTCATTTGATACATTAGATGTTTTTGGAAACTGATAAACTACAAGAGGACATTTTTATCATTTATCAGACTGTATTCAGGTGCTTTTTTTGTTATTTGTTGATCATATTGATTTGATAAAAGTACATCAAAGTATATATCAAATATGACACAAAAGGCATTAAAGGGTTAATTAACAATACTTTGTACCCCAAATGTTACTTTTCAATAACACATATAACTAATCCATTGCGTGTGTTCTCTTACCTGCTGGTGGGGCTGATGAAGGTAAAGGAGATGAGCTGGTTCCAGAAAGGATCATTCTCTGATATGGACTCAGTTCCCACCAAGGCCTTCAGGCTGGGGTTATCAGACAGGTCGCTGACCTGGCTGGTGTTGGCACCCATCTTTGCTGGCACCAATCAGCCAGACTCACCACTCCTCACTGCTTTTTCACCAGGCATATGCCAAATCCTGAAACAGAGGAACACTTGAATCCAATCCAATCCAATCCAATCCAGGTTTATTTATAAAGCACATTTAAAACGCGGGCCAAGGTGCTGTATAGTAAAAATTTAAAACAATAAAAACCGACAATTAACACGAACAAGAAAACAAAGACACAAGAACACACTAAAAACAGGGGGACATAGATGGTTCAGTAAAAACATGATTAAAAGGCCAAGTTCTCAGAAGTTAAAACCCAGGGAGTAAAAGTGCGTTTTCAAATTTGATTTAAAAACAGTAAGTGAGGGGGACAGTCGGACATGAAGAGGAAGAGCATTCCAGAGTTTAGGCGCAGCAATGGGAAAAGGCCCGGTCACCCCTGAACTTTAATCTTGACCTAGGGACAGTCAGAAGGCACTGGTCAGAGGATCTGAGAGTCTGAGATGAAATATAGGGTTTTGAAGGGTCAGAGAGATCAAAAGGAACAAGCCCGTTTAAAGATTTATAAGTTAATAACAAAATTTTAAAATCAATCCTAAAACGCACAGGAAGCCAGTGAAGAGAGGCTAAAATAGGGGAAATGTGGTCATATGTATGGCGACCAGATAAAACACGAATCACAAAGATGAGTCTTCAGAAAGAGACAAATAGTTCTTGCGTACTCATGCACATTAAAAAAAAGTCTAGAGGTAGATTTAGATGGCATAGAACTTAGATTTTGTGAGATTTTAAAAGAGCTGTTTCACATCTTAAAAATTAGGCTGAAACTGTTACTAATAATGTAAATCCTAAACTTATAAACGAAATGTTTGATTTAAGCAATTGTGATAAGCACAGTGGATCATCTCTCTCCTGAATTCATTCATGAGAGAAGCTGAGCTCACAACAGGATGAGACCTATAGAACCAGGACCTGTTTTTTTTTCCTTGAAAAGACACACCTTGGACACACAGGTGAAGCCAGCATGGCAACAACTGTATCACAAAAGCAGCGCACATTAGCAATTCAACAATTCAGAGGAATAATGAGCTGTTCCAGTTTTATTTTTTCTACATAAGAAGCACAAACTTAAGATTTAAGGATGAATACAGACCAGCAACAGTATGAACACAGAGGCAATGTAACACAATGCAACATATATGTCAAAAAGCAAGCTATGTCCCTCTGTTCTTGTTGTAGTTTGTTAACAATGTGATATAATTCTACCAGGTTAAAGTTTAATCTAGCTCATAATATGAGTTTATTTGTTTCTCTTCCTTCAGTACAGCAGCATCTATCATGTTAGCTAGCTCATCCTGTTTCATTGTCTGGTATTGGTCTTTAACGAAGTGGTGTCCTCATAGTCCTTTATTTATGTGAAACCCCTGCTTTAAAAGTCTCTGGTGTATATATAGGTGTCCGGTTCATCGGTGTGTACACACTCGTTGTCCGGTAAACAGCTAATGTTCACGGCTTGTTTGCAATCAGCTGACCGCTCGGCTTACCTGTCATCAATTCTTCTCGCAGTTTCCACGGATCTTCAGACACTCAGAGCCACAAATAGACGACTGGTTTTTCACACGGGTCAGAATTTTTGTCCAATGTGATGCCAACTGTGATTAAATAACGCTTAAAATGAAATTATGCTGTATTGGAGACAGTTAAGTTTACTCTACATAGTGCTATCCACCATGTTTTCCACGTCGCCACCCCTTGCGTGATGACGACACACAAGCCGTTGACTACGTATGTGACGTTGCAGTTAGAAACGGGACTGAAAGATTTCAAGTAGAAGCCGTAACTCTAACGTAAGAGAAAACAATCAAATTAATCTAAGAAGAAAATGAATAAGTTGACAGACCTTGTATCCCATGAAATAAAATTATAATTAATGTGACAAATGATTAGCTGAACATTTCTGAATGTATGTTCACAATAGATATGCATTTTTTATTTGTAATCAACTAAAGAGACTTAAAATAATAATCAAATTCAATTAAAAACAATTTAAATGATGGTGAAGAGTTTTGAAATTTGCATTGATGGATGTGAAATTTCCCTAATAAAATAAAACGGTTTACTATACTACATTATTTTTCTTTGAATTCAAAATAAGTAATAATGTTGATCCCTTCAATGTTGATTTTATGTTTTGTTTTACACCATATAGTTCTCAAGTTCTTTCCAAAATCTACTGCTATATGAACAAATAAAACAAATGAGCTATATTTTCAGGTTCAATTTTACAACTAAAATTAATCAAATCTACTGCTATATGAACAACCATAAAACAAATGAGCAATATTTTCAGGTTCAATTTTACATCTAATACTAATCAAATCTACTGCTATATGAACAATCATAAAACAAATGAGTTACATTTTCAGGTTTAATTTTACAAAAATTACATTTATCATCAATGTCAAGGAATCTTGAAAGATACATCTAAGGTGGGTATATGTTATGTAGTATTTTTAAGAGTAATTCTTTAATTTCATTTGTGAAACAAAATTTAAAGGGAACAAGCCATGCCTTGTGCCAATTAATATCCATGAAAATAGCATTCCAAAAGAATTTCCCTATAGGTGTTATTTTCTTACCATTGTAGAAACATTCTCTGATATGTTTGTAAGTACATTTTTTAATCAGGATGTGAATACCGTTTATGTAAAGAATGTTAGAAGATGTGCAGGGCTGTACATTAACTTTTTTGTCCATAGCTGTTGCTACAGAGGTTAATAATCTTGTAGAATGAGACAAAAACTTGTAGCACACACAGTAGGAAGAGGCTGAGACAAAGTTTTGTAGACCTTAATGGATGTCATTTTTTAGAAGCACCATAGTGTCTTTTACTCAAAATATTTACCATCCATTTTGATCTGACAAATCAAAAAAATGATGTACAATTGTTTTTTTTTTTTTATTGTCACACAATGAAAGTATTTCCTTTTGAGTGATCTGCAGAGATGCCTCCTAAGAAGAGGAGGATGAAACAAAACCAAAGGAGCTGCATGAGGCTGCAAAAGGCAGTGGATAACCTGTCAGCTGGATGACAAAGTATACAAAAGGTAAGAGTAACGCATGTACCAGCTATTTACATTGCAGAGGTATTCAGTTAGAGAAAGAATAACAAGTGAAATTTCAATGTTGTCATTTTGTTACATTATCTATCATTACATCCTCGCATTAAAGTTTATTTATTTACTTTGATTGGTTATATTCCTTGTCATTATCTTACAGCTGTCTGTCTTAAAAATCAGAGACATCGCTTGTGGGGCCGGTCCATTTACGCACTTAAAAACAACTTTCTAAGAGGAGAATTTTATAAAATTGGAAAAAGTGAACAAATTATATTTCTCAATGATGCCAAATTTTCTGATTTAAAGTTTTTAAAGCTTGTTTATGGAGTGAGAATAAAAGTCTAGTGGCCTGGCCCTAGGCAGTGATGCAACAGTAAGCATGAAGACAAGTTGTTATTTAAAAGTTTGAATTCATTTATTGAACTGAAAGACCGACTTAAAAAAAAAAACTATGTCATTTAACATGTAAAATTAAATACAATAACATGTTTCAACTCATGATTAACAGACAATAGTTATCAACAATAGAAGTTACTGTTATACAAATGAAAATTTGATAAACACTATACACACAAGGAGGGTAAATGACTCCCTTAAAATCAATGAATATGTATAAGTTAATTCATAGCATCTTTTTATTATTTATCTTTGTATTTATTAGATCTATAATAATGCAATATTTACACTGGTTAAGATGCAGTATAAACATTCAGCGGTGTCAGTCTGTCTTTTTATCTGCTGCTATAGTTGATCCATTGGCAGTGGCCACACCATTGCTTTCAGGCTGAAAAATAGAGAGGAAAGTGTCATTTAAAATGGTGTTAGAAATGACATCTTCTCATCTTGAATAAGGTTTACATTAATGATGATTTTTGTTGTTTACAAAAAAGGTGAGGTAGCTTAGGTGGTGTTTAATTCAACAGTATACTAGATCTGCTGTGACAGACATCATAGTTCTTGATCTTGAAGCATTTATCTTACAGTCCATCATCAATGCGAGAAAACATGAAAGTTTACAGCACATTACCACAACACCCAACTTATAAGATTGTATTGTTTTCCAGTATGGCACAAAATTTATGTACTGATGAAATAAAAGATTAAAGAAAAAATCTAATGATAATTCAAACGTTCTTAAAGACAAATGTTCACTGCCTTTTAACTTACTTTGCAGGTCCCATTACTCGTTTCAGCTTTTTTGTCACTAGTGCCAGTCTCCTGGACTGCCTTCTTGGTCCAGAAAGTATTAATAATTGGTGCAATGAAAGGGTAAAGGATGGGCTCCAGGAACCTCTTGTAGACCCACAACAGGACAGGAATCACAATGCAGGGAATGCAAACCATGACTGCGGCTCAGAAATAAAAATGCAGCAGAATGAAGAATCTGAAGCAGATAAAGAACACAGTGAGAATCACAGGTTGTTGTCCATATTACAATACGTCTTTATCCCAGTGACAATGAGTTAAAAAATTATTGCTAGATTTTCATGGACCAACCCTTGGTTCGAATTTGAAATGGAAAAATGCATCAACAGTAAAATCATGATTAAAACTTGTATACAAAGATGTGAACTTTTCAAGTCTGCAGCCAAAACAGCCAACCATTCAGTCTGCTTTCTCTAGCGCAACGACAAAACGTCAAAAAGACACAAAGACCTCACAGGTGCAGTGGCTTATTGAATTGCAAAAGACATGCTACCAATAAGCACTGTTGAAATTCATTTTTTATATCGTGATATATATCGATATTGACTGATATGAAGAAAATCATACCGTGATAAACTTTTTCCCATATCACCCAGCCCTATCTGCTTAAAGTTATTTCACATCATTAGCAGAAATATTTCAGTTTTTAATCCATTTATTATTAATTGTCTTTTGAGATATCACCATAGACTGCTTGTAAATTAATTTTTGTATCAATCTTTTTAGCATCTTTGCAGTAATTTAGGCCAGGTCTGAGAAGTCTATGTATTGTGGTATAGGATCTGGACCTGGTTTTATGTGGTCTTGACACAAAAGGGAGTTTAACTGTCTGTTTTTCTCTTTACAAGGGGAACAATATCTGAAACTTATGTCTGGGTGTTGTGGTTCTGGATTAAGATGTGGTTTCTATAACCTTTTCTTTAAAAGCCCAACCGGAAGCTGCAAATAAGATGCTATCTTCAGTGACGACAGTTAGCCAATACTAGCTGTCTCTCATCACTCAGTTGTTAATAAACAGCAATGAAAATCGTCTTTAACTTTTGTAACATGCATAATTTTCTATCCCTTTCTCTGAAGCGGTACTAAACTCACGTCTCATAATCATAAAACACGATGGTAGTCACCAACTATCGCTGTATAAACAGAAAATTTACCGTTGCTGCGTCCGAACTGCCCGCTCGGATACTACATGCTACTGCTACGTGCTACTGCTAGATCCTACTCCTACATACTAAAAACGTTGGCCCAATTCGGACACACTAGACGAGCGGTGGGGAAAGACGACCCCCGCAGGCAGAGAGTAGGTACTGCGCCCGTGCAGACAGTGGTAACTGAAGCTCCTCATCTGCGGGCCTGGCTGTAGTACTGCAGCTGTGCAGTTTAATGATGGAATAAGTGAGCTTTACCTCCATGATGTCGCCACATATTTGCTCATAAAATGATTACTTGGGCAAATATGACACCATGACATGACAAAGAGATACAACCGCACATTTTTTAGGACAGTGTGTGAAGTTACATGAAACTTACATCTGTACTGCTGCGGTCCCGCCTGCTGCTGCTGCTGCTCCGACATGGTGCGCGCTGCTGTGGCCAGCCGGCGTTCGCGACACTTTTAAATAGGCAGAGCAGCTGGTGGCGCTAGCATCACATGCGCTTCTACAACTTTTAAGAGGACGAAGAAGAAGCCCGCGGTGCATTTTGGGTCAGTAGCATGTCCGTAGGATGCACCGAGACCAACCTACAATGTGGGCGTGTCTAGCATCTGAAGTAGTATCTGAAGTAGCATGCTACTCGCTCCGGTGGCCAATTCGGACATGCTAGATACTACTTCGACTACTACTTCGACTACTACTTGGCAATTCGGACGCAGCTCGGGTGTTTTGGACCGAGCTGCGAAGCCTCTCGAAGGTCTTTACGCATGTGCAAATTCTACTTCCGTGGCACGACGTAATCCGGAAGTTGTTGTCTTTCGGAGCGCTTTTCTTCAAAACATATCCATGTGGGTGTGTGGGTTACATCTTATAACAACTAATTTGTGTGCACTGTTTGTTTTTCATTAGCTTTTTAAACGTTATGTACCGTTGAAGCTTGATGGAGAAAGCTATTTTCAGTCGTTTTTTTAAACTTTGCGATTCCCTGTTAGCCTAGCTTAAAAGAGCAACAACAGCCGGCAGAATGTTTGTCTGTCTTTAAGTTCATTTTTCCTTTCTAACCATGCGATTTCCATTGAATTCAGGGGGGCATCCAGTTGCTGTGACACATATATAAACCCGCTTAACTTATTTGGCTTTAATAAGTTTTGTTAAGTCTATCTAAACCTGTTTTGTGTTCTTTTTTAATCAATTTTAGAGACACTATGCCTCTGTTGACTCAATCACAAGCCGATGATGAAGAGTACGTTTTAGTGGCCAGCTTAGACAATGCTCGAAATCTGTCAAACATCCTGAAAGCCATCACTTTTAAAGACCATGCCATATTCAGCGCCACTCCAAACGGCCTGAAGGTGACTGTGGAGGACTCCAAATGTATGCAAGCCAATGCTTTCATCCAGGTACGACTGCCAAGCATTGGTTGTAATGTTCATGTGTTAATATAGATGTCCTTGATGTTGTTTATGAATCCCCGGTGGTGGTTATTACTGACAGTAAGGAACATATCTTGAATTCCAGGCTGAGATTTTCCAAGAGTTTACCATAAAGGAGGATTTGGTGGGCTTCCAGGTCAACCTGACAGTTCTGCTGGACTGCCTCAATATCTTTGGAGGGAGCACTGTGCCAGGTACGTATAAACTAATCTTGAATGGGGGGTGAGCAAAAGGAGGAGATTATTTTTTATACCAGAGAAAATCTAGAATGTGTGTTGGAGGTGGCAGGGAAAGAAATGAAAAAATCAGACATTGGTTTGATGTAGGTAAATTATCTCTGGGGGGGATAGAGCCTTCTCCGTTGCCGCCCCCAGCCTCTGGAATTTACTCCCCAAACCCATCCGAGACTGTACTGACCCCCACACTTTTAAATCCCTCTTAAAAACACACCTTTTTAAATTGGCTTTAAAATGGTGAATCTGTTGTTTTATTGTGTCTTTTTGAACCTTTTACATCATTGATTTAATTTCTCATTATTTTCTGTATTTTAAATTTTTTTTTTTTTTTTTTTCATTTCTTTTTCTTTTTCTTTGTAAGGCGTCTTTCAGCACCGGTAAAGGCGCATTATATATAAAATGTATTATTATTATCTTTAAATATTGAAAAAACAAACTTTGTGCTATTGGGCAACAAAGGCAAAAACAAAAAAAAAACAATACAAGTGGAAGTCAATTGTGTTTAGCTGATTAATATATTATGAAAGAGGGGCAGACTCTAAAAGGGTTTTCTTCTTTCTGCTCCTTTTCATTCACATGTCTGAGATTTTTCCTTGTTTGTTTTGTTCGTATTTTAATTATTAACTGAATGAAATAAAGTATGAAAATGAAAAATGAAATGTTGCCATATTTAACTGTATTCAGCTCTAGTCCTTTATTTATTTTTGCTATGGTCCCTTTCCAAGTATGTTCTAATATTTTCATTGTCTCCCACATGGTATGTTGCAGGAGTATCGACAGCGCTGCGGATGTGCTATAAGGGATACGGTTACCCTCTGACCCTATTCCTGGAGGAAGGTGGGGTTGTGACTGTGTGCAAGATCAACACTCAAGAACCAGAGGAGCCAATCGACTTTGAGTTCTGCAGCAGCAATGTTACAAACAAGGTGCACTTTTCAAATCAGATATCTGATAGATGAAAGCCTCTGTGCATCATTGATTAAAACCCTTGTATCACTGGCACTTTTCAAAGGTGATCTTGTTGTCAGAGAGTCTGAAGGAAGCCTTCTCTGAACTGGATATGACCAGTGAAGTGTTGCAGATCACCATGTCCCCCAACCAGCCATACTTCAGGTGTGTTTTTTATATTTAAGACATATAGTCCTCTTTAAATACATGTTTCTTTTGATTCTTAAAGTTGAAGGAAGTTTTTTTGAGTGAAACTTATCCAATATAGATTTAAATTGATCCATTATTTGGCTCTTTTCTTCAGGTTGTCTACATTTGGGAACTCTGGAAATGCCCATTATGATTATCCTAAAGACTCTGACATGATGGAGCTGTTCAAATGCACAAAGACACAAACCAACAGGTAGGCACAGAAAATCTAACTTTCCCGTTAGGCCCTTGAGGTTAACAAAAGAAAACATAACAGAACAAAACCAGCAAAAATGTGGGCATTCTCTCCCACTTCATAATCATATTTACCCTCAAAGTTAGGATAAATGATTTGTCAAGCATGTAATGTTGGCAAGAAAGACAGTTTTCAAACTACCTATTTTAAAGTCCCCTGTTTTTACTCACTAAATGAACTGCAACCATGTCTAAATCATGTCTACCTATAGCCCTGTGTACTCATTTATGTCTGTTAATGTTCCGGTACTAACTGTCATTGAAGCCTAACTTCTCTTCCGCTCTGTCCGTTATCTGTAACAGGTACAAGATGTCTCTGCTGAAACCGTCCACTAAAGCTCTGGCTCTGTCCTGTAAAGTGTCAGTGAGGACAGACAGCAGGGGCTTCCTCTCTCTGCAATACCTGGTCAGGAATGATGACGGACAAATCTGTTTTGTGGAGTACTATTGTTGTCCTGACGAGGAGGTCGAGGAGGAGTGAACACAGACCATTCAGTGTACCTTGAAGGATAGACGAGGACCTCACAGGCATAATGAACAAACTGGAAAGGCTGTTTTGACTATTGTTTTGCCAAAAACATTGGTGTGGAGCACTGCCTCTGGATTTGTGCAAGACAGTGAGCACTTATGTGTGGACTACTTTCATAGCAATTTTCATGTAAAATGTGCAGTTACTGTTGAATATATTTACCTAAACTCCCAATATTATGGGTTTACAAATCTGTCTGCGTCCAATACTCAATGTCATCTTTCTGTGGCATGTCCTTTCTATATACTCATGTAGTTAGCTGTTTGATAGCCCATAAAAACAATGACACACCTGATCATTGATGCATTTTTAAGGTGGCTGTAAGTGTACACGATCTCTACTCTCCATAGACCTCCAATTCTCCAGTACACCTGCACATCTATGCCATAATCATCCCCCAGATAAATACGTCAACACCTTTGGCTTTATTTTGGAGTGGTATACAGAGGATGACACTGAAAGTCTGTTTGAATTGTTTTATTTCATTGACATACAAAAAACTGTAGTTACTCAAAACTAATACACTTCTTTTTTACACTGATGAAATATCTTTTAACAAAAAGGATGGGCAAATATGTGTAAATACAGCAGTGTTGTAAAAGCTGACTTTTATATTCTGCTTCTACAATCTGCAGAATCTTCCTGGATTAAGGAAGAACCAAATCTAGACTGTGTGAATCCACAAATGTGGCGACAACATGTGCATATTCAAGTTTTATCACGTTGTCAATTTCATGGTAAGAGATGGCATGGTGCACCTCATCTCTTTGCCTATGTCTTCAAACCTGACAGCACAGATCATGGCAGCAGTAAACCTCTCATGAAGTTGAATCCAGTCCATTTAGTTACCTGCGTGCCCTCTGCATCCTCTGTCTTTTGAAAGCTTTGTGTTTGTTCTTCTTTACCACCTTCGGTTCTGGTGCTTCTGTCTGGATGTGAACAGGCTTTTCCTCAGCTGGTGTCAAGAAGACGTCTGCTGTAACGTCTTTGGCCACGTCCTCCTTCGCTTCAGTCCTCTTCATTTTCTGCAGCTCCTTCACCATCTGCTTCTCTCGCACTCTGGCTGCAGCTGCCAGACGGATCTCTCGCCGGTGCTGCAGGTGTGTGAAAAGATATATGACTCACAATATCGTGAAATGAATGATGTAGCAAAGTCATGTATGAGAGACCTAATGCCTACAATGTAAACTAGCATGCCCTTGATTTTACCATGTTGGGAGACTGGAAGTCTGGGTTTTCATAGAGCGTGGGTCCTCCAAAGCTGCCCTGGAAGATCTTAATGAGGTTGAGGACAAAGCGAGGGCCGATCTCTACCAGAGAGGCATCCTCTTCAATGATCTGAAAGTGGTCAATTTAACAAAAAGAGTTAAATCTTAAGATTATGGTTGAAAGAACAATTTAATTAAGCAAAGGCAGGATTAGTAAAAAATTACCTGGTAGTTTCTAAACCATATCCTTTTATCTGCTATGGTGAAGGTGAAGACGTGATCCACAAAAGGCTGACTCTTTGGGTGGTAGCGTGGAGTGGAAAATGTCTGCAACAAGGTTATACAAGTACTTGATTCAATTTCAAAACATAGATATAATCCCAAACAAAGCTAGCTCGCTTCTGGTTAAATTCAGTGCTGGATCGAAAAAATTTACTCAGTATTAACTTCTGGGTCATAATACATCAAGTAAACCTCCATTTTTAGCAACATAATGCCATGTAGTGTTATTCAGCTTCACAAAAACGGGGCAAAAATGAAAATTTAAGTCAATGATTCATAAACTATATCCGTGGTTTTTACAAGTCAATCGGCAAATATCAAGTGACTTGTTTGGATCATGTCTACACACCTGGGTGAAGAGCTCCTTCAGTACAGCAAAGTGGGGCTCCTTGTCAAATTTCTGTGAGAGATGCAAAGAGATTAAGAGATCAGGCCATATTTAAGCTGTCATGGTCATATGTTTAAGTGCACTGAAGTGTAAACTGTTAAGCAATTCAGCAACAGAATAGAAGATCATTAAGACAAAAAGAACTGTTGATAATTTAACTCAAGAATCAGTCAAAATACTTTCATACAAAGTTTTGATTTCATTATCTTTTCAAACATGATGATTTTCTTACTTTAGAAAATGGTGCACTATCATAATACCATAAACAAAATATCTTATAGTTCGGTAATAACAAAACTTCAGGACTTGATCAAATGTTTAAGCAAATTTTTCTTATAAGCAAAAAAAATTAATGGTGTTATGTTTAGTGTGAACACCAGTATTCTGCCACATAGCCGCCAACTGTAAACATGTTTAATCTTGATGTCATCTAAATTACTGGCAACATTTGCCAGTGTTACTCACAGGGTCGAAAGAAAGCAGCGGTCTGGATCCTTTCAGGCAGTTCCCTGTCATCTTGAGCTCAGCCAAAGTATGAACTATAGAGGAAATAACATGCTTCAATTTTCTAGCCCACACATGACAGATGTGGCATACTGCCATCCAAGACCAAGGGAAGGTTACTCACTATTCTGAACCAGAAACTTTGCAGAAGGTCCATGTGGACTGTTTGAGATCCTGTGGGGCAAAAATGATTAAATTTTCTTAGATGTCTTCAACAGAAAGCTGGCTCGATTTTAAGGAAAATTACTGCAGAAAAAACAACAACCTACCACATGTAAAGGTCCTGCTTCTTCTTGGCTTCAAAGAAGAGGCATTTGTTGCAGTTTTTGATTTCACACACCTGTGAACAGATGCTTTTATTAGCTACACATGAATGAGTTTGACCTTTGCAATCTAAGGAAATTTCAAACTCACCTCATTAACTATAAAGAGTTTGTCTTTCCTGTCCATTTTTGTATCTAGAAAACAACAGAAAAACCTTTGCTATTATGACAACACGATCGTAGAAAGCTACAACATGAATTAGTAAATGATGTTAGATAAAGTAAAAAAATAGGGGAGAGTGGGGTAAGATGAGCCATTTTTCACATTTCGGATCACTACATCAAGGCAATCATAGTTTTGTCTCTAACTAGTGTATCTGCATATATTTCAAGATGTTGTGCATCCCTGCAAACCAACAGAATGAGTGTAAACATAACTGTCATGATAAGATAAGCCAAAAAAGTGGTCTCCTATGATCAACTTACCCCGTATCCCTACTACTGATCACCAGAGGTTTCGGACACTACATGGCAATGTACATGGCAAGACGCAATGCATGACAGGATGCCCCCCACCAGTGAGTGACCATCGGATGGTCACTACATTTTGCAATGCTCTATGGAAAATTTTGAGTCGCATATATGGGGCATTGGAATTGATCACTCAGGTTTCAGACACCTCTCAAAACGGCGCTAACCCCCATATAGTCGCCTATATAGGAGTTAGGAATCCATTTCAGACACAGACTTTATTAGTCCTCTGAGTTAAAATGGTGGACTTTTATGCTAGGTTTTGACCTCATTTTGTAGCTCATAGATACCACAATTGATGTCTAAAACAAATTCAAAATGATCTTTCTTGGTCTGACCACAATTCTAATCAAATTTATGACTAACTAAATTCACTTTCAAGACTGAAAAATGTTTTTATGGAAATAAATGTCTCAACCCTTCACCCATGTGCTTCTAACCTTTACAGACTCCATGAATTGATGCCCATCTCCTAAATATTTGGTCACATGATCAATTTCTTTTACCATTTCCAAGTAACAGGAGGTGGCTCAGCTTACCCCACTCTCCCCTTCATGAAGGAAGCAGAGAAGAAGACCAACCTGCTTTTGAATGGGGCATCATAGTCCTCAGGTCCTGCATCAGGTGTCTTGTTCTGAAGTTGATCCCTCTTGAGGAGAAAATAAGAACCCTTTCCTTGTTGGTCCATTTGCCCTGTTTAAGAAACATCAACCCATTATATTTATCGGCTAATACAAGCTCCCATGTTATGGGTTATTCCTCGACATCTAGAGGCAGGCCTCCTAATGTCCAATATTTATTTTACTTAAATGGTCTTGCTGTCTTTTTGCTTACATCAAACTTAAACAATATCATTTATAGGTCAGTTTTAGTCTCAGAGTTTAAACCGATTAACTGTGACAATGAAATAATAATACCAACATATAACCTCATCTGTGGACTTGAGTTAGCGTCCTCGCCTCCTACCTCAGAGGCAAATAACAAGCACGAGCTCTCACCTTAGACACGGGTGCAGGGATCGTGACTTCATTCTTCTCTTCAGCTTCATCGGGGCTTTCATCTCCACTCGCCACAAATTTGACTTTCTTGACATTTTTGTCAGCAGAACCCTGTCCACGTTTTCTCTTGAAGGCCGACATGTTTGCACCAGGTTTGTAGTCTGATCCAACTCTCGCGTGGCTAGAAATGAAAACGTCCGGCTCAAACAACACCACGTGCGCACGGTGAACGAGGGGAGACCCGTAATGGCGCGGAGGTGGTATTGCAGTAGCATGAAAGCCCATCTACACACTGAAATAAAATTGTTTTAAAACAGCCTTATTTTTAGTGACATTTGTAAAGAAAAAAGGGTTTTCCGCTACATTTTATCTCATTTTGCATTACGAATCTAAACCTTGTCTTTCAGCAGCACACCATCCCCAATTATTTTATTTTATTTTATTTTTTTAAATACAGCAGAGGGGGCCATTATGACAATTCCACCTTGAATCTGCCGAAATGATTAAACGAAGAAGTCCAGTTCTCGCGAGATATCGCAGAACCAGAGCCGGCAGCTCCATCAGACGGTGTTGGAGTAGTTGACAGAGTGTAGATGCTGTTTGTTGTTAAAAATATATTATCGTACTTTTAGGATTTAAACATGTACGGCTAAAGACCACACTACTGCCACTTTCTCTTTCGAAGTTTGTCATATGTAAGAAATCAATTTTAGAGGCCTTCTGGTCGCTTGCATGCTGCTATGAGCTAATGCTAAGGTTAGACAACGTGAACAACACAACATTTATTACGGAATATTTCATCCTTATCGAGCTGTTATAACATTAAACTCACAATGAAGTGCCATTATGAAGTACTGGGTGTGAAAAGAGACGCTGGAGATGATGAGTTGAAGAAAGCGTATCGTAAATTGGCGTTGAAATGGCATCCAGGTGAGTGGAGATGGGGGTCTGGTTGTTCTGAAAGTCTTCCTGATTTAATGAGATCAATATTTAATTTTGTGAATTAATGTCCATGCAGGATATGATGGTCATAGATATAGAGGTGAAAAATAAGAGGTGATGAGCAGTTTAATTGTATAATAGTGTGATATGACCTGTTACAAAGCACCAAAAGTACATTGTCAAGTATTTTGTACCAAATGCGTGCAACGTTATTTGTTTAGCATCTGGATGACAGATGTTATAACAGTCAGGTTGAAGTTAGAGATCATTATTTACCTCTGTGGTGTGATGGATTGTTTATAATTCATGTCTGCAACACTGCACCATATAATGGTTACAATTAATGTTATTCATTTGATAATTCCTGTGTGGTCTAAAAGATGATGTAAGCTGACATTTCAGTTCTGATTATTGAGCTAAATTCAGTTCTCACCATGAGATGCTGATAAATCAAACTTCTTTCTTGTTCATTTCCAACCACTAAAGACTTATTTTCCTCTGAAATTTCCAGATAAAAACTTGGATAATGCAGAAGAGGCTGCAGAGCAGTTTAAGCTGATTCAGGCAGCTTATGATGTCCTGAGTGATCCACAGGAGAGAGCATGGTGAGGAGGAAATTGATCTCAGCATGTACACAGCCTTGTTCCTTACAGCGAAGAAAATCCTTGCTGGTATTTTTATAAACAATGTGGATCCAGATTATTTTAATGTCAGGGTTCCTATGCAAGTATGGAAAAGTATGGAAGTAATTTGATAAATTTCCAGGTCTTAAAGAGTATGGTAAAAGAAAAATTAAGTATGGAAAAACATTTATGTTAACAGACTATATTACCACAGTTATAAAATACTGTTTTCTAGAATAGAAAGTAGGCATTTCTAAAAAAAAAAATCTAGAAAGTAGGGTATAGAAAAGTATGGAAATTCCAACTGTGTAGGAACCCTGTAATGTGATACCTCTCACTGTGTTTGGCAGGTATGACAATCACAGAGAGGCTCTGCTGAAAGGAGGACTGAGTGGAGACTATGAAGATGACAGCATTGACCTGCTGCAGTACTTCACAGTTACCTGCTACTCTGGCTACGGAGATGATGAGAAGGTATGTGTTCATCATCAGGAAAGTCCTGTTGCTCTGGACTCATAAATGGACACATTAAATGGAGTCTTTTTAAGCATGACTTGGGGATCTTTTGGGGAAAGAATAATGATCTGTGTTACTGAAGGATGATTGATCCACACTGTCTCTTTTGTCTCTGTGGAGTAGAGGAAAAGAATATCTTTTTAGGCTCATATAAATACTTAAAGTTAAAAGAAATGTAGATTTTGACACCCAGTAAAGTTCTTTTCAAAACACTCGCAAAGCTGCTCAAGTGCTCAATTATTGAGGTTTCTTGACAATAATTACAGAGATGTGAATGAATGACACAATACATAATCACACAATATCCAACTTGATTAGATGTATTCTGATTTTTAAAAGAAGTAAATGTAAGCAAAGATTCATGACCCCACACAACTTAATAACAGGCCAGACTGTCTGTCCTGTCTGTGCCAGTGAGAGGAATTATTCAGAGATTATCAAAAGGCTGATTAAAGGCAAGCCAAGTGATTGGATTAGCTAGATTAGCTAAAGGAGTGTGAATAATAAACTGTACAATACAGAACTGAGAGAAATCCAGTCTATTTAAACCATTTGTATTTTTATGCTGCTTGTGGCTCCATCTTCCTAATGCAATCTCTAAACAGTCCTGCTCTGTGTTTTTCCTTTTTTATCCACTCTTCCTCCCTAGGGTTTTTACACAGTCTACAGAAATCTCTTTGAGTCCATTGTTAAGGAAGAGATGGAGCATGGAAAGGTGGACAATGAGGAAGAGGAGGAGGAGTTTCCTCCCTTTGGAGACTCTCAGAGTGACTATGATACTGTGAGCACTTAAAAAGAGCTATAATAATCCCATCATTTTATTTTTTTACGCTACTTTTTCATTTTTCTAGTTATGTAGATGCACTCAGCCCTGATTTCCATGTCACAGGTAGTTCACGTGTTTTACGGCTACTGGCAGAGCTTCTGCACCCGTAAAAACTTTGCATGGAAGGAGGAGTACGACACAAGGCAGGCCTCCAACCGCTGGGAAAAAAGGGCCATGGAGAAGGAGAACAAGAAAACCAGAGAGAAGGCCCGAAAAGAGCGCAACGAGCTTGTTCGACAGCTGGTGGCTTTTGTGCGTAAGCGTGACCGCCGAGTGCAGGCCCACAGGAAGCTGGTGGAGGAGCAGAACGCTGAGAAGGTCAAGAAGATGGAGGCGATGAGGCGGCAGCAGAGGCTAAACCAGGCCAAGTGAGCAATAGACAAATAGTTTGACACTTTTAATTATGTTTCCTTAGCTTCTCTCTCATATTAATAATACTACTCTGTATGTTTATCCAAGACTGGCAGAGGAGTACAAAGAGCAGAGCTGGGCCGCCATGTCTGAGCTTGAGAAAGAACTGCAGCAGATGGAGGCCCAGTATGGAGAGGAGTTTGGAGACGCATCAGAGAGTGAAGATGAGGAGTTGGATATGGAGACACAGGAGAAGAACGGTGACGAGGGAGGAGGTCAGTGGGATTTGGTGGTGCTTCTCATTTCGAAGTACAGAAATACGAGAAAGACAAGAGCTTCAGTTTGTCTGTTTTGGCAGCTTCTGTTTCCTGGCTTGTTTCTGATGCTGGTTATTGATTCCCAGATGCAGAGCAGGCAGATGAAGACGAACTGTTAGCTGACTATTACGATGATCTGTACTGCCCGGCCTGCGACAAATCCTTCAAATCAGACAAAGCGTGAGTATCTTCCTCCACCTGTCCACTTGCTTGTAGTTTTCTGATCCAACATGTGAAGTCTTCTTGCCAAGCTTTAGCAAAGTTAGTACACGGGTTGATGTGCTGAGCTGTGTGTGTGAAAAATACAGATTTAAAAGTCCGATTAAAAAAGTCGAACAGTTTTTTCATGGTTTTGTTCATTTTCTTCTCTGCAGTATGAAAAACCATGAAAAGTCCAAAAAGCACAGAGAGATGGTGGCGTTGCTGCGCCAACAGCTGGAGGAAGAAGAGAAATCACTTGGTCTAAACCCCAACGGAAAAGAGAGAGAAGAGGATGAAGAGGAACAAGAAGAGAATGAGGAAGACGAGGAGGAGGTAGACAAGCCAAGGCAGAAGTATGTATTTGAATGTTCTGATTGAAAAAAGTCTGCTACTTTTCAGTCTTGTTGACTGGGTGGAATTTTGAATATTTTCTCAGTTGGTGTTTGACTGTTTGTCTCCTATCCCGCACAGACTGTCCAAAAAACAAAAGAGGAAAAAGAAGCAGCAGAAAGCTGTAAATGTGAGTCATATTATTTCTACCTGCAGTTGTTTTTTTTGTTTTTTTTAATTAATCTTTTTATTAGAGGTCAGGCCAAAAGTCATTCCACAACATTTAAATAGCACCGGAGTATACAGTCTCTCAATAAACAACAAACGTCATAAGGATAATTGCAGAGATGTCGTCCGCCAACCTCCCTTCGTTTTTCTTGTTTTTTAACAAACGATAAAAAAAAGAAAAGCCATGAAAAAAAAAATAAAAAAAGAAAATAAAAAAGAAAACAAAATAAAAATATAATCCGACAAACACGAGATAATCTTATGTTTAAACAGGTACCTGCAGTTGTCTGTGCCTGTTTTGGTCAACTCTCACACATTTAAGGTGAATATTTCTGAAAGATCTTCCTAATTTTAACTTTTATAATTTCCCTTTTCTGCAGACTGCTGCAGAGGAGGTGAAGGAGGAGGAGAAACCGACTGTGACTACCCATGAAGAAGACACTACAGAGAACACGGCAGAGCCTGAGGAGCAGGATGATCCCACTCCTGTAGAAGTCAAGAGGTCATAAAAGTTTCTCTGTCTTTTTCTTTCTTTTTGTGCTATATTTAGATCTGTTAAGTGTTCCTAAGTTTTCATATCACACAGTTTATATTTGTATCAGTCTACTGAGCTGCAGTGGTCTTGAATGTATTTAGCTGCTTTGATTCACTAATTTGGACACTAGGGGGCAGCAGAGGGAACTTAAACACTTGAGGAGTTGTTACGGCCTTGTCTTTTTACTCATTCAAAAACAGAGTTCAGTCAGCGTCAGTGCAGAGTTGTGTTTTGGATAACTAGATAGATAAGGTTCAGTTTCATGAGTTTTTTGAGGGTCTTCAGTTTGATTGTGTTTCTGAACTGATTGTAGTTTTTTTAATCTTCCCTTTATTGAACCTTCAGCAGCTCTGGGACGAAGACAAAGTCAAAGAAGGGAGGAGGAAAAGACAAACCGAAGAACGTAAAGTCCAGCACAGGAGAAGAACAGATTCCTGAGGTTTGTACAATATAGCTCAGCGTCTGAGAGGAGTTTTAGTTGGTTATGAACTTCAAAGAAACCCATTTTCACTTTGTAATTTACTTTTAGTTTTATCATTATATCTATTTGAGTTGTCAATTCTCCATTCTCACCCACAGAAGGAAGTCATCTTGCGCTGTGTGACCTGTAACAATGAGTTCTCAACAAGGAACAAGTTGTTTGACCATCTGAAGACAAGCGGCCACGCCACTGCGCTCTCTTCAAACGCTCCTCAGAACACCACGAGCAAGAGTAAAAAGGACAAGAAGAAGAACAGATAGCAGCTGAGAGGACTGGACTCTGCAGGGACACAGGTAACCATGACCTGACTGTAAGAGGACTTTAATGGACTGAGTGATTTTACAGATTATAATTGTAATCTTCCAAATTGGAACATTATGAGCAGTTTTACAAACCTCTCCCAAACTTATGCAAATACCGGTATTGATGATCCAACTATCTTGTGTACAGAAATCTCCCTTTGACCCCTTCTTCCAGATCCTTTACTGTTTCAGAAATCCCCTGTTTGTCATGAGGACTTCTTCGGTGGTATTACTGTATTACAAAAATAAAGTGATACTGCATGTTTGTATTTATACAACAACTTTGAAATGACTTGTGTCAACACTTTAATTTTCAATTTTTATCAAAAATATTTAATGTACAGTTTCTCTGCTGTTTTATTCGGTTGACAGAAAACCATACCTGCTGATTTATCAAACCTGACATAGGTATTTGTTTGAGAAATAAAAGCAGTAACAGGAAATAAACTACAGACTGGTTGTTGAATGATCAGATCTATGTTGACTTAATAGATATGACTGATATTGTGATCTTTTTAATACAGTTTTCATCACTCTAAGGAGTTATGTTGGCTCAAGATAGGAACAAAAGTTAGAAGTCTTTACAATGTTAGGATAAGGATCATAGCTTAACATTAAAAATGTTTTGAATATCAGCACATGAATTATTGTAGAGGGGAAAATGAGCATCTGACACATCATTTAAACAGATTTATAAAAGCGCACTTCGGTCCTCCGTATCGTGTCACCCAATTAGTGTCTGTTCAGGTAGTTCTGGATGGCCTTGTTAAAAACCGCAAGGAAGAAATCCACGTCCTGCTTTGTGATGCACATGGGGGGCTGGATGCGGAAGGCCTGCGATGATGAAAAAACAAAAGGAAGCAGAGGGTCATGATACTGTTTAGGTTTAAACAAAGAAAATTAAAAAAACAACACTTCAGTTTTCTCCATCTCGTGTGCAGACTGAGGAACTTCTCAGCTGAAGGTGAAAGTATTCAAACTGAAAAAGTTCATTCAGAACAAGCCGGAAGTTCAGTCTCAGACATGTGAGCTTTGAATCCTTTTTCATACATTCTTGAACCACATTCCTCAAAGCCTTGGTTTGGATTTGGAAAAACAATATCATGTTTTTTTTTTTTTATCTAATACAAATGAATTCTTCAAAATGTTTTGTACCAAACAAAGATATTATGATACAGATCATATTGCAGTAAAACTATAGATGGAGAAATATCTTTTGTTCACCCTGTAAGCTGTATAGATTTCAAAACAATCCCTGAATTATTTGGACTTTCTATAAAACTGTTTAAGTGTTTCAGCCAATTGCTGATCACTCTTTATAAATATACACAGGGACACGTTACAGTTGTGTGAGTGCTGTTTTACCTGTCCATAGAGCCCTCCTTTTCCTATCAGGACTCCCATGTCCTTGACGTCCTCAAAGATCTCACCCATGGCCTCAGGAGGCAGAGGGTCTCTGCTAGCCTGTGCATCGAACAGAGAGAAAACCAACAGATGAATGAATACCATCCATCTACTTTTGTTCAAGTAACAAGACAAGATATGCTTTAAATGACACCCAAAGCCACACATTAGGACACTGCAGGGTGTTTACCTTTACTTGCCCACACACTAACAAAAAAATGATAATAATCATAATATTTAAGAAAAATTTCCACGCTGCGCATTGTCTTATAAAGGATAGATTGTTTTCTTCAGTATCAGCTACAGCTACCCAGACAGACAGCAGTAAGCTATAATGCCTGACCTTGTCTGTGACCATTTCCACACCGATCTGCAGGCCTTTTCCACGGACATCACCAATAATCTCGTACTTGTCTCTGAGTTTGGCCATTTCAGTCATCAGATAGGTCCCCACGGTGAGACAGTTCTGCTGTATACCATCTTCTTTGATAGTCTGTTGAGTACAAATTAGTCACTCAACAGGTGTTATATAAGCGTGTTTGTCCTCAAGTGTTGATATCATGCGCCTGACAGAAGTATACACCTTAACTTCAGCTTGACTTGAAACTGTAAGCTGCATATTAGCTTGAGTTTAAGTAGAGTGATACTCGAAAAATAAGTTTTGATCAAATTAAACTTTTTGTGCCAATCAATAAGATTAAAATAGAAGAGATGAATTCTTACATCGAGCACTGATGAAGCAACAGCACAAGCTAAAGGACTTCCTCCAAAGGTGTTGAAGTGATAGGCCTTGGCAAAAGCAGCAGCGATTTCTAAAAAAATATGATCAAAATATATTTTAAGTGTCCTTGTTTCGAGAAAGTAACTTCATTCAGATGTAAACAAAGCTGAAATGATGATTTATGTGGACTTTATCCAATCAGTCCTGATGTGTGGAGTCAATTAAAATGATCAAGAATAAGATAACACTTTGACACAAGAGAAAAATATAAGTCTGGATAAAGTAGACTTAACAAATGTTTTTAGAACAGTAAGGTCACCTGGTGTTGTGACAACAGCCCCAATTGGGAATCCGTTACCAATACCCTTTGCCATGGTAACGATATCAGGAAGGACCTCATGACCTTGGAAACCCCAGAAGTGAGTTCCTGTTCGCCCAAATCCAGTTTGAACCTGTCCCATTTCAAACAAGTTCATTTGTTTACTTTTTAAAAATTCTAATTCCAAGATGTTTGAGGCTGGTACTTCCTAAATCTGATGGGAACATATTTGTTTTTTGTTTCATTTGTTATATGAATCAAACCTCATCAGCGACGCAGACCCCTCCCCTCTCTCTCACAAGTTTGTAAGCCTCCTTAAAGTAGTTCTTAGGATACTGCACAGCTCCGCCCATTCCCTGTTTGAGCGAAACACAATCAAATCTCAAAGTCCTGTCGAACCGACACAAGCCATTGAATAAGAATGAACTCAAAAAACATGACATTATAATCATGAAAAACTGTCATTTCCTACAAGTTCTGGACAGGGTTAAATACCTGAATGGGTTCTCCAAAGAAAGCAGCAATTCGACTCGGGACACTTGTAGCAAATGTTTCTTTGAGCTGTCCAATGTATTTTTCATTTGCCATGCACTGACCTGCACAAATGAAGAAAAGTATTTCGACAGTAATAATAATCACACGAACACATTACTGCATTTTTCAGATGTCTCTAATTAGAAAAATATGATTAACATTGATTTTTAAATTTGAATTCTGAAATTATACAATGAATTTTGATTTTCTTTTCTGAGTCTAGCGGTGTTAGTGTGTGCCCCAAATGCAGAGATTATGCATCATGCAGACAGCTCAGGTTCAATTCTGGCCTGTGGCTTCTTTCCTGCATCATCCCTCTCTCTCTTTCCCAATTTCCTGCTCTGTCCTCTGTCCTATTTTCTAAATAAAATATACACATCAATACAAACAATTGACTGTACCGTAACAAGATCAATTAAGTAAGAATCAAATAATCACAGTTTATCTGAATTGACTTTTAGTAATCACTCGTTTCTTCTGACTCTGGCTACTGTCACACTCGTCAGGTTTTACAGGCTATGGTTTGCTCAATATTAAGTTTTATTATAGCTAACAGATGCTTTGATTACACTGTGTTTTATTCCCATTCATGCAAGACAAACAACCTCGCTGTAGCGAGCCGTATGTGCATGTGTTTGTGTACCTTGTGCACAGCTACAGTCCCTGATGGTTTGCACAGGGGAGTCTCTGCAGTGGCTTCCCCCCCATGGACCTCTGAACACATCAGGACACATGGTCTGTTTGGCAGACATAAACTTAGTCAGTCACTTATAAGTAATCCAGCAAAAAAACATAAGCGTAGTGTACTTTGTATCACACTGACTTGCATTTTCCACATTGATACATACATTTGTGCAGCCTGAACTAGTGGCAGCGGGGTATTTGTACGGTGAGTTGGAGGTTAGACCCATAGTCTGTTGGGTGCCACCATGGTACGACCCTCTGGAGAAAAAAATCCAACTTTAGGGAACTTTTTTATTTTTTCAATAAAACAGCTTTACATTAAGCAAAACCATGATTTAACGGTGAAGCACATAAAGTTAGTAAGTAATAATAATAATAATAATAACAACTTTATTTGTATATCACTTTAAAAAAACAGATGTTTACAAAGTGCTTTGACATGTAGTCGTAGAGCACATGGAAAAGACAAATAAAAACAAAAGGCTCAGTAAAAACGGAACTGAAGGCCATTTTCATTTTCAACAGGAACCATGCAACATGAAATTAAAGCATGAGGACCAACATAAAAACATAAAATAGTTAAGAGGGAAAATGCAATTAAAAGAGGGAACAAAAGCAGAAACAGGATAGTAAATATAAAAGGCAACATCAACAATGATAATAAAAATAATAATGTAATCCTGATAATAAAAGTAATGATAAAATAGAGCAATAGAAATGAGCAAGAGATAAAACAATAAAAGGCCTAAAAGGTTAATTAGGAAAAGAGTACAAGTATAACAAGAGCTAAAAATACAGTAAAGCCGAAATAAGATAGAGGTAAAAAAGATAAGAGATGACAGATAATAGATGGAGATAAAAGATAAAAGACGGCATCACGTAAAAGCAGGTCTGTAAAAGTGAGTTTTTAAATTGGACTTAAAAGAAGCGACTGTCTCTGCATGCCTTAATCTACCTGAAAGTGATGATGTCGAAGTTGCCCGTGTGAAGTCGAGCCATCAACATAGCCAGGTCATTGGCCTCAGAGCCGCTGTTGGTAAGATATACAACCTGAACAGGGAAACATGAACCAGCAAACATTCAAGTTGAATAAACGTAATCATCCAGTCTTCTCACACCAGCTCATGAATTTTAATCCAGTACCTTCAGAGGATCTGGTAAGAGGGAGGTTAGTTTCTCACAGTACTCATGAAGTGTTGGATGGACGTATATGTTTGTAGTGTGCCACAGTGTCTTCAACTGCTCTGCTGTAGCTGCTGTCACTTTCCTGTATCCACAGAAGTTTGTGTTAAAGCAACAAATGTGTGACCTGAAGCTATATTAATACATGACATTTAAAAGAGGCATTTACGGGTTGCAGTGGCCCACACTGACGGTAGCTACACCAGCAAATAAATCCAGGTATCGCCTCCCATCCACGTCCCAGATCCACTGCATGAATCCCTGATGGGCAAACAGCGGTTTCTTGTAGTAGGTTATTTTCATGGTCACAGGGTTACAATTCTGCCGGCGAATCTCCATCAAGCGCTCTTTGGGCGGACCCTGGAAAGCCACAAATATAAACAAGATGAACTATCGAGTAAAGATATGCCGACACATAAGGTCCCCAAGAGGGTCCACTTGCAGTGTCAATGGCAGGTCAAACTCTCTGGTATGCCTAAATTCAATTTTGGAAATTTAGCAGGAAGAGCAACAAAACTGACGTGAGGAGGGAATAAGTGTATTAGTAGGAGCTGAGTAAAGCAGTGTGTATCTTTGTAGGCCCATTTGTGGTACAAATGAGTCTCAATCTGATTGACAACAGAGCGAAAGTATCAAAATAGTATTAAATCAACACAAAGATACCCCCTTTTCCCCATTATGGCCCTGTCTTGACGTCCATATTCACAAAGTTGATAAAGAAATTTAACTTAAGAAATATTGCTGAAGTACACCTGTCAGTCAGAGCTCAGGGTTTAAGGGAGGAAATCAAGATTCAGCCGGCACCTCTGTTGCCAAATACTTGGTATGACACATGACTCGACTGGGGGTCAAATCCTCCGCAGAGTACCTTTAAGTACAATCAATATACTGCAGTTTGTTGATGTTGATGTAAGGCAAATAAAAGTTAAATAATCGATTAGCTTTATATGAAACAATGACATTTGAGATGGTAATCAAATGTTTCTACCAGAGTTACAAAAGAGCAATATCACAGAAAGTGACACACTGTCCTGATACCAGGTCATCCTCACCTTGTATGCCCGTGGTTTGAAACTGCATGGGGGCATCTCTGGGAGGTCTTCAGGGCGGCTCTTGAAGGCTGGTTTCTGACATACTGCACCTGTTGAGTAATTTAAAACGTAAAGATTTATTTTTAGAAACTCCATGAGCTGCGTATGAAAGCCGTACAATTTCATATCTGTTGTGACATTTTCCCTGAAATTTCAAATATTATCAATCTTCTGATGTAGAAGTTATTTATTTATTTATTTATTATACTTGACCCTTGGCTAATGATTGTTGGTAGAGTTTTATTTTGGACAAATTTGGAAATACAGGAAGTGATTTGTGATCTTGGTTACTTATCCACAGAAATCTGGTACTTGTTTATTGTTGTTGTTTTCCAGTATTCAGACATTTCCAGTCAATATTTGACTGAAACTCTAACTTTGCACTGCGTAATATTGGACAAAAAATATTAAACTTCCTGTTTTTCTCATAGTACTGATTGAAGGGAACCAACAGTACAGGGGGAGGAACTGGCAAACACAGCATAATGTGTAAAGATAATTTACTGTAGTTTACTCATTAATTGAGCTGAAATCTTAGATAATCTGTGACAGTCAAAGCATAAACATGTTCCCCTGTCATTCTTGATATTTCGGAGTATTTCATCAAAATGTAAACAAACTCATTTAAATTTAAATTTGAGCATTTTTTTCATTTCTATTAAAAAAAAATCAAAAATATTGTTTCTTTTTTAAAAGTTTGCAAAGTTAAGATAAAAAAGGTCAGTATTGGAGAGAAAAAAATCTGCAGTCTGAGGTGAAGGAGTTTGAGATTATCATCTTGAAATCTCATAGACCTGAGAAAAATTTGGGGAATTTCTCCACCTGGATGTTGTAGGGGTGGCAAGAAAACTGGTCGTAAATCTAATCTCAGGGGTTGGGAATAGAGGCAGCATGTCAATAATATTGCTTTTGTTCCCTTTCCTGTATCTGCTGCCTGCCTGCAGCCACCAGCCTTTCCACTGCCCTCCTAACAGTCCCCTTCCTCCTGATGGTGTCAGCCCCAGAGTCCTAAAGGCCCATGATCCCAGCTCTGTGGAGAACTTCACCCTGTCTTCACCATAAACCTGAGTCTTTAAAGGGTCCCTGTGCTGTGGAGGACGTCTTGCGTCATCCCAGTGGCTCCATGGACTATAGACCAGTGGCGTTGACGTCTCACATCATGAAAACCCCGGAGAGACTCATCCTGGAACAGCTGAGGCCGACAGTCAGACACCTTTTCTGGGTGAGAAACTGACAGCAATGCAGGTGCAGGTGGGAGCTCCTCTCCACAGTTTATATGCTTACAACACTGTGTGTCAGACAGAGTGTTCAGCAACACCGGGGTACTTCAGGGAACAGTCCTGTCTCCCATCCTCTACACCACAGACTTCGACTACAACACAGTCCTGCCACCATCAGAGGCATCAGGAGGGGTGATGAGGCTGAATATAGTACTGTGGTGGATAACTTTGTCACATGGTGTGAGCAGAACCACCTCCAACTGTCCTCAAATTTTCTCCAAATGTAGAAATCTAATATTATTTTTTAAGGTAGACTGCACATATAAAAGGCAACAGTATTTATTTTGATATTTTGGTTTCTTTTCAGTTAGTCGGCATCATTTTCCTGAGACAGTGATTTGTCATGAATATGCTCCACAATGTGATGCACCCATTTCTATTGCAGTGTAAGTAAACAGCTAAGCTTGATCTTATGGTTCCAGCTTCATGCATACTGTACAAATACAGGCTATCCTCTAATTCTTTGTGCAAAATAGATCTAGACAAAAGTCACATGAGCTCATAAGTTCCCACCAACATGCTAAGATTTTTCAAAAGGAAAATTTCTCCCAAATCATATCAAGTATGAATATTAGACAAAATATTCCACCTGTACAGACTGTTGGTAACTCACCACTTCCCAGGTGAAATTTGGAGCAGCAGAACTGTCCTGTTAAAGCTGCACCACGGCCACTCAGAGAGGAAATAACTTTATACATGTTGAGCAGATAAAAGAAAACTGTCAGCTTACTGTACTTACTGTCTCAGACTAAAAAGTAACCTCACTCAAAGTTGATGTTTTCTCCTAAGCTGGTACATACAGATGGGTGGGGTTGGGGGTGAAGGGGGCGGAAGCACCTGCCCCTTTATGCCCAAAGTACCCTTATGTCAGAGTGTTTTTTTTTCTGTATAAAGAAAAACAGCATTTCTGATACTGAAAATGAGATACTAAGTCATAACTGTGAGATATTATCTCAAAATAATGAGATACTAAGTCATGATAATGAGACACTATCTCATAATTATGAGATAATATCTCAGAATTATCCAATTTTAAATCATAATAATGATGTACTATCTTATAATTATGAGATAGGTCTAAATGGGCTTCCATGTGTGTAGCTGAAGCTACAGTAGGAAAGGGCTGAGACAAAGTTTTGCAGACCTTAATGGATGTCATTATTTAGGAACACCATTGTGTCTTTGACTAAAAATATTTACTATCCATATGATCTGACAAATCAAATAAAGAATGTACGATTAGGGTTTTTTTTATTGTCACACAATGAAAGTATTTCTTTTTGAGTGATCTGCAGAGATGCCTCCTAAGAAGAGGAGGATGAAACAAAACCAAAGGAGCTGCATGAGGCTGCAAAAGGCAGGGGATAACCTGCCAGCTTGATGACAAAGTATACAAAAGGTAAAAGTAACACATGTACCACCATTGCAGAGATATTCAGTTAGAGAAAGAATAACAAGTGAAATTTCAATGTTGTCATTTTGTTACGTTATCTATCATTACATCCTCGCATTAATGTTCTCCTTTCAGTTCATGAATGAGCAACTTGTTCTGTTTCGTACAAACAGTCAGCCGTTGCTACAGCCTCTCTCAGCAAGGAGTCTCCTATTTGTGCTCCATGTGCCCCTTTGAGCTAACTTTGGGCACCTGCCCCTCCAAAGGTCTCCGCACGGCCCTGCTCCAAAGCCAAAAAGATGGGTGGACAGAGATCAGCCAATGGTACCTTCATCCTACAAAATCATAACAATATCCCTGCAGCGTCACCTGGATAAATGTATAACTAGAGGTATCTTGTAGCGAGATTTCAAAGTATTTGGCTGGTACTGGTTCTTTCCTGTTGAGAAGCTGGAAAGGAACATGTGCCAGGAGCCACTCTTTCATGGTGAGCGTCCTCATTTAACAAATTCACACAGCAGCCTGTCTTCTCCCAATGTCTCCTTCGGATAGGAAGCCTGAGTGCTGTTAAGATTTTAAATTGCTCGGTTACGTTATTGATAATAAATGTTGGTGTTTCTATATAGTCTACAAGGAACCAGATTTAGCATAAACCTGTCTTTGCTTTACGATAGATGAACCTTTGTTTGAGATACTTTCACAAATAGCATAGGAAACAAAGGTATGTATGTACACAGGTTTAGCAATGGTTTTCTTTCATAAAGAGTCTGTTTGTTTCTGTGCATGTGCAAAAGATAGTATTTCTGAACCTGGTTTGGAGCCTAGTAAAACAGACAGAGACTAGGCATGTAGATCATGGGGAGAGTATTTTTTTGGAACATTTCTGGAACTGTATAATGACGGATGGGTTGCTTCGGCAGGTGTAATAAGGAAGTGAGAAGTGAAGAGTTAATACTAGATGAGAGGGTGTGACCGGATCCTAACAACTAAAGCGTTAATGAATGGCAAAGGCAGGATGCAGATAGTAGATAGGGCTTCAGAGTCAAGCTTATGTTTTCAAACCTTTCCTGGAATACAGTCCTTAGATGCCCTGAATGGAGCTCAGTGACTTGACTGTTTTGAAAGATATGGTAGAAATTTCTGAGACAGATACAGGTCTTTGTTTGCTTTTACTAGTTAGTACAAGACTTGAATTCTGTATTCTAGTATCAGTCTGTTTGAACTATGAGTCAGCTTTGTACTTCCATGGTCTCTTGTTCAGGGTTACATGTGTATACATCAAAGAAAAATGATAGTGATTTGTGAGAAGTCATTGTTTGATAGCTGCTAGTGATGTTTTCTATTTTAAAAAATAGTAAGGGTTGGTGTGTTCAACTGCTGTCCTATAAGCTCACATATTCTTTATTCTTAAATTCACTCCCATTATTAAAAAAGCACGTGTTTAGAAATGACATTTTCTTTTTCCAGTGATACAACATTTACATCCACGCACAATTCAACCCAAAAGGAAGAAACATGAGCAAACATTGGTCAATCAAGTCTTCAGATTATCAACAAAATCTCCCTTTAGGATTGTGGCAGAGGTAGTCTTTTTAGACGGTTTGCGTTGATTAACACTTCACATATTTAAAAACGAGGTTTGGTCCCAGCATTGAGATTTCCACTTGGTCTTCTATCTTCTTTCCATGTAGTTGTGGATGGCCTTGTTAAAAACTGCCAGAAAGAAATCTGCGTCTTCCATCGTGATGCACATGGGGGGTTTGATGTGGAAAGTCTTGAGTAGGGAGAAAAAAAAAAAACATGAGGAAAGATTATGGTGTGCTAAATCACCCAAATTAAACCTCAATGAGTCAGGCACTTTTTTTCTGAGACTGATGAAAGCACAGTAACTTTTCAGGAACATGTGTTCAACAGCAGAACATTCATTTTATTTGGGGTAAAAATCTTAAGACATTTTTCAGCTTTTCCACTAATCCTACATTCAATAATTTTCTTCTGTTTTACTCAAGGTAAAAACATGAAATAAATGCAGTGAAATTTTACCTTTCAAAGCTGGTAAGAGCACCCTAAGGAGTCACTGTCTGGTTCCTGCTACTGCTGCACACCAAAATGTTTCTTTCTAAATACAAAAACTACTGTGTAACCCATGATGATTGCTAAATGGGCTCCAAGGTGAAACTATGTCTACCCTTATCGATGAAATTATTTAAATATACTAAAAAGTACTATCTTTACACTCTAGGCTACCATGAAAGCTTCCAGGTGAATGTGGTTACCTGTCCATATACTCCTCCTTTTCCTATTAATACTCCCATGTCCTTGATGTCCTCAAAGATCTCAGCTATGCTCTCGGGAGGCAGAGGGTCTCTGCTGGCCTGAGAATGACAGAGATGATGCACAGAACATTGCAGAGGTGAGTGGAAATGGTGGAAAAGTCGACAAGCTGTTTGTTAAATCTTTCTTTTTAATGCTTAACAACTTAAAGAGGATGTTTTTAGACATTTTTTGGAGTGGTTTAAGACTAACCAAAATCAAATCCCAGTGGAGGATTACCTACAGTGTCACTGTTTTAATGACGTTTCAGATCAAACTGTAAAAGTCAAAAGTTATACAGTAAAGAAATATGCAACAAACCCTTAAAAGATGCCAAACATTAGTGACACTGGCACAGCTAGTTGTTTCCCAAACAGCACTGCTGCAGTTGAAAAATGGGTTGTTTAAAAGTTGACAAAACTCAAGATGATACATTTTCCTTTCTTTTTCCCCCTCTTTTATTAAAGTTACAGTGTGTGTTTTTCCATTTGCTGGCCTTTTTCCCAAACAACATCCTCTTGTTAACAAAAAAACATTCAGGGCTACACTCAGTCGTACTTTTACTGCAGCTGGGATCTTTCAGAACCTAAACACAGACAGTCACTGCTGCTTCAGCTAATGGTTAACTGGTGCATCACTAGACCATGACCCCAAGGGACACAGCACAGACACACAACCACACACACACAAACAAACAAACACATACACACAAGTTGTTCAAGCATGTGAGGGGTTGTTAGTGTTACTTCTGCGACAAACTCAATACCTTGTCTTTGACCATTTCCACTCCAATCTGCAGTCCTTTCCCACGGACATCGCCAATAATCTCGTACTTGTCTCTGAGTTTGGCCATTTCCATCATCAGATAGGTCCCCACATTGAGACTGATCTGCTGCGTACCATCCTCTTTGATAGTCTGTAGAGTCAAAGAACAACTTTAACATGGTTTCAGATGTCATTCATGAGCCTCTATGATTACTACGTTTACATTTGCAGCTCTGGCGTTAGTTTACAGACATGTGAGAATGTAAATAAACTACCTCCCAATAAAACAAAATATTCTTACATCAAGCACTGATGAAGCAACAGCACAAGCCACAGGGTTTCCCCCAAAGGTGTTGAAATGAACCCCTTTGGCAAATGAGGCAGCAATTTCTGGAAACACATGTCACAGCATAAGGAACAGAGGTGAAGCTCAGGAGTGCCTGTATTTTTCTCTGAGCAGGACTGATTTTTGTAGAGCTTTCACAGATCTGCTGTAATGTTATGTTGATGAGATTGAGACCATGGATCTCTAATCAAACATGATGAATTCTACGTTCAAATCCTGAGCAGAAGGAAAAATATGCAATAAAGAGGAATTTTCCTTGAATACGTTATCTTACCTGGAGTTGTCACAACAGCTCCCATTGGGAACCCATTACCAATGCCCTTTGCCATGGTAACCATATCAGGGATGACATCATGACCTTGGAAACCCCAGAAGTGAGTTCCTGTGCGACCAAATCCAGTTTGAACCTGTCCAGGTCAAAACAGGTCAATCTCTCTACATATTCAAAATTAAAATGTCATGATAAACAAAGAAAGCAGTTCTCTTAGAATGCTTAAAGGCACTTTGGCAGTCCATTTTAGCATTTTTTACCTTATTGTTTTTGGTCTTAAGTCTTTCACCATCCCTGTTAGGTAAAGGCAGCTTTTTTAATGAAAGTTGTATAACTGTAATTGTCTGGCTTAAAGTGCTGTGGCTTTACTTACGTAACATCAGGGTTCAACATGTTTTTAGACACATTTTGCCTCAACTGAGCATCAAACAGCTCAGACTTTCTGAAAGGACAGAATCTGCAGCTAAAACTCTGAATTTAACCCAGTCTAGGTAACTGAATTAGCATAACAAGCTACCATACTTATGTAGCTATGTCAAAAGAGAGCTAGCTTCAAGTCAGTGAAAACCACTTAGTGTTGCTCCCCAGTACACCCATCTGCTCTTAGCGAGCAAAAACCAAAAGGCAGGTTGTGCAGGTTTAGAATAAGACCAGTAATATTGTGACACATCTCCTGTGACCGGCAAAGAAAGCAACAATACCTAACCTCATCAGCAATGCAGACCCCTCCTCTTTCCCTCACAAGTTTGTAGGCCTCTTTGAGATAGTTTTTAGGATACTGCACAGCTCCTCCGACACCCTGCACAAACAAAATAAAGACAAATGACACGACCACTTTGACAAAGTCTCACTCTGAACATGACGAAACTAGTCAGTCAGTTTTAAACATGGTAAAGCAACACCTTACAAAAGAATTAAATTCAGTAATATTTTTACATTTACACTATGTTACTTGTAACAATTAACAACAAGACATTACCTGAATCGGCTCTCCAAAGAAAGCAGCGATTTGACTCGGGACACTTGTAGCAAAAGTCTCCTTGAGCTGCCCGATGTATTGATCGTGAGCCATGCACTGATCTGTGGATTCAACAAAGAGCAACCGTCTATGTTAAAATAACATACTTTAACAAGTTGATTCAATTGGAAAATTTCTAATCTAATCATTTCTACAGAAGCTTTAAATTGAGACATTCTTCTTTTGAGAGATTGTCACATTATTGACTTTGACTCAATTTTCTTCCATTATCTACAGCAGCAAGGTAGTTATGTAATGATAGGTCGGAAAAGGAAAATATTCAACATTCAAAACTTATTCTTAGTGTAACAACTGACTTTTTTCCACAATGTTGACTTTTAGGGAAATTTATTAATGTAGCTTTTGAATAGTTTCTCATTACAAGCTCATGTCTATTTCCACCAAAGCAGAGGTCTTTGAAGTATCATTAAACACAAGAATGTGTTTCTCTACACTACAATAGCTGGAAGCCTGGACGAGAGGCGCAGTGACCTGGCCAGTCACTGCGGACCCGCCAACTTGAGGGTGTTGTGGTTAAGGGTCGAAACACCCCATGATGGTTGGAGACCACCTGATGACCTCTTATCCAGGCCAAGGCTTTATCCATTAAGAAATGGATTATAATCGCATCGTTGATGTATTTAAGAACTGAACTCCCTGGGAAACCAGTGACTTCCAGGAGAGTCTGGATGGCAACCAAAGAAGGTTGGTGACGCTGGAAAGACAGCTGACCTCCAGGAAAGACTGGCGGGGTAACAGGGGCCGGCAACCCCAGTTGCAGCACTCGTAAGAGGGCACCAAGCAAGCTACAGAACGTACAAATGAGCAATACCCCCAGAGTCTCCCGAGAGGGGGGGAGGATGAGAGACTCGCTAGGACAGATTCAACGGCAACGACCAGGACAGTGACTCAGACACAGAGAAGGCTCAAACAAACCACCTTGACTGGGGAAGCATTGGAAGTCAAATGCAATTGTGGAAAGATCTGCAGCCAGTGGCAGCCAGTGGAAAAGGGAATAGTAACAGGGTGTACCATCTCTCCCATCTTGTTCGTCATGGGAATGAATCTGATCATTTCTGCAGCGATTACAAAGTCAAGAGGACCAAAGACTGCAGCAGGAAGTCAACAACCGGCAATCAGGGCATTCATGGATGACCTTACCGTGATAACACCAACTCACGTGCAGGCAAGATGGATCTTGGCGGAACTGGATCGCATGGCTACTTGGGCGAAGATGTTCTTCAAGCCCAAGAAATCAAGGAGTTTGGTGACCCAGAAGGGCAAAACAACTGAACGGTTCAAGCTTCTTGTTCAAGGGGAAGAGATCCCGAACATCCAGGGAAACCCTATCAAATGCCTTGGGAAATGGTATGATGATTCCTTGACAGACAAAAACAGCATCTCCAGCACTGATCCACAAGTGCCGGCAGGAAGTGGGCCGCCAGCACTGCAGTTCACCAGGCAGAAGCTTCTCTCAGGACCAAGGAAACCATTGGTAACCCCTGCACTGGAAGACAGGGCTTGGGAACATCACACTTCCAGCAGTGGTCAAAGTCCACTCCCAGGGAGAGGAGGACCATGATCCAGGACGAAGTTCAAAACCTTGAGGAGGAAGTAAGAAGAGCTAAAGCCATCGAGCTCGCATCTCAAGGTGCCTGGACAAGGTGGGACCTTCCCAAGAGGCCATCACATGGAGTGAACTCTGGAGGCTGGAGCCTTTTCGGATCTCGTTTCTGCTCCGAGCAGTGTACGACATCGTACCGACCCCAGTCAATTTGCACAGGTGGGGAATGAGGGAGGACCCTCTGTGTGGGTTGTGTGGCGGTAAAGGAACTATGGCGCACATTCTTTCAGGGTGCAAAACAGCATTGACCCAGGGGAGATATAGGTGGCCCTATGACAAGGTGTTGGCACTGCTCGCAGACATCTTGGAGCAAGAGAGGAGAAAGAAATATCCGGCCAAGAGAAAACCACAGCTGAGTAACATTGCTTTTGTAAAAGAGGGCAACAGACCTGTCGTCCAAGGCCAAACCAAGCAAAACCTCCTACAGTCGGCCCAAGGATGGGAGATGGAGGTCGACCTGGGGAGGAAGCTCCACTTCCCAGAAGCGGTACTGTCCACCACTCTGAGACCAGATATAGTTATGTGGTCTCCAGAGGGAAAGAAGAATGTTCAGCTTTGCGTTTGTATGTTTGTGTACCTTGTGCACAGCCACAGTCCCTGATGGTCTGCACAGGAGAGTCTCTGCAGTGGCTTCCTCCCCACGGACCTCCGAACACATCAGGACACATGGTCTGTTAATTGAGCAGAAAACAAGTCAGCTGGGTCAACCTGACCGCTACAGTCTCTCAGATATCCAGCATGAAGAATCCTATTTTGTTAATACTACACAGCTTTCCCTTTCTGCTCGGAGATGCTTATTTTTCACACATTTATGCGGATTTACATCCCTACTTTACACATATTCCCCTGTTTGAAACAAGTCTGTGATTGCATTTTGATACATTATTCCATACATACATTGGTGCAGCCTAAGCCATTGGCAATGGGGTATTTATATGCTGCGTTGGAAGTAAGTCCCATGGTCTGCAGACTCCCACCATGGTATGATCCCCTGAAACATAAAATATTACAATCAGAAAAAATTAAGACATCTGGATTGTAGAGGATTACAAAAACCATCCCTTCAAATCTTTATCCTTTCATAAAGTCACATTTATCACTTTTACACTATCTGTTTCCTATTATAATGTCAAGCTAGCAAAAAAGACCTGAAAGTGATGATGTCAAAGTTGCCTGTGTGAAGCCGAGCCATCAACATCGCCAAGTCATTGGCTTCTGAGCCGCTGTTGGTAAGATATACAACCTAGACAGGGAGAAACAAACCAGCAGATATTTCAATTTCAGCTCTTAAATTTACTTTAACTACTGCCATCCAGTGACTGAAATTAAACAAACCACCTCGGTACCTTCAGAGGGTCTGGTAAGTGTGAGGCTAGTTTCTCACAGTACTCATGAAGAGTAGGAAAGATGTAGATGTTCGTGGTATGCCATAGTCTCCTCAACTGATGCTCTGCTGCTGCTGTCACTTTCCTATATCCAATAAAAGAACAGCACTGAATAACTGGAATGACTTTTTCTTTTGCTAGCTCTGCATCAGAACACAAAGAAACAAGGACCTTACGGGTGGCAGTGGCCCACACTGACAGTAGCCACACCAGCAAACAAATCCAAATATCGCTTCCCGTCTACATCCCACAGCCACTGCATGAATCCCTGGTGGACGAAAACTGGTTTCTTATAGCTGGTAACCTTCATTGTCATGGGGTTGCAATTCAGCCGACGAATCTCCATCATCCGCTCTTTTGACATACCCTACAAAGAAATACAAATGAAACATGAATCACTCACTAGTTTAAAGAACTTATTATTGTCATCACTACTAATGACAAATGAAAGGAAGAGACTGCTTCACCTTGTACTCTTCTGGTTCAAAATTGCATGGGGGCATCTCTGGAAGGCCTGTTGGAGGGTATTTGAAGGCTGATTTCTGACATAGTGCACCTGTTAAATGATTGCAGTTTAAATTAAGGCTGTAATTTACAAGAAACTATTGTTTTTCCCTGCAAGTAACCATCTAAAAGCTGTCTGCCACTTTAACCTCAATATGCTCACCTAAGACCCCACCTTATGCAATATGCAATACTAAACTGAATGTTTACCCCTGGTTGTAAAAAAAGGACACACGTGTACTTGCAGTTTAATCGTGTTAGGTAGAAATTTAAGAAACTTAAGTTTAAAAGCAAGTTTTGAACTTGAACAAGTTTTGAACAAGTTTTACTCTTGGCCACTGAAGTAACTGGTTACATGACCAACTATACAAGAGGTTTGAAAAACTCATAACACAGCACTAAATAATGACTTTGATTCTCATGTTAACTATCTGAAGGGGATAAGGTAGACTACAGATATTATTTTAGCAAGGAAACATCTTTTTTTTACTCTGGTCACTTCTTGGAAAGCTCTTGAAGGCTGGTTTCTGACATACTGAACCTGTTGAGTAATTTAAAACGTAAAGATTTATTTTTAGAAACTCCATGAGCTGCATATGAAAGCCGTACAATTTCATATCTGTTGTGACATTTTCCCTGAAATTTCAAATATGATCAATCTTCTGATGTAGAAGTTATTTATTTATTTTTTATACTTAAACGAGACTGACTGTTAGATTTAAAAACCCTTGGCTAATGATTGTTGGTAGAGTTTTATTTTGGACAAATTTGGAAATACAGGAAGTGATTTGTGATCTTGGTTACTTATCCATAGAAATCTGGTACTTGTTTATTGTTGTTGTTTTCACGATATTCAGACATTTCCAGTCAATATTTGACTGAAACTCTAACTTTGCACTGCGTAATATTGGACAAAAAAATTTAACTTCCTATTTTTCTCATAGTACTGATAGAAGGGAACCAACAGTACAGGGGGAGGAACTGGCAAACACAGCATAATGTGTAAAGATAATTTACTGTAGTTTACTCATTAATTGAGCTGAAATCTTAGATAATCTGTGACAGTCAAAGCATAAACATGTTCCCCTGTCATTCTTGATATTTCAAAGTATTTCATCAAAATGAACTTCACCCTGTCTTCACCATAAACCTGAGTCTTTAAAGGGTCCCTGTGCTGTGGAGGACGTCCTGCCTCATCCCAGTGGCTCCATGGACTATAGACCAGTGGCTTTGACGTCTCACATCATGAAAACCCCAGAGAGACTCATCCTGGAACAGCTGAGGCCAACAGTCAGACACCTTTTCTGGGTGAGAAACTGACAGCAATGCAGGTGCAGGTGGGAGCTCCTCTCCACAGTTTATATGCTTACAACACTGTGTGTCAAACAGAGTGTTCACCAGCACTGGGGTACTTCAGGGGACAGTCCTGTCTCCCATCCTCTACACCACAGACTTCAACTACAACACAGTCCTGCCACCATCAGAGGCATCAGGAGGGGTGATGAGGCTGAATACAGTACTGTGGTGGATAACTTTGTCACATGGTGTGAGCAGAACCACCTCCAACTGTCCTCAAATTTTCTCCAAATGTAGAAATCTAATATTATTTTTTAAGGTAGACTGCACATATAAAAGGCAACAGTATTTATTTTGATATTTTGGTTTCTTTTCAGTTAGTCGGCATCATTTTCCTGAGACAGTGATTTTGTCATGAATATGCTCCACAATGTGATGCACCCATTTCTATTGCAGTGTAAGTGAACAGCTAAGCTTGATCTTATGGTTCCAGCTTCATGCATACTGTACAAATACAGGCTGTCCTCTAATTCTTTGTGCAAAATAGATCTAGACAAAAGTCACATGAGCTCATAAGTTCCCACCAACATGCTAAGATTTTTCAAAAGGAAAATTTCTCCCAAATCATATCAAGTATGAATATTAGACAAAATATTCCACCTGTACAGACTGTTGGTAACTCACCACTTCCCAGGTGAAATTTGGAGCAGCAGAACTGTCCTGTTAAAGCTGCACCACGGCCACTCAGAGAGGAAACAACTTTATACATGTTGAGCAGATAAAAGAAAACTGTCAGCTTACTGTACTTTCTGTCTCAGACTAAAAAGTAACTCAAAGTTGATGTTTTCTCCTAAGCTGGTACATGCAGATGGGTGGGGTTGGGGGTGAAGGGGGTGGATGCACCTGCCTGTTTATGCCCAAAGTACCCTTATGTCAGAGTGTTTTTTTTTCTGTGTGGCCCATTTCTGCCAGTTAAAAAAAGTAAAAGTAAAAAAAAGAAAAACAGCATTTCTAATACTGAAAATAAGATACTAAGTCATAACTGTGAAATATTGGGCTCTATTTTCGTGTACGCCGGTGAGGCGACGGAGGGCAGCGAGCCCTGCGCAGTTGTATTTTCGTCTGGCGCAGCCTGGCGTACAGCCAGTTTGGTATTTTCGTGGACTGAGGCGCACGGAGGCAAACCGAGATCCGCCAAGCTGGGCGTGGTGGCGTGGCAGGGGGAGGTGTCGACAGAATCAGCGGGCGCAGTGACATTTTCGTGCTCGCCAGTGGCGTGTAAAGTGCGCTGAAAGCTCGCCGATTCAAACCTGGTCAGCTTTCAGTGCAGGCAGAGCGCAGCTGGTCTAGTGGTATTTTGGTAGACCGACGGCGTATCGGCATACGTCTCTGATGCCTCATCGGCAGGTTTCCACAGTGTCAGGCACATTTCAGTGCAATAAATAATCATCAACAACTAATAATCTGAGTCAGCACATACATTTAGATCTATATCGATATATTCTGATCTATATCTGATCTGATGAGCGCGTTTGGCACGCGTTTGGACACACAACCTGACCGAATCAACACAGCTGAAACCACATTGAATTGAATTAAATATCTAGTAAATAGACACACATGATGAAGTTAACTAGATATGTGATTCGTCTCCCTCCTTTTCTTTCTTCCTCTTCCTCTTATTTCTCGCACAGCTCGACCTGGACACGTCTCCGTGTCCTCTCTCCATGCTGCAGCGGCGGCTGAACAGATGATTTGTTTCAGTGCTCAGATGCGTTATCTACTTTAAGCCGACATACGGATATTATAATATTCAGTTTTGTGGGCCAAATTTATTTTATATGCCAACATCTATGAAAGAAAGAGCCAGGCCACGGAGCGTGATGCGTCATTTACGCACAGATGGTTCCAATTTTAATGCCATTTTTGGAGTTTATGTTGTGATCTGTGCACACAACCCACCTTTGTCACGTGAGGTTTGAATATGAGCAACTTTATGTGAGTGTCTTTATTTGTGGAAAAGGGTATTTGTCTTACCAGTGGGTCCAACATTACACACACCAAATCCATCTGTGCTCATATGAGAGAGTGGAAGACGCCCAATGCAGCGCTTACAGTGACACTTGTTAAGGAGCTGCCTTCTGTCACCATCTAGTGGCATTACTGTCTTCAGACATCTCTTGATCTCTTTGACTACTTCATGAAAATAGTAATACGCCTCGCCTGTGGCGGATTTAAAGGCAAGGAGAGGAGCTTATGTGATTGGTGAAAACAGGTCTCGGCTGTGTTAAACACACTCCACGCCCTCTCTCCTCCCCCGCTACGACTTACGCCACTGGGAGGAGCTGAGTTAGGGAGGGGGGATACTTACGCCGGGCTGCGCTGCTCACCAAAATACCAAATTGTGCTTGGGAACGCCTTTGCTTTATGATAGATGAACCTTTGTTTGAGATACTTTCACAAATAGCATAGGAAACAAAGGTATGTATGTACACAGGTTTAGCAATGGTTTTCTTTCATAAAGAGTCTGTTTTCATTGTTTCATTAAAACCAATGAGTGTGCAAAAGATAGTATTTCTGAACCTGGTTTGGAGCCTAGTAAAACAGAGACTAGGCATGTAGATCATGGGGAGAGAATTTTTTTGGAACATTTCTGGAACTGTATAATGACGGATTGGTTGCTTCGGCAGGTGTAATAAGGAAGTGAGAAGTTAAGAGTTAATACTAGATGAGAGGGTGTGACCGGATCCTAACAACTAAAGAGTTAATGAATGGCAAAGGCAGGGGGCAGATAGTAGATAGGGCTTCAGAGTCAAGCTTATGTTTTCAAACCTTTCTTGGAATACAGTCCTTAGATGCCCTGAATGGAGCTCAGTGGTTTGCAAACTTTGGACTTGACTGTTTTGAAAGATTTGGTAGAAATTTCTGAGACAGATACAGGTCTTTGTTTTTGTCTTTTACTAGTTAGTACAAGACTTGAATTCTGTATTCTAGTATCAGTATATTTGAACTATGAGTCAGCTTTGTACTTTCATGGTCTCTTGTTCAGGGTTACATGTGTATACATCAAAGAAAAATGATAGTGATTTGTGAGAAGTCATTGTTTGATAGCTGCTAGTGATGTTTTCTATTTTAAAAAAATAGCAGTAAGGGTTGGTGTGTTCAACTGTTGTCCTATAAGCTCACATATTCTTTATTCTTAAAAGCACCCCCATTATTAAAAATAAGCACGTTTAGAAATGACATTTTCTTTTTCCAGTCATACAACATTACATCCACCCACAATTCAACCCAAAAGGAAGAAACATGAGCAAACATTGGTCAATCAAGTCTTCAGATTATCAACAAAATCTCCCTTTAGGATTGTGGCAGAGGTAGTCTTTTTAGACGGTTTGCGTTGATTAACACTTCACATATTTAAAAACGAGGTTTGGTCCCAGCATTGAGATTTCCACGTGGTCTTCTATCTTCTTTCCATGTAGTTGTGGATGGCCTTGTTAAAAACTGCCAGAAAGAAATCTGCGTCTTCCATCGTGATGCACATGGGGGGTTTGATGCGGAAAGTCTTGAGTGGGGAGAAAAAAAAACACGAGGAAAGATTATGGTGTGCTAAATCACCCAAATTAAACCTCAATGAGTCAGGCACTTTTTTTCTGAGACTGATGAAAGCACAGTAACTTTTCAGGAACATGTGTTCAACAGCAGAACATTCATTTTATTTGGGGTAAAAATCTTAAGACATTTTTCAGCTTTTCCACTCATCCTACATTCAATAATTTTCTTCTGTTTTACTCAAGGTAAAAACATGAAATAAATGCAGTGAAATTTTACCTTTCAAAGCTGGTAAGAGCACCCTAAGGAGTCACTGTCTGGTTCCTGCTACTGCTGCACACCAAAATGTTTCTTTCTAAATACAAAAACTACTGTGTAACCCATGATGATTGCTAAATGGGCTCCAAGGTGAAACTATGGGCTCTATTTTCGTGCCTCGCTGGCGACGCAGTGCATGCGCAGTGTAAGTGAGGTCTGCCGCGCCGACAAGGCGTTCCCAAGCACAATTTGGTATTTTGGTGAGTGGTGCAGCCCGGCGTAAGTATCCCCCCTCCCTAACTCAGCTCCTCCCAGCGGCGTTAGTCGTAGCGAGGGAGGAGAGAGGGCGGGGAGTGGGTCTACCAAAATACCACTAGACCAGCTGCGCTCCGCCTGCGCTGAAAGCTGACCATGTTTGAATCGGCAAACTTTCAGCGCACTTTACACGCCGGTGGCGAGCACGAAAATGTCACTGCGCCCACTGATTCTGTCGACACCTCCCCCTGCCACGCCACCACGTCCAGCTTGGCGGAACTCAGCTCGCCTCCGTGCACCTCAGTCCACGAAAATACCAAACTGGCTGTACGCCGGGCTCCGCCACACGAAAATACAAGTACGCGGGGCTCGCCGCCCTCCGCCGCCTCATGGGCGTACACGAAAATAGAGCCCTATGTCTACACTTATCGATGAAATTATTTCAATATACTAAAAAGTACTATCTTTACACTCTAGGCTACCATTAAAGCTTCCAGGTGAATGTGGTTACCTGTCCATATACTCCTCCTTTTCCTATTAATACTCCCATGTCCTTGATGTCCTCAAAGATCTCAGCTATGCTCTCGGGAGGCAGAGGGTCTCTGCTGGCCTGAGAATGACAGAGATGATGCACAGAACATTGCAGAGGTGAGTGGAAATGGTACAAGTCGAAAACTATTTTGTTAAATCCTTCTTTTTTATGCTTAACAACTTAAAGAGGATGTTTTTAGATATTTTTTGGAGTGGTTTAAGACTAACCAAAATCAAATCCCAGTGGAGGATTACCTACAGTGTCACTGTTTTAATGACGTTTCAGATCAAACTGTAAAAGTCAAAAGTTATACAGTCAAGGAATATGCAACAAACCCTTAAAAGATGCCAAACATTAGTGACACTGGCACAGCTAGTTGTTTCCCAAACAGCACTGCTGCAGTTGAAAAATGGGTTGTTTAAAAGTTGACAAAACTCAAGATTATACATTTTCCTTTCTTTTTCCCCCCTCTTATTAAAGTTGCAGTGTGTGTTTTTCCATTTGCTGGCCTTTTTCCCAAAACAACATCCGATTGTTAACAAAAAACATTCAGGGCTACACTCAGTCGTACTTTTACTGCAGCTGGGATTTTTCTAAACCTAAACACAGACAGTCACTGCTGCTTCAGCTAATGGTTAACTGGGGCATCGCTGGACCATGCCCCCAAGGGACACAGCACAGACACACAACCACACACAAACAAACACATACACACACGTTGTTCAAGCATGTGAGGGGTTGTTAGTGTTACTTCTGCGACAAACTCAATACCTTGTCTTTGACCATTTCCACTCCAATCTGCAGTCCTTTCCCACGGACATCGCCAATAATCTCGTACTTGTCTCTGAGTTTGGCCATTTCCATCATCAGATAGGTCCCCACATTGAGACTGATCTGCTGCGTACCATCCTCTTTGATAGTCTGTAGAGTCAAAGAACAACTTTTACATGGTTTCAGATGTCATTCATGAGCCTCTATGATTACTACGTTTACATTTGCAGCTCTGGCGTTAGTTTACAGACATGTGAGAATGTAAATAAACTACCTCCTAATATCCTAATAAAACAAATATTCTTACATCAAGCACTGATGAAGCAACAGCACAAGCCACAGGGTTTCCCCCAAAGGTGTTGAAATGAACCCCTTTGGCAAATGAGGCAGCAATTTCTGGAAACACATGAATGAATGAGATGACATTTCTTTTTAGTGCCTTTTCAAACTAAAAGCTGGCTTTTTATAGATGACTTGCTTTTAAATCACTCCTGAAAGTATCAAGCTGTTCTTGTGTACATAGCATTACAGAGTGGGATTACAGACTAGCACCACAATGACAACAGCGCAACCTTTGAGTTTAGTTGTTAAGCATCTAAGGGATGTGTTAAGATTAATACGAGGAACAGCCTGCAATCACACATCATGTGAAATTAAGGGTGATCAATGCACCGAGTCTGCATTAAGAAAGAGACTGTCACAGCATAAGGAACAGAGGTGAAGCTGGAGTGCCTGTATTTTTCTCTGAGCAGGACAGATTTTTGTAGAGCTTTCACAGATCTGCTGTAATGTTATGTTGATGAGATTCAAACATGAAAATCAAACATGATGAATTCTACGTTCAAATCCTGAGCAGAGTGAAAAATATACAATAAAGAGGAATTTTCCTTGAATACGTTATCTTACCTGGAGTTGTCACAACAGCTCCCATTGGGAACCCATTACCAATGCCCTTTGCCATGGTAACCATATCAGGGATGACATCATGACCTTGGAAACCCCAGAAGTGAGTTCCTGTGCGACCAAATCCAGTTTGAACCTGTCCAGGTCAAAACAGGTCAATCCCTCTACATATTCAATTAATATGTCATGATAAACAAAGAAAGCAGTTCTCTTAGAATGCTTAAAGGCACTTTGGCAGTCCATTTTAGCATTTTTTACCTTATTGTTTTTGGTCTTAAGTCTTTCACCATCCCTGTTAGGTAAAGGCAGCTTTTTTAATGAAAGTTGTATAACTGTAATTGTCTGGCTTAAAGTGCTGTGGCTTTACTTACGTAACATCAGGGTTCAACATGTTTTTAGACACATTTTGCCTCAACTGAGCATCAAACAGCTCAGACTTTCTGAAAGGACAGAATCTGCAGCTAAAACTCTGAATTTAACCCAGTCTAGGTAACTGAATTAGCATAACAAGCTACCATACTTATGTAGCTATGTCAAAAGAGAGCTAGCTTCAAGTCAGTGAAAACCACTTAGTGTTGCTCCCCAGTACACCCATCTGCTCTTAGCGAGCAAAAACCAAAAGGCAGGTTGTGCAGGTTTAGAATAAGACCAGTAATATTGTGACACATCTCCTGTGACCGGCAAAGAAAGCAACAATACCTAACCTCATCAGCAATGCAGACCCCTCCTCTTTCCCTCACAAGTTTGTAGGCCTCTTTGAGATAGTTTTTAGGATACTGCACAGCTCCTCCGACACCCTGTACAAACAAGATAAAGACAAATGACACGACCACTTTGACAAAGTCTCACTCTGAACATGACGAAACTAGTCAGTCAGTTTTAAACATAGTAAAGCAACACCTTACAAAAGAATTACATTCAGTAATATTTTTACATTTACACTATATTACTTGTAACAATTAACAACAAGACATTACCTGAATCGGCTCTCCAAAGAAAGCAGCGATTCGACTCGGGACACTTGTAGCAAAAGTCTCCATGAGCTGCCCGATGTATTGATCATGAGCCATGCACTGATCTGTGGATTCAACAAAGAGCAACCGTCTATGTTAAAATAACATACTTTAACAAGTTGATTCAATTGGAAAATTTATAATCTTATCGTTTCTACAGAAGCTTTAAATTGAGACATTCTTTTTTTGAGAGATTGTCACATTATTGACTTTGACTCAATTTTCTTCCATTATCTACAGCAGCAAGTTAGTTATATAATGATAGGTCGGAAAAGGAAAATATTTAACATTCAAAACTTATTCTTAGTGTAACAACTGACTTTTTTCACAATGTTGACTTTTAGGGAAATTTATTAATGTAGCTTTTGAATAGTAACTCATTACAAGCTCATGTCTATTTCCACCAAAGCAGAGGTCTGTGAAGTATCATTAAACACAAGAATGTGTTTCTCTACACTACAGTTTACATACAGTATGGTGTCAACTCTTGCAAAGGTTAAGGTTTACATATTTGAGTTATGTGCAGCTAATAAAAATAACAAAGCAAAATCACACAGCTTCAAACATCAGCTGTTTTTTTCCTGCCTACATGATCACTGATCATTGAATGATAGAAAAGTTAATTTTTTTCAAGGCATGTTGCAAAAGTGATCCTAATGCTCAATAGTAGAGACAACATTTCAAGTTTTTTCCAGTTTTCAGGCAGCACTTTGAGCATGTTCAGCTGTGCGTTTGTATGTTTGTGTACCTTGTGCACAGCCACAGTCCCTGATGGTCTGCACAGGAGAGTCTCTGCAGTGGCTTCCTCCCCACGGACCTCTGAACACATCAGGACACATGGTCTGTTAATTGAGCAGAAAACTAGTCAGCTGGGTCAACCTGACCGCTACAGTCTCTCAGATATCCAGCATGAAGAATCCTATTTTGTTAATATTTACATCCCTACTTTACACATATTCCCCTGTTTGAAACAAGTCTGTGATTGCATTTTGATACATTATTCCATACATACATTGGTGCAGCCTAAGCCATTGGCAATGGGGTATTTATATGCTGCATTGGAAGTTAGTCCCATGGTCTGCGGACTCCCACCATGGTATGATCCCCTGAAACATAAAATATTACAATCAGAAAAAATTAGGACATCTGGATTGTAGAGGATTACAAAAACCATCCCTTCAAATCTTTATCCTTTCATAAAGTCACATTTATCACTTTTACATTATCTGTTTCCTAATATAATATCAAGCTAGCCAAAAAGACCTGAAAGTGATGATGTCAAAGTTGCCTGTGTGAAGCCGAGCCATCAACATCGCCAAGTCATTGGCTTCTGAGCCGCTGTTGGTAAGATATACAACCTAGACAGGGAGAAACAAACCAAACTTTAACTACTGCCATCCAGTGACTGAAATTAAATAAACCACCTCGGTACCTTCAGAGGGTCTGGTAAGTGTGAGGCTAGTTTCTCACAGTACTCATGAAGAGTAGGAAAGATGTAGATGTTCGTGGTATGCCATAGTCTCCTCAACTGATGCTCTGCTGCTGCTGTCACTTTCCTATACCCAATAAAAGAACAGCACTGAATAACTGGAATGACTTTTTCTTTTGCTAGCTCTGCATCAGAACACAAAGAAACAAGGACCTTACGGGTGGCAGTGGCCCACACTGACAGTAGCCACACCAGCAAACAAATCCAAATATCGCTTCCCGTCCACATCCCACAGCCACTGCATGAATCCCTGGTGGACGAAAACTGGTTTCTTATAGCTGGTAACCTTCATTGTCATGGGGTTGCAATTCAGCCGACGAATCTCCATCATCCGCTCTTTTGACATACCCTACAAATAAATACAAATGAAACATGAATTACTCACTAGTTTAAAGAACTTATTATTGTCATCACTATTAATGACAAATGAAAGGAAGAGACTGCTTCACCTTGTACTCTTCTGGCTCAAAATTGCATGGGGGCATCTCTGGAAGGTCTGTTGGAGGGTATTTGAAGGCTGATTTCTGACATAGTGCACCTGTTAAATGATTGCAGTTTAAATTAAGGCTGTAATTTACAAGAAACTATTGTTTTCCCTTGCAAGTAACCATCTAAAAGCTGTCAGCCACTTTAACCTCAATATGCTCACCTAAGACCTCACCTTATGCAACATGCAATACTAAACTGAATGTTCACCCCTGGTTGTAAAAAAAGGACACAGGTGTACTTGCAGTTTAATCGTGTTAGGTAAAAATTTAAGAAACTTAAGTTTAAAAGCAAGTTTTGAACTTAAGTTAACTGGTTACTTGACCAACTATACAGGAGGTTTTAAAAACTCATAACACAGCACTAAATAATGACTTTGATTCTCATGTTAACTATAACTACTGATGTTATTTTAGCAAGGAAACATCTTTTTTTTACTCTGGTCACTTCTTGGAAAGTTAGGCGACATCTAAAACATTGTTTACACGCACTCGGCTAACGTGAACGCTAAAGTTTCCCCTCTCGACAACATTCAGGCTATCTTGAGTAGAAACATAACATGTTCCGGTGCTGGAATTCGTTCGTCTCCATGGAAACTCACCACTTGCCGAGTGGAATTTGGACAAACCAGGAATAAAGCAGGGCTGCCACATTTTAGCAGCACAGCGGCCACTCATACAAGAAACAACTTTAAACATGCTGAAACGGGAAAGAGGACTCGTAGCTATCCCACTGGACTGTCCGTGAAACGACCTGTTGTCTACGAGTTCACTTCAACCCTGTGTCTCTCCACAGTCCCTCAGGACGGACGGGGGTCAATGACCCTGATTTCGCCAGAGACCACCTCTGTATGGAACGCCTGTAGGGTCAGAATCTGAAGAATGTACGGACTGTATCTCCAGTCATTGCACGATTTATAGCCAAAACAACCCTGGTTTCTTCCGGGATTTAATTGATTTCCTGAAACCGGTTTGTGCAGCAGTGTGCAGCAGGAGACTTAAGTGACTCAAGCTTTGTCATTGTAATGCAAAATCACTAATCAAAAGCTAACCAATTCTTTCTTTTTGCCACTTTAAACGAAGAATATAACATCAGCTGCTGAGGCTAGCAGTTTGCATAAAGGTCATTGTTGCAGTTAACAAGTCGGAAAACCAAGATGGATGCCAACAGTTAGTGGTTGTTAGCTGTTGTTTATAATTGTCAGCTGTCTTTGGCTGTTGTTAGCTGTTGTTCGCAGTTGTCAGCTCTTGTTAGCCCTTGTTAGCCTTGTCAGTGGTTGTTAGTTGTTTTTAGCGATAGCAGTTGTAAACAACGCATAGCACAGTATTTTACTCCTACAAACACCATAGCACCGTGTTCACAGTTAGACGTTGGGCAGTGTAACATATACTAATTATTTAATTTCTCAAAAACAAAACAGAAGTGCTAATTAATAATAGATTACGAGAGCTGTTACGCTTTACTGTTGATGCACAGCGCTGCCATCTTTGAATATGATGTTGTCGTCAAGTTGGGGTTGGTGGGGATCGTCCAACTTTCTGAGTCGGAAATCCGACTTCAGGGGGGCATTCCAGATGAATTTCCGACTCGGAGCTCGGAAAGTCTGACTTCCACGTACAACTGCAACGCAGAATTGATGCTAATTGGAAGCCAATGTATGATTTGTAGTATAGGGTTATAGAAATAGTTGATTCTGTCTCACAAATTTCTATTCTTGTCAGCATAGCTTTGAAAATTCATTACACTGAATTAGCATAATGTTTTATGGAGAGGTAATTTTTTTTTAATTGTAAACTTGACGGAACCACGCTTTATCACAAGTGGAGACACCCACAGTCACCAAGAGGACCAATCAACCTTAGTCTGGATGTCCTGTGTTTTGCTAACTTGGTGTGGGTTTGAGGGACCTCCTCTGCCTTCTTACACCTGTGCATTGGAGGAGAAGCCAAGCCAGAAATCCTGCAGATCCAGTAGGAATGATTTTGGACTTTTAAAGAAAAACATGTTTCTCCTAAAAACTGTCCACTCCAAAATTTCCTTGTTTTTAAACAAAGGTGGCCTTCAACCTCCGATTCTGTCACAGCACTTCCTCCTTCTGTTCTTTGGTTTGTGTCCTAACTTTCTGCCTTACCCAGCCAGTCCACTTGATGGTTTTCTTCACTTGTTTCTCAAGAATTAAATATACTGGAATTGTAAAAATATTAATAAAGGCCTCAAATTAACACTGTTTTACATTTAGATCCATGAAAAAACATATGCCAACACAAAAGTAATGAATTTCTCATGTGCTCCTGGGGCAGCTCAACAAAGTCACATATGCATATAAGTATAAGTCAATTTACTAACAGGCATAAATTAAAAATTAAAATCACATCACAGTTCATCAAAAATTTATTGCTGTCATGGTTTTATGGTAAGATTTGCAATATTATTTCACTGCTGAGTCAAACTGCACTTAGATTATGACTCACTTGGCTTTCCATATCTATACATATACATGCATAAATAAAAACAAAGGGAAAACAGAGTGACTGGGTCACTAAGGATTTGTGTTGTGGCTGTTGTGGATTGCAGACTACATGTCATTATGTCAGTATTTTACAATCCATCAATATAAACATGTTTAAAAAACAAAGGAAATTAAAATTATTTTAAGACTAAACTTTATACAGTTATGATTTTGAGTAAATAATTTTGATATATGCCCACATTGTAACAGTAAACAGTAACTTTCATGAACGATTCATTCATGGCATGAACAAGTTTGCCAGCAATGAAGAAGACGATTTATGACATGGTTATGGATCTAAACAATGGCCTGAAGAAAAAGACAATGTATACAATCATATGCTTTATAAAGATCATTGTTCAGATCATTCAAACATACATTTGGATCCTCAAACCAGTCTCAACCAGAGTAAAAGTAAAAATATATTGTTTAAATTAGATACCCGTGATCTGTAATACCAAATTTGGTCTCTTCAAGAATTTCTAAATCCACAGTGTTATGTTCTTGAATAGTCTCAGCCCCGCCCTGAAACAGGTCTAACAATGTCCTAGACTTGCTTCATTGGGCTTAAGGAGCAACTAGTAACTGGGCAGTGTGCTGGCAGTGGAAGTGTCAACATAACCAGTCACCCCTAGAACCATGTTATCCTGTACTGGCATGGCAGTGTGAATGCAGACCCTTGGTTTTTGTGTCATGGTCGCTGTGGACAGTGAGTAGCAGTTCTCTGTTCTCTCTCCATTCATGTCCCGGTCTCCACAAAAGCACCTGTCTCCTTGAGTGACCTCTCTCTGGAGCAGTAGTCTGTTGTCCCTGTCTACTCCATTCACCCTGCTGTAGTCCTCCCCCAGCGGTACCTGGGAGCAGTCTTCCATGTGACCCCGCTCTGAGTCCACAGGCTGGAGCAGGACCATATTCTCTTCGTTTACCCTCTGGACTTCCACATACTCAGTCGATTCAGGTGCGGGTGAGTGCAGACCTCTGAGTTCTCGTTTGTGGCCAATACTTGAGATGTTGACATCACTGTGAGCTTGAAGTTGCCGCTGAGGCCGAGTATGAGGATGGAGTAGATGAGGTTGTTTGTTGCTCAAACCGAACTCCCAGTTGCTTGGTCTGAGAGTCTCCTTAGTGTGCTGGCCTTGCTGGTCAAGGCTGGAGGATGTGGAACCTAGAGGGAACAGGGTGTCAGAGTGACAGTGCTGTTTCGCCCTCTCAAGTGAGCCCTTGTGCTCCAGCCTACCTGAGCTGTACTGAGGCAGTGGAGAAAACACACAAGGCCAAGTCTTCACCCTTCCACTAGAAATGCTGGGACTGACCATGTCCTCATGAGCACAGCTTGACCCTTCCTCCTCCCAGTCCCTCTGGTTCCCCTGGCTCTCTGTCCCTGCTTGACCGCTCCCCTGCTCTCTAGGTTTCCTTTTCTCTTTTGCTTCTCGAAATTTATCCATCAGAAGTGTGTGGCTGTCGCAGCTGCCCCGTCCGGAATCGTTGTCCGACGTGCAACCTCCAGATTTGAGGCAGAGATCATTTAGATCCTTGCTCTCCTCCATTATCAGCTCCTGCTCCTCGGGTACATACACCTCTAAATACTCCACCAGCAAGTCCTCACAGTTTGGCGGTGCAGTTGGGGGGAAACTGGGCACGACCAGTGCGCTGAAGATCTCATCACACTTGCCATTCTACATGAAAAAAGAGAAGACAGTTACAGATTTGCTTTTTTAAACAGAAGACTCAAGACTAAAACTAAAATTAGGCAGTAAACACTGTATCACATGTTGCCGTTTTACCTTAAGAAGTTGCTTATCAAATCCTTTGATTTTTGGACCCGGGACAGGCGGCAGAATACAATGCTTCAGACTTCAGACAAAGAAAAATACAGATAAAAGTTAGGATGCATAAAAATAAATGGCCATAAAATAATAAAATGATATTTATGATCAAAGGTCATTTGATTGTAAGATTACACCTTTTTAAAAATATTTGTAAAAATGATCAATTTAGCTTTTTAATTGCATACGTAAACAGTGTTTGGGATGCACTTCGTGAAAATTAGCAAAGTTATATGTTGAAATTGTCCCCGTCTGCAATGGTAGATACCAGTGGTAGAGATTTTCAACAGTGGGGTCAAACTGGCCGGGATCTCCTGTGGTTAAAATGCTTGCTAGTGACAACGGCCTCATAAAATAGACAAACTATCTTTTTACTCTGTTTCATTTTCCATCATCAAGAAATATATTAAAAATTCCAATATTAACTTTATTTTTAATAATACAAAAAGAACATTTGAACATTTCTCAATGTTCCTAATATCTTTCTCTTTTTCTGTACACTGTTAATTAGTGACAATAATAAACTAACACTGTCAGACGGTTTGACTTATATGATATCTGAGCTTGTCCCCAAAGACAAAATAAATGGTGCATCTACATGGTGATATATTAACGTTGCCATTACTTAATATAATAGTTAGAATAGAAAATAGCTTTTATGCAGAAGTTTCAGGAGAGTAAGGTCATGTTTAGTCTAATGAAACTGTTTTCTTGAGATGAGTTTGAAAACTACGACTGCAGTGTAAAACCATGACATTCATTTAAAATCAATACAACAGCAAAATTCATTTGATTATTAAAGTATAAGAAAGTCATGATGATGTTCTTACCTCTGGCTGTTCATGTGCAGCAGCCACGTGAGGATGAGGAAGATGAAGGCACAAAAGCATGTAATGAGGACCCACATTGGCTTTTCACGATGGAAATCTGCAAGTCAAAACATCCCAACATGAGTGAGTCAACACCACTTATAACCGCTGTGCCACTTTTACTTATGTTTGGCAAATATGATAGGAAATGAAAGCTAAGATGCATAATAAGTGGATTAATTTTCATCTAATTTAGGGACTTTAGTTAATCAATTAATGTAAATTTTGTAAATAAGAAAATTTTGGGGAAGAAAGAAGAAGATTGATAAAAGTCTCAAAAGCTTCTCTTGAGTTAGAGTTCAATTAGCTTAGCTTGCTGGAATTGGTTCTGTCCAAAGCAGATATCCAATCACTTAGGTCAAATATAAAAATCACTTTCCAGTTGGATTAACTTGTAAATAAGTTTTTCAAATTTTCAAATACTTATTTGATAAGAAGTGGTCTAATAGCAGACTTTACAAATCACTGCTCTGAGCCAAGAAACAGCTTTGTCAGACATTATCAGAAAATTAAGAAAGAGCCAAATTAGGAAACCTCCAAGCTAACTGTGTGTATGACTGCAGCATATGCTAGACTAAGCTCAGACCAAACAGACCTGAGGGGAGAGTGGTGTAAAGAAAACGCATGGGCATATATTATTGAACTCTATATATAAGAATTACATTTTTTTATATATTAAGTACAAACTAGTATATGGTTAGTGTGGCCAGTGTGGTGTCATGAAATTGATAGTTGGTAGATGTCTTACAATCAGGAACTTTGATGTAGGAAGTAGTACTCCATTCACTCCAGAAGCCATGGTCAGGCTTACAGCGCACCTGGACCAGGTATGTACCCCCTGATCTCAGGCTAAAAATGTTAAACATCTTCTGCTGGCCTGCAAGGTGCATCTGGAAATAAAGCACACACCATTGACACAGTTATGCAGAGTTAGAGCAGAGCTTCAGTTTCCAGCAGACAAACTGTCAGTGGTGTATACAGAATGATAAAATTTGCCAAAAAACAGTTTCTTGAGTTTGAGATCCAGTGTAACATCTTGAGCATGTTTTTGTCAGTAAGGAAAAACTTACCTCCCACTCATTTTCCCCTTCCAGCTTGACTCTAAGCTCGTAGATGAGAGTGATCCAACCAGAGCGAGTGTCAGCCTGATGGGGCGGTTCCCATGACACCCGCAGAAAGGGCCAGCCCTTGTCCTCCATCACGGTCACGGTTACCTTCTCTGGATGATTTGGCTTGACTGGAGAGGGTGACAGAAAGACGGGGGGTGTTTTTGTGAGTGGCTGAACTTTAAGAGAAAAGTCGACGGTGAATCTAATCCTAATCCCCCTCTTCTAGGAAATAGAAAACCAATGAACACCAGAAGAGGATAAATTCCGTCATTGCTGAGGTGATTTTTCCTAAGATTGATGCACATGTGACCTTCGGGGGAGCTGATTGGGAGCAACATTGAAGTTATTTTTGGAGACACACAGCTGAGCGTTATGAAGGAAGGCAGACACATTCAAGGCAAGGATACTGCTGAGAACTGATAAGCAGATCAGGTCAACTCAACTTTTGGAGACAGAAGGAAGAAGGAAACTTTGAGATAAGCAGTCTCAAGGGCAGGTACTTGAGGTTTTAACACTTTATCATCAGCCCAACATGGTTTTATTTTCAACATCATGGCTGCATGAGATTAATTACTGACTACGTACAATATTAATATTGTCTCATAAAACACAACATAAAGTAGATCTGCTTAGATTTACGTTTAATTAGCCAGAAGTAATAAACTGGAGGTATTTTACAACTATCCCAAACAAGTTCAAACGACTCAAAGCAGGATGTAGTTGTTTTTCCAAATCACATTTCAAGGTTCAAGGCACCCTATTGTAGCTGCAGCAAGTGCAATTAATCTGCCTACAACCACCAGCTGTGCAAACATAAGAATAGATAAGATACAATAAGAGGATCATATCAACAAAAGGTTATTTGACGAAGTGGATTTTCGATAAGCAGCAAAATGTCAAGTAAGAATCCATGATTTGATTGTCTGTATGACTCTAGAAAAAGCTTCTTCTCATCCTCTCAGTTATTGCCCCAACAGAGCGTAATCATCGTCCAGAAAGCAACCACGCCAGACAGATCTGGTCGTGATCTGGGTGATGTAAGTCTTTGTTGATCCGGTCTGCAGTCTTTTGTCTGATCATTCAGCTCCTATGAGAAGCTATGATGGAGCCCCACAGAACAGACTCAATTTTGTTAATGTCGCATTTTTCAGCAGAGCTTAGATGAGCTTAGATTTCCTCAGACACCCAAGATGGCACAGGCATTACCGTGCTTTCTTCGCCCAGTATAGTGACGTGTGCAGATCACGTAAAGTAATCTGAGATATTCAAACTGAGATATTTATAAAGGCTCTCAAATAATATGTAAAGGCAAACAACAGTAGGAAAATTCACCATGTTTCTGAAAAGGGGAAGAAGCAAACCAGAAGCAACCCTTGAAGAAAAGCGACTTGTTGGGCTGCAGCTTCACTTGAAAGCATTTTCTCCAATATGACCAGTAATTGTAACATTAAAATGCAGTTCTTTAATCCCCATTACGACGTTGTGCCTTGAATATTGCACTTAACCATTGGCACAAATGCAACCCAGAAAGGCAGTGTAAGAGCGCCAAGCAGTTACTCACCGATGTACACAACATCTATATCCACAGGGTCAGAGAAAGTGCTCCCCAGTGCGTTGGTGGCCACCACAGTGATGTTGTAGTTCACCCAGATGGATGTGTCGTTCTTGTTAAAGAAGCAGGAGTTCTCTCCAGCTGTGTGGTAGTCCGGACACTCGTACACAGTCTCAGAGCTGCAAGAGGCAGATAAACGACATTACTGATGGTGCATTTATGAAGAGCAACATGCAGTCTTTATGCTTCACTGCCTAAAACCTTGCATGTGAATCTGACCAAACCAGCGTTTTCTTTGCTATTATTCGCACCGGCTTTTTAAAGTCTGGTCGTCCCTGAGTGTATGTCTTTTCTCGTCTGCCCATCTTTAGTTTGATTTGTGTTGAGAGGCCTTGAAATAACTCAGCTAACATGTCTGTGAGCACTTGGCCACCAATCCTAGACTACCAGAGAGCTTTAATTCACTAGATTCCCACAGCTGTCTTGATGTTTAGAAATTATAAGAGCATACAAGCAAAATCCAACAAAATTTCTCCAATTTTACTGCTTATTGGTTAAGGAGTCACTAAAAAGCTGATGGAGATTAAATGTGCGGTCATACTCAAAGCACTCATTAGAGTTTTTTGATGTCAATAAAGAGTGAAATTCATATTAAAGCTTTTTTATGACATGTACAAACACATAAGACCATCAGCAACAAGCCTGATGTTTTTCATATTGTAATGTTTTAATTCGAGTAGCTGGGGTGAGGGGATAGGTGTCAGCCTTAAGATGTTTTGTCATGTTTTTAAAACTTGATTAATGATACATTTGATTGTCAAATATCCGCTAATTTACAGCTGCCTCATGAGGCACCACTGGGTCACCAAGAATGTTGTCAAAAATGATGTTGTATCGACGTGTGTTTACATTAACTATGCCTTTAATATTTTATGCAGCAACACTAACCTGGTTCTCCTCATTTTTCAATTTTAACAACCCATATGTTTAGAATTTGTATGTGCTCTGTCACTCATACCTTTATTCCCTTTAAGTGTGCACCTTACAAATTCAGTGAATGAAGCTCTCTGCTATTTTAAACCTCTTATACCTATCTGGTGGCCACACCTCTGTGACATACACAGTCACTGACGAGTGTATTGACCTTCAAGATGCAAAGACGCCTGTCGTATTGAACACAGTCACTGCTCGGCTCTATTTATTGAACTCTGACACCTTCATCTGTGCTGATTTGAACTCACTTTTCTTTACGATAGAAGAGAGCGTAGGTGGTTGGTAGCCCTCCATCAGAACCTGGTTCCCACCAGCAGGTAAAGGTCTCTTTTTCTGGTGAGCGACATCTGGTCAGTACTGGCTTTTCTGGCGGGCTGTAGCCTGAAGAAACACAACAGATGCATCATATCAGATCAGATACTTAGAAATAATACATAGTGGTTTATGTAACAGAATTTAAGACAGTAATATAATTTGAGAAAAAATGTGTGATTTATCACAAAAACATCTCAACATGCTTTCACCATTCATTACCACCAATACTGGGATTTCCTGGGTTACATTCAACCCCTTAAATATTTAAAGTCAGGAACTTTTACTGATATTGTAACCATGTTAGAAAGTAGGCTAAACACAAACACTTACGCATTGCCTTTACACACAGTGTGAAGACTAGCAGCAACAGCAAGTTAACCTCCACTGAACTCTTCATCATGGCACCACAAAGACTCATTGGCTGTAGGATAAAAGCAAAAAACAAATAGGGTGAATAAAAAGACATATCATCTTGTATGCTGCTGATGAACCAGACAACCCACAATCTTTAGATCCATCAGCCACAACAGAGTGTTTTGGGTCACAACATGTTTGCATGGCACTAAACCTGCCTAATGTGGATGAAATGTTTTGTACATTTTATAACATCAATTTAAGGATAAAGAGTTATTAATACTAGATTTAATTAAAGCAACAGTATCTCTGAAAAAAATATATTTGGCATCAATCTTTACATACAGAAAACCGGCATGCCTCACATACAGTAGGTATTAAAACAAATCTAACTGTACAGCAGCAAATGTGATGAATTACAAGAAAAATGCCTCATATAAACACTGTATTCTCTTTCAACATGGATTAAAAGCATCATCTCTGTTTGTGTCTACCTCTACCAGCTGACACATGCAGCATAACTGATTACATAACCTGCATTCAGGCTTTTTCCTCTGTAACAGATTCACACATAGCAGGGGGCTGGCATATCAAGCTTTTAGCCTCTGCTATTCCTGTTCACTTGAGCATGCATTTCCCTAGCAGATCTGTGCAGATGTCTGAGTAATTACAGGACACGACCCCTCATCTCTGGTAGTAGTAAGAGGGGAGTTGAGGTTAAAGCGAGTAGATGTTGAATCACTGAAAACTAAAAGCTGGCAGAGGGTAATAACCCACACGCTTTGACACATGCTCTCTCCTTTTTTCTGAGCTGATAGAGTTGTTGCTGACATTTAAAGGATTTGACGCACTGATTACAGAAGCCCTTAACATTGCTCTCGTTGATGAAGGTCAGAAAAAAAGAAGTGACAACAAAGAAATGATTAAACAAAATGCCAACTCTATTCCAAGAAATGGAATATAAGACCGACAGTTGAAAAGTATACACACACAAAACTGTTTGATTTATGCCAGCCAAGAAATCAACAACAAAAACAACAACTTTAACTAATATTTCCTATGCTAGCATCAATAGCCAGAAGAAAAACGTTCCAATTTTTATAAAAACTGGCTATTAAAAATGTACTGGTGCTTAATTCAGTCAAAATTGTGTGCATATTCAAGATGTAGTATCTGCTGGGGTTGGCCTGTATTGGTTTTTCAGTTTCAGTACCAATAATAAGTAGTTCACGAGACTGATAACTGATTTTTGTAACTGATAGTGGAATTAAAAATCTGTTATTATCAAAATTTGTTATTTGGAATATGGAAAACTCCATGTCAAGAGTCTTCTTAAATGTCTTTAGCAAGTGTCTAATCAAATCAGAAGCATTCAACTTCAAACACTAGAGTAATGAGGAGTTAAGAACCAGATACAGTTACAGTACAGTTGTGTCACGTGGTCTTGTGATGTCTAGCCAATCAGATTTTATTGTGGGTGAAACATTTGATGAGATAAAATGGTGTAAGACAGAAGAGCCAGGCAGACACAAGGCCGATAACTGGTCCACCCCTGGTATGTACTACTTTATTTTATATATTATTGAATGTATTTTTTGTTCATGTTATATGATAATATAATCTTGTGTCTTTTAAAATTGGAACTACCGCCATTTAAATATGCGCAACATTGTGATTCCTGATAAGTTTGCTCATCAGGACACAACAAGTCTTTCCTATCAATCCCTATGATGTTAAATGGTATTGTATGATATCATAGTAAATATCCCCTATTACATGTTGAGATATTGTCAAATACCAATTAAGAATAAACACAAGGTGCTTTGCCTCTTATGCTGTTTGGTATTATATATTTTATACATTACATTAAATACATTAAAAAGTATTTTCATCATATTCATTTTTTGTGTGATATCATATGGAAGTGCAAACTAGTGTTGCTTACTTTCACCTTTTATACCCCAAAATAGTGTGCACCACCCACACCTCAATATCCCACAGGCCTGACACAGCATAGCACAAGAGGTTTCTTGCTGGCCAACACACACACTTCTTTTCTAGAGCATAAACTGTGAGTTCAGCTTTAAATGTAGGGATGCCACAGTGAAATCAACGTTTTTTGAGAATGTCAACACAATGCCTTTTGTGAAATATCCCTTTAAAGTAAATTTCAACATGTGAAGACTACTCCCTACAGCTCTACATCTTGTACATGCAGTACATAATGTTATGCAAGAAGACCAGAGCATGTTGCCACACCATGCACAGATATGCTAACTCATGTTCAGCTAATTAAGTAGCTGTGTTTTAAACATGATGGGGAAAAAAAACAGAAGTTTTTTTCCATGGCAGGAAGCGTCTTTCAAAGCTGGCACCTTTGCTTTCCTTAACACTATAAAAACTGTGCTGGTGACTGTTTGCAAGTCTTGTTTATTCTGCCTTAATTTCAATAACGTCATCATGATCTGGTAATTGGCATTAAGGTCAGGGCCCTGGATTAGCCTCCTGCTGCATATAGCCGTCTTACGTAACCAATAGCTCAAACTGAATAAGCTGCTAAGCTGGGAAAGTGCTACCAAACAGTGCAGACCGACAGATCCCACAAAGCCAGTGGTTTGAATATCAAAATTTTAGTGTAACTTCAAGCCTCAGTTCGTAAAACTCCACTTCTCACAGCTTATACTTTTATTATAATTCATATCTTTACAACTTTGACAGGTTCTACAAAGTGACTCAACGTACCACAGAGCAAAAACTGCTCATACACACTGAACTAGATGATATGCATGCAAATGACATTATGTGTGTGGCATAAAATAAAAAATTATATTATTCAAAGTCAAGTTATTCTGAGATTATGTCTGTAATCCATACAACTTTTGTCCTTTGACGTCTTCAGGAATGAGGAAAGTGACAGAGGGGTCATTCGGCATTTTCAGCAGTCAAACCAGGTGATACCCTGGGGAATGACTGTATGACAAGCAACCTTTACATAGGTGGTTAGTCTTGTAAATACACAATCACAGTTTTATTATTTGCTGCAGTAGTCCTATTATGATACCCCTGGATGTAAATTATTGTTCAGTTTTATACAAACTTACTTCTGCCTGTGCATGCAGCTCAAATAAAATAAGCTAATGGAGCATAAAGTTTACTCATTTATCACTGCTTTTTGTAGAGTCGAAACTATAAACTCCATCCCCCTCAGGGTTTGAGAGCTTCATTCCTATCTCTAATATTTTAAAAGCCACAAACAATATTAATGACTGTTTTCAGGAACTTGATGGCACCACAATATCATGTGTATTAGCACGCTGTGAACAACGAAAATGTGCACAGTTCACTGATCAATCCTCTTATGAGGAAATATACTAAGTGTGCATTACAGATTGTAAATCAGCTTAAACCATGTGTCAAATGAAAAAAGAAAAACGGTTTCCAGGAATTGAGCACAATCAAGCGGTTTCGTATCAAAAGACTTGACCTTCGCTTATGCACAGATGGGAACAGACTTCCAGGAACCATGAAAAACCGGTTATATCACCACCACCAGCCCCTTTCTAGGAACAATTATTTTCTTATGGGGGTAAGCAATTTCTGAAAGCAACAAACCACAAAAGGATTTCAAATTATTGGGCACGTTTCAAGGCTTGGAACTGTAAACTCAGGCTATTAATATAAGTGAAAAGTAAATGCCAGCTTGAGCATGAAAATGTATTCTTGGGGTTGCAAGTGAGTGTTTCAAGTTTCACTCTTGGAGTTTGATTTGATCATTTGTAAATCTAAGTCTAAAATAAAGTACGATACATATCATATTGTATCATATCTTGTCAAACTGTATCATGTTTTATCTTATCCTACAATACAATACAACATGATGCAGTGCAATACAATATGATATGACATGATACAATACAAAATACACAATGATATGATAAAATCCGATACAGCACAGTGTGATACATACAGTACAGTGCTGCACAGAACAATACAGTATAATCAGTTTGATTGTTTACGGTTTGGTATGGCACAATACCATAAGAAAAAAAAATGATATAATGGATCAGACAACATTAATACCATATCATAGATTAGATTAGAGAAGATTAGATTAAAATGGATCAGATTGGATTAGATTAGATAGATTTTACTGATCCTTTTGGGAAGGTTCTCTCAAGGAAGTTAAAATTTCAGCAGCATCAGTACATAGAGAAAAAAAACTGAATGATCAAATAAGTAAGAAATAAGTTAGATACTCTTTTATTAGTCCCACAAGGGGAAATAATGTAATATATATCAATAAATATGATTTTATATTAAATAACCATATTATTGTGACACAATACGATATAATATTATGTGATGCAGTGCAATGCCATGCAATATGCTGCCATTTGATACAGTATGAGTCGATACGATATGCTGGGATGCAATTTGGGCTGTAATTTGGTACAATACGTGTGATACAATACAATACAATATGATATCACACTTTGTTCTACCTTTTGCTGCTGCCTCCACACCATACAACTCATACTGTACATAATTCAAATGGTACACAAAATAAATTAGTCAGAGATAAGAACACTATTCAATTACGGCCCAACCAATACAGCATCATCATTAACCAAGCAGGCATGGTTTAGCAATCCCAGACACTTAAAAGTACAGAAATGTAACAAATTCTGAAAATCAAAACTGCAAACATGCATTTTCCAGTTAACAACATACTAGAATAACGACAAGGAAGTTGTTTGGGGAGAAAGTTGCCATGCCACCTTTTAATTAAAAGCTCTGAACAGCTAACATATAGAATAACTCAGAACTCACAAAAAAACCAACCATGTGTTATTTATTTCAGCACATTTGTAGCCAGAATAACTGAAGGTTACACTTTTTACTTCACTCTTTCCTGTAAAAATATACTTCCTCTGTAGTCTTGGCCAACCCACATCCTGTGTCCTCTAGTATTTTTGAAGCACCGACGCACTGGAACAGATCCTGCTGATCTTTGGGCTTATTGAAAATAGGTTAGTAAGATAAGGGAGACCTTTATTTATAGAGTGAATCGACAGCTTACTAAGGCCCCTGTGTGCAAAGTAGTTTTCCTTCAATAGAGACACAGGAAGGAATGACTTTAGGGGTTTCAGATGAACGTTTGCCTCCTGTTGCACTGACTCTGCAATTATTTTAAAGTGGGATGGATCAGCTGTTAAATAATGCATTAATGCCACGATTAACCTGCAGCTGCAATGTATCTGTATTTGGTTCTATCAGGTATATTTGATCATGTGCAGATGTATGTAAATGTGTCTGAGCTTGTACATGTGAGTATACGTAGCTCATGTATGTATTTAATACACAGACTTGAATGAATTAACCTGCCTGTCACATCTACCCTTGTTTTTTTTTCTCTGCTCTTTGTCTGTATTTGTGTCTACTGGATATTGCATTGTTTCGTTGCTTTAGTCAGTATCAGTTTCTACTTTTAATCTAAAATCATATTAAGAATCTTGAAAGTGGTACATATAATCAAAGCAAAATTGTGAAATCCAACTTGTAATGTGGGCTTGATTCTATGTGTAAAAGTTGGTTCATCATTTCAACTTTTTCAAAAGCCATCATTGGCCCAGACAGAGTCAAAAGGTCAAAGCCAGCACCAACTCTCTGACCTTAAGATGTGATCAAACTGCATGTTTAAGAAGTGCGCCTTATAAATGTAAATAATTCCCCATAGGCAAGAGCCTTTCTTAATCCATCCTGGATACATGTTGCACTGTAATAAGTCTGTGGGACCTAAATATTCAAAGCTGGAGTTAGCATGCACTGGCTGACTAAAGCTCTGCCGCTCAGCTAAATGTGGAAAGAATCAGTAAGCTGCAGGCACCTCAAATTGTAATCTGGTATTCAATTGATCAGCTTGGTGCTATAACTGCTAAAGGCCCCTCTCACCTCTTTATAACCCAGCTAACCAGCCTGAGTGCAGATCATGAACATAGGAATCCCATTAAAACCGCAGACACCCAGTGTCATCATAATCCTCCTACTCTGAGGAAAATAACCTTTAATAATCAGTCAAAAGAGAATACATCCCCACACAGAGGAGAACAAGTTTAACAAACTCAATATTGTTTAACTTAGAATCCATCACTGCTAATAGCTGTTGGCTGTTGAGGACACATAAGATAGTCCCTAAAAGAGAGAGAGTCACCTTGTAAAGTTCACTCAGGACTCAATTTGGCAATGATCAAAATCAGATCCTCATTAATTTTTTGCTGGACTTATCTGTTTTAATAATTATCCACAGCATTAAAGCACAGAATAATAACATACCATGTAGAAAATAATCAACCTGATCTGAAAACTCTAACTCTTGTAAACAAACCATACCCACAGGGAAACTTGTGATGAGGCTGTAACTGTTATATTGATAGTTTGATTCAGATCAAGTGGTTGGTCTGTATGATGTAAACAGAAACGAAGATCGTTTATTCCCTAACATAGATAACAAGGAAACACAGTCAGCCACATTTGGCATATCTGACCATAACAGGGTGCTATAAACTCAGGGTCCTGATACTAGCGTGCTATATACATTGTACAGACAAAACTGTAACCTACCAGCAGCAGACAGAAGTTTGAGGTCCCTCCCTCGGTTTACTGGCCGTGCTAAGTCCGTTGCTAGTTCCCAGGAGAGCGGACTTGCCGACTTGTCTACCTGGTTTACTGGTTTATTGGGGTGGCAACAGACAAGGGCACATGCCTTACCACCCTCCAGGCTACTAAGCCGTCCTGTCACACAGCAAAGTAATCGCAACATCCATCCTCCCTCCTCCTCCTCCTCCTCACTGAGGCTGTGTGATCCTGGTTATGGGCGGGGCCAATGAAAACCACGCCCATCACGTTTGCACTGGAACAGAACAGATTGGATAACTCGAGGATAACCAGCAGAAAATCCATCCCGTGTACTTTCCTTTTCTCTCTCTCTCTCTCTCTCTAGCTGTCAAACCTTTTTAAAAACCTTAAAAATTGTCAGGTTATTGTATTTTGTTCATCAGCTAAACAGCACATTATCACAGCTGGACTTCTATAAGCAGACTATCAATCAGTCAAACAAACTGTATTTTTAAAGCACTTTTCATACATAGAATGTAGCTCCAAGTGCTGTCCAAGTAAGATAAATAAAAATATAAATACCAAACCCACCCACCCTCCCAACCCCTATTCAACACATACAGCACTCACAAGCTCACACACACAGATGCACACGCAAAAGACCAGGTGAGGACTCTTCAACTTGCCACAGATGACTGAGGAAATGCTATCTTGAGTTAAAAAAAAGATGAGGAAACACTGGATCTCAGACTAAAATGATAAAACTATGATAAAATATAATAAAGGTGACAAAGCGTTAAAAGTTAATTAGATAAAACAGTCTTAAAATCAAACAATAAAAGAGAATAATTTAAAAAAGAGGTAATAAAACACAGAATAGTTACTCTAGGACTGAAACAGCATAAAATCACATAATGCAGATTAAAAGATTAAAACAAAATTCAACTGAAAGCCAGACTAAAAAGGTAGGTCTAAGACTAGGTTTAACTGTTTAAAATAATAATTTTTGTAAGCTCTTCCCATATTTTGTTTTAGGATATATACCCTTGATAAAGACAGTAATGAATGCACCATTTCACTAAAATACTTTTCTTTTTCTTTTTGAAAGATGAATTAAATAAATAAATAAATAAATAAATAAGTGGGTCTACCTGAAACTATATTTTAAACTCCTATAAGGGACTCTCAACTTAGGTCAAATTTAAAGACCCTCTGGACAAAACGGTACATTATAGCTCTTTTCCAGTCTTATTCTGTGTTTTCACAAGAAAAATGTTTCCCTCACTTTGCAGTTTGAGTAAAACATGATTTTGAAGTAAAAACTAATTCCTCTGTCAGCTTTCTCTATTTCTTCTCTTTGTCTTTTTTCTTGGAATTCATCCAGACAATTTTCTTTATTTTTGAAAGTTAGAACTTTCAAAAGACACAAAAAAAAACAACCTAAGTTTTCATGTCAGGACTAACAAGGCCTCCTTCTTCCATCGGGGCGCTAGATAGCCAGTCCACTTTCCCCCTTCTATCCCTGCCTGTGGTAAACCAGTACTATCTGCCTCTGCTGTTAAATTATCATAAGAACTTATTTGGGATACTGGTGCTCTGGGCAACCCATGGCCTTTTCTGCAGCTATCTTAGTGATTTTCAATCACCCTAAATTTGAATAAATATTGTAAAGCTTTTAACAATTGGAACACAATGATCTATTAAACTGTGTATCTAACTCAACAAGTGTTCAGTGGATGCTGAAAACACAATCAAAGTAACTTATGATGTACCAAATTGCATTTCCCTCCTATTGTTTAACAGCCCTTTTGTTTGCTACATTTTCTTCATTTTTGTGCCAATTAGTTAGTTAACCTTTCACAAGAGTGACTCTACGCCCTTTGTGTACCACAGATTGATATATACCCCCTATCCCCCTATCAACCGTATTAAAGTTATATTCTGATTATATTGTAAAAGGGCCCATTGCTCTTGGTGTTTCAGGCTATCTTTGTGATACATTTTTGGGGCTACACCTATCAACTTCTGTGTAAGTGAAGCTCTGGAAGTTAACATACAGAAATTTAGCATCAAGTGAATGATACCTCTGCATCAACAGTGGCTGTGGAAATATCTGCCCCTTCCCTTTCAGCTCTACTTAGAAGCAATAATGTTACATAATAAGGCCATCTGCTCCTCGCAATGATTTAAAAGTCCCATTATGCGAAATCCTGACTGCCAGGGAACATTTAAACAAGGACTTAATGCCTCAAATAGAAAAAAAAATTGAGTGTAGAGACTTATCCCATTTTTATAATCACAATTTATGCCATTATGAATGCTTTTAGGTTAGAGTAGCAGGTACGGGTGTGTTTTTGGTGTGACAGCAGGCTTACTGGTACTGCTGCAAGTTCTACCTGTATTTTGAGGTCAACCCACCCAATATTTAGTTAAATGCGTCCACTCGGTTTGCCTCCATGTTTTATTTGATCTCACAGGCATCCAATATCTGGAATCAGCAAGCTTCGGACACATAGGAGGGAGTAAACATGGGCACTTAGCAGCATCTAGTGGCGGATCCTGGAACTAGAAACTTGGCAAAGCGAGACGTTAAAAACTGCAAACCCTAACCAGAAGCTTGTGGAAATTAGTGTTGTTTCGTTCGCGAACGATTCGTTCAAAAGAACAGAATAAGTGAACATACTGAACTGAATCACTGCCTCGAGAGATTCGTTCATTTCTCACTTCAGTTAAGCTGGAGTGATAAACAGCATTGCCAGTCGAGCAGCCAGTGAATGAGGGACCACATGCACTGACACCTGAATCACTTGGTGAACGAATCACGCATTGAACTACACTCTCTGGAATCATTTTTGTCAGACAAAACTACCTTTTGTTATTATTTTTTTTACTGCTAAATTGCCACCACCACAACTTGCATACAATAGGACACAGCATGTAACAAGTAGTGCATTAAACCTGCTGCATTAAACCTGCAGCATCCTATCATTGCAGCGGTTTGCGAGGGAATGGTGTATATTCAGTTTGAATTCCTCTAAGCGCTCAGTGAACGAATCACGCACCGAGCCCAATTTACCGAGCAGACCTGGTAAATAGCATACCATAGAACAGTACACTGGAAACATCATGAATTACATTTTTACAAACCTGTTTGCCACAGCAACACAGCCACAACACTCGTGTCTCCCAGTCGCAGAAGCTTTAAATTGAACTGAATCCTGAACCGTTCAGCTGTGTAACAGTTCAGGAGGTCAGAGTCGCTGGCTCCTCCCGCCAAGGGCTACATGATTCGGCGATTAGGTGAACAAATCTTTTGAACGAATCTTTTTAGTGAACTGATTCTAGTGATTCAGTACATCTAAAAGAGCTGCTGTGCCCATCACTAGTGATAATATAAGTGAAATTGCTATGTGAATCAATTAAATACAAGTATTTTAGGCCCGTCCGTCCCTAACATCCAGTAAGGGTTAGTGCAACAGACTTGATTTGATAAAAAAAACATTGACACCCAGACAGACAAAGTGAGGGAAAGAAAGAAAGAAAGAAAGAAAGAAAGAAAGAAAGAAAGAAAGAAAGAATACATGAATGTATGAAAGAAAGAAAGAAAAATGAAAGAAAGAAAGAAAAATGAATGAAAGAAAGAGTGAATGAAAAAAGAAAGAAAGAAAGAAAGAAAGAAAGAAAGAAAGAAAGAAAAAGAAAGTGTTTTGTAGATGTTTTGATGTAATCCTGTAAAAATCATGTATCGCAATGGCCTCTAGGTGGCAGTATGGGATAAGTGTAAAAAATGTTGAGGCGCTCTAAATGACTGATTAAAAAAGCAAAATCAAAATACAGTTATATTGTCTTGACTGGTAATAAGAATCTCTCATCTTAAAGTTTTTCTGGTATCTAAATGTGATAATCTGTAAACTGCATGGATTTTCGAGTTGCTAACAAATAATTTCATACGGTCGTGCCAAACATATTGCACATTAATATAATTTATCATATCGATTCTTGATACTGAATGGTAATGATGAAAAGAATGGATGATCCAAACGTACACAATTCTTTTGTCTACATTTTTTTTTTTAGGAATTTATTTGTCTTACGATGGAAACTATTGATGTCCATGCACACATTTATTTTTTACGTAAAGTAATGAACCTCAAACACGAGCCTATTTCAGTTTTTTATGCTGTAGGTATCAGGGCATTTATTAGATGGTCAAAGGCCGTGTTTAAAAGAATTTCCCACGGTGATTCCTCTTACTTTCACGGCTGCATCGACCTACATTTGTGATGCGGATCAGTAGTTCGCTCTAATCTGTTATGTTTTTTTTCTGCACATGTCGCCTGTGATTGGCTCATTTTTGTAAGCACCGCCTAAAACATGAACGCGCTCAGAACTGAGTGGGAACGACCAGACATAAATACCAAACTCACGACACAAGCGAGGTAGAGGTTCTGATATTAAATCCTCTAAAGTAATCTGTAAAACTTAGTGAAACTGTTAAAATTTGTTGCCTCGTAAGTCATAGCGCCTCACAGCCTGAAATAAAAGGGGGAAACGACACACCCGAGAGCCACGCCCTCTGTATATCCTATTGGCTTTTCAACCAGTGTCAGGAAATACACAACGAAACTGATTGGTTTACATGCACGTCAGTTATGTCTTATCAGCACAGGATTGGCTAAGCTTTTAGGAGGAAGTCAAGTGTCAAAACGTTTCAGGGATAAGCTCGGAGTTGACAAAAGCGACCTGTATCAGTAGAAACATCTCGGGCGTAGTTTATAATTTCTTTTTTAATTTTACAAGTTTTTTCCTAAGTGGATCACACAGCGGGGAGGATTACGATTTCCAGCTGCTCATATAACCCCCGAGCTGAGCGGAGGATTTGGTCTACCCGCGGACTTGGACCACCACCGCACGGTAGAGAGAGAGAGAGAGAGAGGGAGAGAGAGGAAAGTGGGACTTTATTGTTCGAGGCTAGCAAGCTAGCTGTGCCAGACGGCTTGTTTTTGTGTGTATATCGGACTATATGGCTGGGACTTACGAGCCAATATACGGACTTTCTGAAGATGAGGTAAGCTTTTTGATAAACACCGCTATGGTGATGTGTTGGCAGTCAGGGATATGAATCTCTCTCAGGGGTCCAGCTAGCTAATGTTACATTAGCCGAAGCTAACAAGCCCTCACCCACGGCCACATACCATAGTAGTGCTCAGCTGTCAATCCCTGCACCACTGTCTGCCTGTCCTTTTGTTATTCGCCTGAAATGAATAGATAAACAAGTACCTTGAAACAAACCTGACAGCCGATATAGGCGTTATGACAGAGCTACACAATCTAATTCATTCTCACCCGAGAAACAGACGTGTTGTCCAGATTTGTGCACACATACAAGGAATCTGACTCCACTTCAACATGCTCTCCATGTAAAGGCATCAAATAATCAATATAAAGATATTATTTACAAGCAAGTTTAATTTATTAAGCAGATCGTGCAGTAGTGAGAGATGAGGATAAAACTCAATATAATATAATAATGTAACCGATGGGATTGGTTTGCATGATAGCTCTATACTGTATTCAGTGTAAGATGGTGTGCATGAATTCGTCTAAACTAATGCATCAAAGAGTTGCTTTGAAGCCCAGATGTGCAGATGATAGATTGACAAATTCCTGTAACAGAGGGGCTGTATGAAAAGTTAAACTCCTGTGGGAGGCGTTCAGTTTATATGTTGAATTAATCTCTTTATTTGTTTAGTTATGTGCATACATAAATAGTGTTTGTAGTTCAGAAACTGTCATCCATCTAGGGCTGGACGATAAAACAATAACTATATACAGGGTTTCCCCTACATCCTATTGATCGTGGCGCACCGCCACGGCTAAATAAAAGCTACCACACCTAAAAAAAATAAGTTTTTATCTCACATAGTTCTACCTCGGACTCATATGTATCAACAGTGTTTCCCCTACTTTCATTCAGCAGCGGCGCACTGTGTGAGTAAAACAACACACAACGCTATTTACGACTTGTTGTGAGTCATCAAGGAGCGCATCAAATCCTATCGGACACTCCTGTATCAATGTGAAAGGTAACGTTCAAGCTTATACACAGTCTATATAGCAAGTAGCATTAATAGCATTAGTAGCATTATTATCAATGCGGCACTAATGATTTCTACTCGCACTGTGTGAGCACAACAACACACGTTACTTTTGACTTGTTATGAGTCATCAACAAGCGCATAAAAATCCTGTCAGACCCTCTTCCACTAACGTGAAGGGTAACGTTTAAGCTTATACACGGTCTATATTTTGCGAGTATCGCAGGTAAAGTAATGTGAATGTAACAGCGTAGCTCCTGGAGCGGGAAACACTGTATATAAATCGAAAATTAATTTCCCTCAATATCAATATAAAACATGGTTAATATTCTTTTTGATAGTCACCATTTTGACATGTTTTGGTCGACTATACGAATAGCCAATGAAAAGGGGGGTTGCTCCAGGTCCGCTTCACGCTGAACCAATCATGTGCTGAATTAAAACCAAGTCACAAACAACTGAGTAGTTGCAGGCTGCAGCTACACGCAACCATAGCACTTTAACAGGTGAAGCTGACAGCAATAAGCACTGTTAAATTTCCTTTTTTATATTGTGATATATATAAATATCGACTGATATGAAAAAAAATATTGTGATAAACTTTCTCCCGTACCACCCAGCCCTACATCCAGCTTTATGATATAGTCACATGCACCACTGTTTACAACCTCTGCTTTAAGAAGTGTAAAAAACGGTGTGCTGTTCATCACTTCATCTGACACTTACCTTTCTGCTGCAGTGTAGTTCATAACTAGACAGAGACTCCTCACAGGCTAACCACTGTGTCAGACTTAAATACATACTTCCTCTGGTTTATTGTGATTTGACCATTAAGTCATTTTTATGACATAAGCTGATCCATGTAACACACATCTTCCCTCTTGAAAAGTAATACCATAATGCTCATGTGTCTGTCTACATGGCCTGCACAGTAGTCACAAGTCAAACATGAGGAGGACGCTGCTGAGGGACAAACACAATAATTTGCCAACCGAGCAGTTGTCATATTAGCCACCTACCTATCTGGCATTACTAATGCTGTCTAAAATAGGCAGGCTGGGTACTTTTCTATGATCCATATAAGAGACTAAAAATAAATCGGCATTCATTCATTCATGGCTCTCAGTGAAAAATAGAGGTGCAACTCTGTGGAGTTTGCCAACTGCTTTCATCAGTAGGCCACTGTGATAACAAGATGGAGGGAAGATTTGCACACAAGTTTTGATTTTATGAAAGTTCACAATGCATATGTTGAATATGAGATACAATGAACATGGAATTGACATATAGATCTACTTGTATCTCACGTCACAGTTTTTCAGCCATGAGAATAGACAGCGACGAATGTTGTTTCATAGTCTTTCTGAATCTGTTTTCTTGACATAACTCCTGTATTTTCATAGCTTTGTGAGGCGCCTGTCTAATCTGTCATTCAGTGTTAGAGGGGGTGTATGCCTGTAACACATTTCCACACACTGCAACACAAAAGACTTTGACAGGAAACGACTAGGATTGGGTTAGCACTCACAGTATTACAGCAGACAAGAAATCACAAGCACGAGTAAAGGTTTACATGGAGAACTGAGGGTCCACATTCCATGGGACACTCACTCCCTTAACTATGAGGTAGATCTCCTGTAACGCTACACCCTCTGAACAAAAAGCCTTGGCCTGAGGTAACAGCTGGATTGGCCTGACCTCTGAACTCCCCCCAGAATTCCCTCCTTTGCTGCATACTCCAACATTCGTTGAATGCAAAGTTGTGAATGAATTTGCTTCCAGGCTCTACTTAAATCTCATAATCTCTGCACAGAAACTGCATTTTCTCAGTGGTATTCGGACTCTTTTTCTAGTTGTACTAAATCTGTAAACCAAGCACAGTATAGTGGGATTAAGCTTAACCTACAGTTTCTGGAGGTACTGAAGGAATTAGATGTATGACATCATGTTGTAAGGGGATTTGAAAGCAGCAGTACACTTGACCCTCTATAATATTATGTTAAATTTGGTACTATAACATTAGTATGATACGTTATTGTTAGATAAATACCACAGGTTTTAAAGTTGAAGGTTAAACTTGAAGCTCACATGACAGCTAAATCGGAAAGTTGCCATTGGCATGTTACCCTGTTGGCTGGTAGATCTGCGGCGTGGCTAGTCCCTCAGCAGTATGCCACCTATTTACTGTACATCTTTTGTCTTTCTTGGAAACACAAGTGTTAATAGTAAGGTAAATAAAGAAACGTATGCAGTACCCTTGTGCATCGTTTGTGTGAAGTAAAGCTGTGGTCTCTTTATGCTCTCTGTATGATTTACCTCCAAAAAATGTCATACCTTAAGTTCTTGAAAATGTGTAATTCAAGATAGAGTGTCTCAGATCAAACCAAATCTATAGTCATGTCAGGGTTATTGCTTTCAAAAAGGCAGGCAAGTGTGGTTAGCTGCATGACTGTCTGAAATGGCTTGATTGTAACATTGTGAGATCATTTTGGCTCAAGTTTAATGCAATGTTTTGATCCTTTGTCTCTTTCTTTTCTTCTGCAGCATGAAACTAGAGTGTTGCGGGTTAAGGTCATTGCGGGAATTGATTTGGCGAAGAAAGACATCATTGGAGCGAGGTGAGTATCGAGGAAACGCCAGAGGATACTCTTGACATAAGATTTTTTTTCACTTTTTAATGCCACTTTTTAATGTTGTCATTGTTAGATTGATATAAAGGCGATAAAGGATATGAGGGATGTGTCTGTGCTCACATCATTAATGTGTTGTTGCTTGTACAACTGTTTTGTAAGAGACAATATTGAAACAATGAGCTCAGTCTATCAGTAAAGAGACTAGGGGGATATTTACACGAGAAAAACTAAACATGATGGCAGAGTACATAACCTGTAGATGTGTTTTTGCATGTTGCATGCTGCTTAAGGATTCTTGGGAGCTGCTTTTCTCTGTTTTTTACACCTTGTGCAGCAGTGTTTTGAACTTTTACTCCTTCCTTTTGCTTACAGAGTCCTTGAACTGTCAGTGTTAATTAATGATTACCCATCCTGCTCTCCTGTATTACCCATAACCCACATCTATTCAGTTTTTCAAGATAAAAGTGAAGTACCTTATGATAATACATACCCTTTCTTACATAGCAGAAGACGCAGTTGTTAAGTCTTGATAGTCTGAGCGTCTTGATTATTCAAGGGCCTTTCTCAAACACTGTCCGACTTCCCTTCCCGGGCATAACGCTGTGATGAAGTGCAGTCCACTTTTAGCGCAACTTTTATGTGATGTTGCATAACACCCCTCTGAGAATTTCTATTTGAAGTCTGCGTTAAGTCCTTTTTTTTTGCATGGCTAAGCACTGTAACTCCTGCCCTCTGAATTTTAATTACACACCTCTCACTGTACCTGCAGCACTAGAACACTGGGATCAATTAATGATACACCAGGTGGCCACCAATCACTGCTGAATCCTTTATCATTTTTGTTTGTGTGCCACACACATGGAAATTTCCACTCACACTGGGTTTCTCTCAGACCGGATTAAACCACTAATTCTGTCAGCTTACTTTACAGACACTACTACCTGTTTGATTTTATGATTTTAGATGAAATATTAGAAGTTTTATCTTCAGGGTGTCAAAACTCACATTTAAAACAGTTTAGGATCATTCTGCTGGACTTCATGGGAAATTTGCTTCCAGTGACATCAGTAGTGAAGTGAATAACAAGAGAGAAAGAGAGTGAACGTTAGTTGAGGCTACTCCAACACAGAGTTGATACAATATTGTGTTATCTCTCTCATTCTCTTTCTCATCTGCACTGTTCGAATTAACAAATCAGTTCCCACATAAAAAAACATGGAAAAATACCAACAGAGAATAAAATTCAGTATGGGAAAGACTGTGTCCACAGAGGTTCATCAGACAAATACAGATCTTCCACTTGAAACTGTTTTATTTCTTGAGCATCTACAGACTCTTATCAGCAAAGCACTGCAGATTTTTGAAGTTGCCTCTAAATAACTTATTTAAAGTCAGCTCTAGTCAGCAGCAACTAGCGGTAGATTAATTAATGCATGCATAGTGGCATTGCAGGGCAACCCCCTTACTTGTTTTTGAGCATCTTAAAAGAAAGAATTTGTTTCCACAGTTACAACTAGTATTTTATGGCTGATTTATTATAGTATCAGATAACTGCAGTCACTTTCTTATTCCTTGGAACACAGGAATAAGCCACAATTCCTCGTAGATTGTATCTTTTTCTCAAAACTTGATCTGATTTGAAGTTTTGTTTTGAGAATCAAAATACCCACATATTCAGTATCTGCTGTTCTGTGGCTCTGTTAACAACCTTAAAAGCCCTCTTGAAAGGAAATTCTTCGAGGGCTGAATGCTCATTGAAGACTTGGCTGAACTCTTTGGCCTCGATCGTTGGAAATATAATGCAAATGCATGCTGCAGTATGGCAGGAATGTCATTTCAAGAAATACACAGACCAGTCTGCCTTTAAAAATAATATAGACTGGCTTTATCTGTAACATCAGTAACACAAGGTCCAATGAATATATGAGAAAATTTACTATTTAGAGCAACTTTTTAGATCAAAATTACAATTAACATAGGTAATTCTTGCGAGTTATGGAGAAAAGATTTCTAAACTGCAACTTTTTAGTTTGGTGTTATCTGTCTGGATTCACCAAATGACGCATGTCAGCCTCATCTACATGTAAACACTGCTCATACTGTTGCTTATAGTCACACTTTGTATCTGAGCGATGAGAAAGCCGACATTGTCAGTGAAAGTGCCTGGCATGTTTAGCGCTGTGTGAATGGTACTCTCATGCCAGAGTGCATGTTTTAGCATCCTGATGTCCTGCTGGCAGGTCGGCTCAGCCCCGGCTAGGGAGAAATCTGAACTGTAATGAAGAAACGCTGAATGAGGCCTGGATGTGTGGCGAGCTACCACAGGAGGAGACAGTGCTGACTTGGCAGTCTGTCACCTCATAAGATGCTCAAACAGAGCTGGCTTGTTCCTCTCTTGTTTTTGCTCCAAACCAGTTCCTGTTGCTGCTGTATTCAGTCGAACAGCTACTTTGTTCAATTGTTTTCTGCTGTTATTCTGGATTACATAAATTACCCCTAGGTTATGTTTTTGTTTTTCCTGTGAGGTGTAGACAGAAACTCGAGGAACAACAGCCCTAACCGAGCTGCCATTTCTCACCAGCAGCACACGCTAGCTTTCATCTGCCATCAGCCAGCGCTGACCTGAAGTAGCCATCTCCCTCGGCAGGATCCTTGTTGATAGAAGGAAGGAGACAAGAAGGAGTCTCAGAGCAGTCACGATACAGTAGACCCATTGTTTTTGTTTGGTCACACAGCACATCACAGAAGCGCACAAACACACAATTAGAAACTGTGGGGTTCCCGGAGACCTTAATTAGCAATCAGGCGGCTGCAGTTTTGTGCTTAGGGTTCGTCTGCAGCTCATTTTTAAGATATTTCCTTCTCCTCTTGGCTTTTCTCCTCTGCTCAACTGCTTCCCGTAAAATCAATGTGAGGCTGAGCTCCAGCTGGCTGGCTGAATCTAATTTTGGCCATATCCGAACTGAAATTAGATTGCTCTCTCGTATCGTTTCTGGATGGTAAAAAAAAAAAAAAGATCCCATGGAAACTCGTTATGGCAAATCAGATTTAAAACACATTCATAGATGGTTTAAAATGTGAATCAAATTGGAATTTTAACCTGGTGTGATGTGGCTAGCCGCTGCAATCAAATGTCCCAGTCGCCACACAGGAAATGCAACACATGAAACCGACGTCTCACCCAGAGTCTGCAGGAAAAGACCGGTTTTGACTCTGTTGTTGTCATAGGGGCAGGTTGAGAGCTCTCTAACCAGTGCTTCTCTCATTCTTACTTCCACATGAGAGGAATGCACCATCTGTTAGCTTAGATGTGTGTGTAGATTGATTGGAGTTATTTCAGGTCACACACTAGCTTTATGGGGAAAAGTGACTTGTCTTACCTTAGATATTTGATTACTTTACAGACAGAAAATTGATGAATAACTACTGTTTTTTTCAAGCAAAGATGCTCTGCATTTTATCCTGAGATTAAAAAATGGTTGTTTTGAGGGTGAAAATCTGGGGCCTCGACATTTAAAAAAATGTTTTCAGTGTGCATCATCAACAAAAGTTACATAAAGGCAGATAAAAAAAAAATTCTCTCAAGTGTTTTGGGCAGATTGATTAAAATATGAATCGATAGATTATTGGCAAAAGAATATCGCTTGTTGACACCTGACCCCGTGTAAGGTCATCACTCTGGAGTCTGGATTTGGATATCCTGGTTGCATATGAAAATGCAGTAGATCTACCGTGAAAATCACACATGGTGTTCAACATGATGCAGAGGGTCAGATCAGAGCTCTCATGTTTGGAGTTTCCCATCCACTCATCTCCACTGAAGTACTTGAGCGCACAGTCTGTCCTCAGCACTCATCCCTCTTCATTTATCCATTCAGATCCGTCCCTGCGGTGAACGTCCGTTCTTCTGTTTCAAGTACTGTGCAGAATTATGTTCAAGGACCCTTCGTCCAATATGCAGGAAGAGCAGCTACTCTGGACGTCACTTTTTAGATCAATATCAACACAATACAGACATTAGGCAAACATGACATTTGGGGAAGATACTTTTTGAATTGATCAATAGTTGACATGCTCTTCTTTAAACTGAAGAGACTAGCTGTAAGCTTGTATATTAAAGTGACCATGATATCTACAAATTAACAGCTGTAGTTGCATGAAAGTGAACTTGTGTATATCCTCCCTGTTAATCAATACTGGTTTTATGCATATGGCGATATATGTATTTGAAACAATCACAGTTAGTGTCAACAATATGTTACTATTATCACATACGTTGAATTTAACCCTGTATCATCATACATATTGTCTAAAGTCGTTTTCTTGCTTCTACCTTCTTAAGTGTGATTGTGTAAACTAAAAAATGCTGTCAGAGATCGCAGACCAAGATTTCAGTGTTTAAATTCAACTTGTTTTCAACCAGCCGAAATCCCATCATCACAAAGACATAATTTCTGTGTATTTTATTATTTAAATTATAAATATAGTAATTTGTGGGGCTGTTTAATATCAACAAGAAGGTTTCAGAAACATGGAGAGAGACCAGCTTTCAAGTTTTTACCTGAATGAAGTAAAATATGAGTATGCATGTGCTGGTGGCAAGAACATCTCCTTTGCTCAGACTGTGACGTAGACACTGACTTAGTGGAGTGATACCTGACAGGACAGCTGTATTTCTGACAGGGGAGAAAGGCAAACTTCCATGCAGGCAGTTGCAGGCCTGAATCTCATAATTATTTGTACATTTTCATCTGAGTGTGAAGCACCAAAATACAACCAGTTCAACTACAATGCATTCAAGACACAACTTGTGAAAATTGCTGTTGATGTGTGTAAATGTATGAAGATTTTACTGAAATACTGTTCAAAATCTGTGCACTGAGACGGTCTTCAGAGAAGTTTCTCCTTTTTAAAGAGGATATAACCTGAAACTGTACCTGGTCCTGTCTGTTGGGACTGAGTTCAGTAGAGTAATTGGTCTGTCTGGCGAATAGCACAGCTCTGCCTCTTTATCCAGAACCCGCTGGGGATTTCTACCCAGTCAGCACCTTCAAATAAAGCAATTGGCTGTTTTTAAATAGCGCAGTCACCCTGCTTACTATTTGCACTGGTCTCAGGAAAATGTTTTGCAGTCTCTATTTTTAGCACTCTGCTTTGTCAATAAGACATTATAGCCTCATCTCATAATACCCAAATGTAAGCAGTTTTTTCCCCTGTGAGGTTGTTTGTGGAAGGCTCGGGTTACAGGTATGGAAATAAGCAGTTTAGTCAAGTATTATGGTCACCTGCACGGTGTAAACAGTCAATAAGATGTTACAGGATGGGGATCCTTAATTATCCTTAAGATCATAAATGCGCCCAGAACTCGGGGTTGATACTTGATGCTTGTCCAGAGTTGTAATTTTCAAAGATGTTCTTTCTTATTCCAGTCATAGTTTCTGTCTCTCTGCTCGAGAAAAGAGTAGATTATTGTTCGCTACTATTAAATAAAGATTATTTTTGAAATGTTTTTGTTCTATCTGCAATATCATTTGCATACTTTTGAAATATTGTTTCCAAAACATTCATTAAAAGCCAATAGAGCCGTTAGAAAATTAACATACGTTGTTGCACAACAGGAACTGTGAAAAGCTTGTGATTGTCTTTTTAATTGAGTTATTTTTCTTTCTGCAGCGATCCCTATGTCAAACTCTCCCTCTATGTCGCGGATGAAAACAGAGAGCTTGCCTTAGTCCAAACAAAAACTATTAAAAAGGTAGGTCGCAAGGTAAGACATGACTTTGTTGCATGAATCTTAAGTGTTTTGTCTTTATACTGTCTTTGTAGCGTCAGACCTCATAGGGTCAGTGTTTTCTACGATAGGGGACAAGCCAATCCTGCCACTCCTGCACTGCACTTCTACTACAAAGCCTTTTAGATGTGGTTTTGTTCACTTCCCTCTAATCACACATGTTTGAGATCACCAAAATCTACCCAACAATGCCACCCCCCAACAACAACAGCTCATTTCCTTCAAATCAAGGTAATAGCGCAATCTTGGAGACTAGAGGAAGTCACCAGAAGGCAGTACTTCCTTCCTTTCCTTAGGAGTGAGGAGGGATACAGCGGACGAGCTCTTTTCCCCCCAGTGGCCTATTTTAGGGAGCAAGTTTGTTCACAGCAGGGGGAGCTATTACTTGCTATAATAGTCGACTCCATCCAGAGGATATCTTAATATGAAAGTGGGCTGTGATTCTGATACTAACATTTATATTCACTTCTAACATTGTGGCTAAATGACTCAAAATGAAGCTTAATTCATCCATCCATCCATTTTCTACCGCTTATGTTAATTAACGGCTCCACTGCTGAGAGTTTCACACACAGCTCGTAATCTGCAAGCAGCTCCACATTTCTCTGCAACTTTCACCTTCCGTGTCGGTTAAGGTTGGCTACTTGTAGCTGTCAGCCGGCTCTCTGTCGGAGTCAGGCAGCTCAGGCCTCCACGCAGGCAGACATATGCTGCCAGTGGCTATGGCTGCCTTATTGGATATAAATAGCTGACAATGCACCGCTCTGTGGAGGAGCAGAGAAAGAAGCAGCTCTGCTCAGCTCTTCTATGGGCTCTATGTGTCTTTAAGTGGGACACCTTTGAAGGCGTCTTTGTTGCGAATGCTAAGAGACGAGCTTTAGGCAATATGGCATGAAAAAAAGACGGCAAATATGACTGGGACTCGCGTCACTTAACTTGAAAGTACTCTGGGACTTCCTATACTGAACCTGCTGTCTGTACTTCTCTGTGTTTTTCCACTATCTGATCAAGGAGGGTTGGATATATTTTTGGTATAAATTGGCTTTTTGTCAAAGGGCAGCAGGTTCATTTTTAATTCTGGTCTGTCAGCAGTTGTTTTAACAGAGGTGTTAATTTATCACCATCGTAAAATGTTGAAAAGTGTTTATTAATCAGAGTGACCTGTGAATTTAAAGCTTTCATTGACATTCTGGTGTTTAACTCATTTCAGTCACTGAAGGAATTTTAATGAGATGTGTCACATAGCTCTCAGTCCAATAAAATATCAAATGTGCGAGACAGGAGCAGAGAGCCTGTGTGTATCAACATCGTAGGCTGATCCATGAAGAAAGTGGGATCAAATCCTCACAATGGCGTTCATCTCAGGATGAACGCCAATCACTGGGACATGTTGTTTGCCATAAACTTCCTTTTACAACATAAGGGGATTGTTCTGACGCACATGTTCGTGCTGAATTTTTCACCTGGGCCCAGTCTGAGTTTGATAGGGTTCATAACTCATGTGTTGTCTCCTGTGTGACTCAATGACAGTGCTGTCTGTGCGTTAGTGAATTTAACTCTTAACATGCTTTTGCTTTTTATTCCAGACCCTCAATCCCAAATGGAACGAGGAATTTTACTTCAGAGTGAGTACAGATTTGGATCCTTTTCTGCAAACTACAGTGTGTCAGATTCCCCTTCTTCCCAGTATCCACCATCATGATGGCCGCTCATCGCAGCGGTCTACTCCAGAGTGTTGTTACAACAGTTGCTCATCTTTGGTTGTAGATTAACTGGGAATTTCACCTCTTGCAGCACTCGTCACAACACTAGTCACATGAGGTTATTCCTCCATGTTTATTTATGTAAAGGGTAATATACAGCCAGCAGGTCATCATTGGAGAAACAAAGCTTGATTGGTTGATGTGGAAGGGTCTTGTCCCACCATGAAGGGGGTTATTTACATAATTCTTTCTCTTTCTCGATTTAAAATTGACTTTTTTTTAACCCCTGTTAAATTATTCCATTTGTTGTAACTGTGTCTACCTACTGTTGTCTGTTACCTTCCCAGAGCTTGCCCACTCCTCTGTTATCTTACATCAAATCAAACATTTCTATTGTTGAATTTGACTAGATAAATGATACAGAGCCTTGTTTAGGAAATTTAGCCTTTTTATAGTCAAAGTCTGTTGACACCTTCTCATGATAAACTCATCTTTTCACACAGACATAGCCCACACTGGATTCTTTAAACTGTCTAGCTTACTACAAAGCTCATTTTTCAAGTAGTTTCCTTTTTTTAGAAATTTATGATCACTCTTACTTTATTCTCCTTCTATTTTCCAAGGGTCACCTCACTTAATACACGACGTTTAATCAAACAGCTTCTTTCTTCTGATTGCTAAAATTAGCATTAGAAATGAACTAATAAATCGACCAACTGATTAATTAGGAAGATTAATTTCATAATCTGCATCATATCAGTACTGGCTCTCATAAGACTAGTATAATTATCTTTCCTAATTAAAAATCACATTTTTCATATCACCTGAATATCGTACTGAGCCAAACATTATTCCATCTACATTTAGCTCTCTGAAGTCCATTTTTATTTTTTATTAAATTGTTATATTTTTGTTAAATGCTAAAGAAATCTGTTCACACATAGTCGATACCGGCCACTTTAAAAGGCTGGATCTGCTCTGGGCCTGTCATATACAGTAGCAGCGGTCTGCTATAAAGAAATAACAGACCCTGAAATATCATAAACGATCAATGGGAATAAAAATTCAGTAATGCTGCTGAAAAATCTAAATTCAGGCTTGTGCAATGATGAAGCACTTATAACCTTTTAGCCCCTGTAGTTGAAAATAGTTACTGAGTATTCGTATGTGCGTGTATATGCGTTGGCTTTCAGAATCAGTGGATGACTATCTCTCCTCTTCTTTCGCTGCCTACACAGGTGTGTCCACAGAATCACAGACTACTCTTTGAGGTGTTTGATGAAAACAGATTGGTAAGCGTCACCTTTTATTACCTCCTACGTTCTAATCTCTCTGTCTCTATATCACACATTTTTTAAAACACTCTGTCATGTTTTGACAGCTTTTTCCAGCAGCTGATTAATCAAGTTCCACTTACAGCAATTTTTTTCCATTTTTCAAATCCAGTTTGATGATTTTATTGCTCCTGTAAAATCTTTCGACAATGTCATGTCTTGATGAAATGCCACTTGATTTACTTTGGCGTTGGCAGGCTTTTCAGCAACTCTTAAACTTATGATTCAATCCAAATAGCCGATACAATTTAGATGTTCAACCAATCTTTTTACTGCTGTAGATGTGCTTTCATTTATGTAATTGACGTAATCTGCACCCTTTGTTTCCCCACAATAATCAGCTTGTATATTTGCTGGCACACTCACAGAACTGCTTTCACAGGATTTCATCTTAAAGGCCCACTCAAAGTAAATCAAGCAAAGCAAATCCATTGCATTTCATGGAAATCTGAACAGAGCCAGAGTGCAGACTGCTCGTTTTTGTTCTCTGCTTTAAGGCTTTCGTCCACCAGCGACCACTACATTCCTTCTAAGTCAAATTTCTCAGATTTCCCCCACAGACGAGAACACTGGCTTCCTTGACTTGTGAAACCAAGCCTGTTGTCGGCCCTCAGTTGCCATGACAACTGGATTAAGTATCTGCACAGAGTCAAAAGTTGCAGCAATTAAAAGCAGCATTAGTAGGTTTGGTAATAAATTCACTAACTGGTGCTTTTGGATGAAACCTCCACCTCGACCCATCTTCAGAGGAGAAGAAGTGCTTGTTGACATTATGGAGACTTTGTTCTGTGGAAGAAGTGAAAGCTTTTAGAAACTGGAGTGATATTTATTTCTAATGGCTTATCTGTAACTCTTGGGTCTCCATGCAGAGTTAGATGTTTGATAAAACAAACAGCCGATGCAGGCCAACATAGTGTGAGTGTTGTTGGCTGGACAGGGAACACTCTGTCTGGGCCGCACAGCTTCATGGCTCCTGCTTTTTTGTGCAAGAAAAACCATCGTGGGAGGTTGAAGATGTGGGGCTTGTGGGATGTTTTTCTGCACTGTATGTTATGTAGTTTTATTGGTGACTTTATTACTGCAGATGATAAGATAAGATGTTTTCTGCACTGATTAAACAAGCACATACATGGACCTGTTGTGTGCATGCTTTTCAGGGAGGGAATCACTGGCACTCAGCCAGCTAAATAAAGGGCAGCCGTAATTTTTCCCCTGCAGTACAGGGTGAGCTCTCCATCGTGGTATAGAAGAGGATGACACAAGACAGCCTCAAGCCTGCTCGTGTCCTTATATGTCTGAGGAGGTGCTTTTCTGTTTGTGTCTAGGTGCATGCCAAAGCAGCTCCTCCATTGCTGGCCAGTATTTCTCTGAAGGGGCTTCTTGTTCTCTTGAATCCATTCAACAACCGTCTATTTCTCTGAAAATGTGACCAGGCTTGTGCTGTAGCATGAATAGAACATTGCTGTTTTTGTGAAGGATAATGTATAGTAAGCAGGCGGTGATGCTTAACGCAGAAATGGAAACCAGTGTTTTCCTACAATGTTTACAGATTTAGAAAGGTAACAGGCAGAGGTGAAATAAGCTGGTCTCCTTTCTGCAGATGTGTGAAATAGACTCAGTTACACCCGATTTCAGCTGCTGTAGGTTTTTATACTATATCTATATATGTATCTTTCAGTGAATGTAGAATGTAAAGAAAGCGGTTGAATAGGCCGACAACACAGTGTAGTGGTTTGTTTGAAGCGTGCTTCTTATGTCATTTTGCAAGCTGGGCTTCCTGCCACAGGACCACACATTGGCATTTTGTGTCTTTTATCCAGAACATTCTCCATAACATTTCACACACACATTTATCGACTGTGCCTAACACTGTAGGCAGTGTGTTATCCCTGAGTTTAATAGCCTGCCAAGAAACGGCTTCTTCATGATCCACAGTCTTTTTTTTTTTTTTCCCCTTCTGGATGTTTCTGTGCCTCCGGTCAATACCGCCTGTCTCCTCGATGCCCTCTCGTCTTCAGTGGAGAACTTTCAAATCTGTTTTTGTTCTCTCCTTTTCTTTCGTCTCTATTGTGGTGCACCATCAGTGGCTTGGCTGTCAGCCTGCTTTTTGGCACAGATAAGGTGACTCAGTGCGGGCAGAACCATAGGTCAAATCAGTCATGGCTGTTGAGACAAATTTTGGATGATACCGCTCTGAAAGTTCAGATTGTTAGACAGGCTTTGACAGTTTGATAGCACTGATGCAGACACTCAGCCTCCTTGAATCTCCATTTTAACATGCTGATGATCAGTGACTCAGTACACTGTCTTGTACCCTCATGCACCTTTGGCTGAAACTGTCTCCAAATATTGCATTATAAGTGCACTGAAAACATCATATGTTTGGCTACATTCAGCCTGGAAGACTGAAATCACGGCTGAGTCGTGTCTTTGGACGCAAACAGAGTGGCCTATAAAACCACTAGACAGATAAGTGTTTGGCTGGCTGTTGGAGACAGTGTAGTCTATTCCATCTCAAAAAAAAAAAAGACTTGGATATATTCCCCCAGAGAGGGCCATGCTCTTCGCCTTATCAAAGCTGCAATCTGTCAGATATCCTGCTCTTCACTCTGCTGCTGCCTTTTCATTTTTTTTCATGGTCCATTTTTAGAAACAACTTCCTCGTTCTGCTTTTTATGTCTTCAAGCTGCAACGAGAAACAGTGAGGGCTCAATTTATCCTCCAGATTTGTTGGTGAATTGCATATTTACAGCCTGTCACTCCTGACTTCATGTTGTGACAACTGTTGTATCTGTTGAAAAAGACTGTGGATTTTATGTTGTGTGTTTGTGTACACCAGATTTGATGCGGTTTCTTTATAAATTCTCCTCCTGTCTGTCTTCTGTCCTATCCTGGGGGGACATGGCCAGTTTCTCGACAACCACAGAAGTGTTTGTTGATGTTTGTTTGTTAGAGTGGTTGGAATTCTCTTTACACCCAGAAAACAATGAAACAGATGCTTTCAAACCAAAGGAACCTACTTGTAGGCCTCCCTGTACACTCATTCTGCGTGAGAATAGTCTACAAACAGTCAAACAATAGCTGGTAATCTAATTATACAAGAATAGAAGTCAAAGGTAGTTTTATACGGTACTTGTTTGTGAGGAGCAGCTTTTGCATTTGTATTTTTGTATAAACTGCTGGTTCTACAAGGCAGGGCTGTCACTATAAAATCAAACATGATCTGCTCGTGTATGGGAATATTTTGAACCTCCTCTTCCTGCCCCTGCTACCCAAAAACTTCTAATTTTACTTGCCAGAAACCCGCGTTTATCAGCTTGATCAGGACTGGGCGCAGTTCTTTTTTTATTGGGTGAAGTTCTGCTGACTCTGCGCTGATCGACCGTGGTTCCTCCTCTGCTGGCTCACAGATGAGCCCGACCATTTGTTGTTGTTGATGTTTAAGACAGCTGCTTTGCACAGAGTCGACATACAGCCCTATGTTCGTCTTTTATTTTGTCATCCATGGATGAGAACCCAAAGTACTTGGAAAAGGTCCACCTTACATCCTCCATATTTGTAGAAAAATTGCACCGTATGATGTCAAGAGTGCATATAATGGTCAGGTGATAGTGAGAGCACCTTATGCTAGACCAACTGTCTCATTACAGTTCAGGGCATGACCTTTTCACCTCAAGATTTGAAGATTTGAAATTTGAGTGACAGCCCCATGATAACGATGCCTGCTGCAACTTAAGAACCCAAGTGAAAAGGCTAAAGGTCGTATTTTCATGTGGTTTTCAAGACATAAGCAAAAGTCCTCTGGTGAGAATATTCAATGCGTTTACCAAAGCTGTTCTCTGATGCTCTCATAACAAAGTAGAAGGTTGAGCAAGTCGTGGGTGATGGTTGAACACTGCTAATCTTTGAGGGCATAAATTAGAGGCGTGGAGGGTTTGGAATGGCTCGGTCTTAGATCACATGAAAGAGTTGGGAAGAGTTAAGTAGTGGTGAGTAGTTTGTGTTTGGGGGGCCAGCTGGCACTTGAGGGCAGCATGGGGTTGTAACAGGAGGTGCTGTTGCCATTTGTAGTCACATGACTGACAAGCCACCCACTGTCACCTCGGAAACCAGGAGCGCCAGCAGCTCTTATCCTATCATGTCAGGAATGCTGGCCGTCACTGGGCCCGGGCTATTTCTGCTGTCTGTCGCTAGTGCTAAGAGTCTGGCATACATGGATCTTTCTCTCTCTTTTTTTATTCTTCCCTTCTTTACCCTTCCTCTCTTAATCCTCCTCTGTGAGTGAGTCGCTCGAAGCTGTCAGCTCTTCTGCAGCGGCAGAAAAGTTTTTGTGGCGTGACTTCTTTCCTCCACACTGAGGGAAGGAAAGTTGTGGACCAGACTGGAAGAGGGTGGGAGGGGGAAAGTGGAAGAAAAAAAAGGGGGGGATCAGTCATCCAGCCAGCCAGAAGAGAGAAGTGGGCGACACTAAGAGAGTTGAGACTGGAGCCAGAGGAGAGAACCAAACAGACAGTCAGAGAGAAAGTGAGAGGGAACGGGAGCTGTAGGACGTGAGTTGAAAATGGCACAGCGTCTGCGTTTGTACTTTGGCTCAGGCCGGAGTAACACAGCCCCGGAGATACTGGAAGGAGACTCTGAGGAGCAACAGGCAGACAATAACGTGGTCACAGCACTCTCCACGCTTCCACCTTCGGAGTCGAGGCCTTCTGATGAGCCAGCCGCGCAGCAAGTCCAACAAAACCAGTTCAGTTTGCGATCAGAGCCTTCGCTTAAACGCAGCTCCTCGATGTTTATACCCCAGCTTGCCGCCTACGCCGAGCCACGGCCAACCAAGAGCTCCTCAATGCACATCTCCCTTCAACGCTCAAATGGATCAAGTAATGGAGATACCCGTGGGCTCGCCGATGACGTCCCACCACCTTGTTATACCCCTCCAGGACCAGCGCCTGCATATACTGAGACACAATTCCAAGACGACGTTCCCAGACATCCGCCACCTCCATACTCTGAACCAGATTCATTGAACTCTCAAACGGAGCCGAACCTACCCAAACGCAGGGTCTTTAGTATCGGCTCCAACGGACACTCTGTGTACGGTAGAGGCCAACCCGGTATCAGTGTTGGTGGCATTTGTATCCAAAGGAACTCTCCAGATAGTTCTGATGTTCAGCATTTCAGAATCCTCCCTTATGGCGGTACAGGCTGGTCCGTCCATCAGCCAAGCCTGGACCAGGCTGTAGTTAATGGCGGGACACAGAGACTAGTGTTTCAGCTCCAGCAAAATCAGAACCAGGATGAGAGCAAAGAGTCTGCCTCATCCCAGGACGACTGCGCAGATCTCGGCTTCACCAGCTCAAGAGGTAACCGAGTGGTGCGTTACCCCAGAATACGTCTGGAGAGAAGACCCTCCAACCACAGGGTGTTGTTGGAGAGTTTACCTGGTGAAGATGGCCAAACTGTGGAAGAAAACCAGACAGACCCAGAAACACAAAGGATGGAAGCAAGAAGCAGACCCAATGGTTGTACTTTTAAAATCAGCAGGGATACATCCAGAAGGCAGCCCCATTTTAAGATATATTTCACCCCAGGCGGGGCTGGAGAGCAGGATGTGAGTCTTGGCGATGAATCGACGAGGAATAATCCCAAGGTAAACACTACTTGAAAAATTCAGTAGAACTTCTTGGTGGTTTGGTAAAAATGTAAATATTGAAACCACATTTCAGAGTGAAATAGTTTTGATTTTTTAAAAGTAAAAATCAACAAAATTATCTCTGAACAAGAGGTATTCTGTCACAACAGACATAAAGACCATCTCACTCATCAGTCAGTAGGACTTATGTTAACTTTTTGCTCTTTTTTGAACTTGAGCAAGAAGGAGCAGAGGCAATTAACCCTGCCATTTACATTAAAAATGAGAACCAGGGTTATGTTTTTGCCTCCTGAGTTATGCAAACATTGTTGGATGTCGTAAATGTATCACATCCAGATTGAGCAGCTGCCAATATCCCACTCATTTGACCCTACAAATCCAGCCCAGATGAGGAGAGATCCGTATGGTGCAGAAAGAGGGTGGTGACATTTTGGGGAGTGAAAAACACAGGCATGGTTGCTGAGCTAAATCACACACACACTGGCTTCTTTCACTTTGCGACCACAGGCATTTGAAATTTCTCACACAACAGCCAATTCAGCCAGTCACGAAAGGAAAACAGGAACAGGGTGAATGGATCATTTCTCCCTGTGCACTTGTTGCCTTCTGTTTCACAGAAATGTGACACTTAAGTTTGGTAATACCCTCAACTGCAGCCAGTGCTCTTTGAGAGTTGGCTGTTTCTATCTTTAGTCTGTTTCAAGTGTGGTTGTTGATTTTGAGAGCGGGCAGACGGCATGTCTTCTTTGGCTCTGGGCTGGTATGGATCCATATCCTCACAGCTGCTCCAAGAGTGGTAAAGATCTGAGATCCAATTCTTAGTTGAAAGGGTGACTGGACTTGCTTGAGGTTCTTCAAGACCTTTTCGCCTCTCTTCCGAAAGTTGGTCATCCAGCTGTGAATGGGCTGGGTGGTCACCTGAGAGTCGTTCACAGCTGGGTCAACTGAGAGTCATAGCGCGGCTACAACGGTAACCATAGCTTGAATAACCATGACGTGGGTGAATGAGAACCTACATAGACATAAGAACTGAGATGTTTTTTGCGCCCTAAACAGAATCAAGAAATCAAACAAACTTGTCAATCAATCAATCATCCTGAAAGTCTGAGGTCTTTGTCTGTTTCTCTCTCTCCCTCTCTCTCTCTGTTGTCAATATCAACCCTGAGGAGACATGCATGTTGAGAGTGCACTTTAATTAGTGTCTCATATTGTCTAGTTCATTATTTACAAGTTTGTCTTTCTACTGCCGCAGGTTTATTCGTATTTTTCAGCAGCAGTAAATTCTCCTCCTCTTAAATTTTGATAATCAACTCAACCTCAGGTTGCTGGTGCTTAAGTTATAGGGCTGCTATTGGCCATGTAAGGAGTACTCCATGTGGTTTCTCTTCATAATTTTGCTCCCAGGAGTTGACAGTAAATCCAGAAACAAGGGTCTTGCCCCACCTCCCACCGTTTTAACCTGTATAACTTGAGCGTTTGTGTTTCCCTTTTTTTTGGTGTGCGATCCCAAAATATGATTTCATGTGTATTAATTTAAAGGTACGGAGGTTTTATGTCAAAATTTTGACCAATTCCCCAAAGACTAAGTTTTAATTGTCTTGTGTCTTTAAGAGCCTTGTTGTCGGCTCCCTGTCCTGTCAATCATCTCAGGGGTCCTTACAATCCCCTTACTCCCATTTGGTGGTTTGTTACGTGTGCACCCTTATTTCATTTTCCTTGTACACAGGGAAAGCAGCCCTGCCACTTACTCCACTGACAGACATGTGGCAATAATGTGATAAAATACGCAGAAACTTGCCAAGTAAGGCCTGTTGACAGCTAACTAGTTAACAAATGTCTTATGAGGGGGTCAAGTATTTGTTAGACTGTAAGAAAAGACAGGTGATTTGATGAGTGACTCCACAGACACCTGAATCAATTTGTGATATCTAGTCGCAGAAAAAGCTTTTTTATTTACCTGTAATGCGATTGGCTTGCTGATATAGGCCGTTCTCCCTTAATGCAGCTACAGCCTTTATTTTTAGTCATATTTCTGACAGCACTTGGGCCGTACTTGTATGTGTATTACACATCTCCTCTACTCCCTTTTTTTAAACACGTGGTGTTGTGTTACCCCAGGGCATCCCGTTTCTCATGCAACAAGGAAATCCTCATTTAGACCATAATGACAGGTCTTCCCCCAACTGGTAGCCTGGCGTTGGAGTGCCCCTTTTTAAAGCCTTGCACACACACTATGAATGTGTGTGTGTGTGTGCTCCAGCCCAACTGTGTGCAGACAGCTATGCCACAGTGCCATGCCCTCGTTCGGCGCCCCCAGTCGCCATTCATAAAGAGCTCTCGCAGGCCACTGGCTTTGCTATATTTACCTGAGATGGATGGGCGGGGGTGCTCTCCTTTTATTTTGGTCCGGTAGCATGTGAGAGGGATTCGTATTGCTATTGTTACGAAGGGCTTTTCTCTGTCAGCTCTGATCTCTCAGGGCTGCATGGCGATGTAATTCAGTTGCGTCAGCACGGAGTCTGTTGAGTAGGTGTGACAACCTTTTCACACTTTACTGCCAGCCTGGACGTGTTCCAGGTCCCTCCGTATCGTAAACTCTCAGCCTGTTACCACTTTGTCCTGTAGATTCACGGCAGCTCAGTACATTCAATTCTTCATTTTATTGCTCTATCTACCTTCCCGCTATCTTACAGGTTCGTCTACAGAAACAACATTTTTTCAGTGATTATATTTTGGTTGTCAGGGGTCAAGGTTCACATGCTTTGAGCGTGGTTGCTTAGCAGCAGAGGGTGGGAATCTTATTGCACACGGTTACTTTTTATTACATTATCCACTCAGAAGAATTACGTTATCTACTGTCGAGAACAACAACACCACAGTCTTGCCTTATTCTACCCCTCTTGTGCCTCTTCTTCTGCTTGCCACTGACAATCACATGCTCTGCAGGGACACACACACACACACAGAGAGAAAGAGATGTCCTCTGTTTAAGTGTCTCCCAGGGCTTGAACTTGACTGCTTCACTTTGGTAGCACACGTGCTGTCGACTTGAAAACGTTGGGGACACGACTGAAAATTAAGAAGAAAACTTATACAAATTATTGATTTAAAGATGATTTATGCATACAGTTAAAAAAAAAGTTCCTGAAATTTTATGGCGATAGTGTTCCCATGGCAACAGTATAATCCTACTTGTGAAATGAATTAGCATTTAACTTAGACAGGTTGGCCTTGTCAACACTTGGCTGGCAAGAAGAAAAAAAACACTGTTGTCATGGGGATTCAACCAATCAAAATTGAGTATTTAACACAGACCGGTATTAAGGGATGGATATAAACCCCAAACCTCCCTTATGTCTTAAGGCATGTCTTTGCCGATACTTTACGATGTGGGTCATCTCCGCTGTTTCTTAGCTCAAATCCGTCATCTGTCTCAAACCTTCCTAACTTGGTCCCTCCTCCTTCTCTTGTCCGTTAGTAACAGCCTCCCTCTCTGAGTGTAACCTGGCCCTGAGAGGCAGCTGCAGGCTCAACTGTGACCCTTTGATGACTCTGCAATTATATCCCTCTGCACACACATACCCACAGCTTAAAATGCTTGTTATTGTGAAGGTCTGAAAAAACAGCCATGTGTGCAGTGAGTACATGTCCCATGGGATACCGCCATGACCCTGACTGCTTCAAAGGTTACAAACTACAATGCCACCTTTTTTTTTTTAGGTTTAAACTTTGTGACTCATCTGCAAAAAAGCGACCTTGCTGAAGTGTCATCCTGAACTTTATCATAACTTCTTATTAAACTGACTTTGCAGTATGTCTGGGAAACCTTTTCCAAAGGGGATTTTTGGCTTTGTGTGACTACGTAGAAATGCATTCGTTTGAGAGAGAAAGAGAGAAAAACATAAAAATAGGTGTCTTTTTACATGGATTAGTAACTCAGCATTTCTTTGTGAGTCATTTCTAACCTTTCACTGCTGAATATCAGGTCGCTTCATTGCACCGGGATCCCAGTGTACCCAAGCTCACTTTGTCCTTTTGTTGATTGAAATAAATTATCTTTGTCTTATTTTTACAATATAACTTAAATTATGACACGGATAAGAGAATGTCATGTGATTAAAAATTATCTTAAAACCTTAAAACTCTTTCTTTAGAACTTTTTTTTGCCCAAATTAAAAAATAGGACAATAATCTGAACTTACCGTTAGTGCTGGGCGATAAAACGATAATGATATCGAAAATTAATTTCCCTCAATATCAATATATGGTTGATATGCTTTTTTAATAGTCCGCATTAAAAAGGAGAAAAGTGCGTTCTCCAGGATTTAGCTGGGTTTAGAGTGCCAAGGCGTATGGTGTGTGTGTTATGCCTAAAAGACACAGATACAGATGTCCAGTTTAGTGATGGATTTATTTGACTGTGGTTCTGCAGATGAAGATACAAAGCAACAATCAGTACAGCTCACACCATACATAACATGAACAACGAGTAGCATGAGATTGCATTTGCCGTATTCACGGTAAACAATACGTTAACACAATATAGCATCCAACTTGGACAGTGAAACATCATAAAACTCACTTCTGGCAATAACACACAATAAACAACGGGGATTTGAAGGTAAATATTTGGGTAAAAACAGGTAAGAGGAAATTTACGAACTTTCCTCTGCCCCATTGGGAGGAAAACTAAACCTTTGCAGCTGCGGTGTCTCACACACAGGTGCAGTGCGTTCATGAGCATAGGACAAATGAAAACTCACCGTAAAACACAATATAACTGAACGGTGTTTACTTGAAGACACCTAAACAACATGGGCTCTCTAACAGGGATGCTGCCATTTCAGAGACACAAAGACCTCACAGATACAGCAGCTTATTGTATTGCAAAAACATGCCACCAATAAGCACTGTTCAATTTCATTTTTTATATCGTAATATATATCGATATTGACTGATATGAAGAAAATATATCTTGATAAACTTTTTCCCACATTGCCCAGCCCTACTTACAATGTAGTAAAAGATGTAAATAAATGGTTCTCTGTCCTTTGCTTTAACTGGAGATTATGTTTCTTGTTTATCACTACAGCTGTAAAATTATCACAGTTAGAGATGTCTGAATGTATCTAAAAAGAAGGGTTGTTTTGTGCAAAGAAGCAATGCTGTCTCACTCTGTATTGTTTTGTTTTAGCTTTTCTTTGAGCTCTGAGGATCAAGGCTAATACTTCCTCATCATTTTGATTCAGTCAGACAAAAACCAAGCTTTGCCACCCTCGGATAATTGCTGCTATTGCTTATGCATTTATTTTCCAACTGACAGGTACATGTTACAAACCCAGGTATTATGTTTAACAAGACCAGCAATTATCAAAACAAGCTTTTATCTATTTTTGTGAATTTGTCTCTTTATCAAGCTTTTTTATTGATGTCACCATATTGGAAAATGTCACTCCACATTGCATAGTTTTCTCACATCCTGTGGGTCTGCTCTGCTCTAGGGGTGTCCTGATACAATTTTTTGACTTCCAATACCTTACAGATATTGTAGCCTTCAATATTGACCGACACCAATATTGATCTGAAATTGGCACATGTCTTTTTTTATCGGAGTGCTGATATCGGAGATTTTAGATGCAGGCCGATATAATCCAATATTTGTTTTTTTGCTGGTATTGGGCCGATATTCGATGTCAGTTTGTATCGGGACACCCCTACTCTGCACTGTGGTTTTCTGTTTTTACACCACAGTTTTGCAGCAACCTTTGAAGCAACTGAATGAACTCTTTTATTTGCAACAATAGTCAAACTGTAAAACTCGGTGAACTCATAAGCGATCTAAAAAAACATGTAAGGACAGTGCGTGTTTTTGTAGATTGATTTTTTATTGTTAACCACATCGCATCCAAAGTTCACACAAGCTGCTGCTGGACTATCTGAAATGTGGAAACACATGTTTTCAACATAGCCTTGTATCCTGTCAAATCAATGTCTGCAAACAAGCATCAATGTTGGTTATTACCCGCTGTCTAAATCAGTTGTGTCCCACATACAGGCTGCTTCCAAGAATGGCCTTTTCCATCTGGCGCAGGTAATCACTGCTCCCATTGTGGGCTGCTGCTGTGGTCAATCCACCATCAATTCATTCTCCCCTTTTTTTCCTCTCAGACTTTGTTAATTGTGACCACAGAATGGACAAATCTACGGGTCTCTTGAATTTATTAAAAAAAGAAAAAACCTTCCCTGGCTCTCCTCCTTCCTTCTATTCCTCTGCGTGGCTGACTTGGCTTCAATCTGGTGGCCGTGGATGTTATTTTTCCTTGCTGGGTTCACGGGTTCTTCTCCTCTCAAATGATACAGCAGGCCTGTTCATAAATAAAACCTTTGACTAGATCTGCTTGGACAGTCGGGGAAATCTCTGCTGATTGGCAGTAAAGATGAAAGTATTCATGGCCTTAAAAGCAAAAAAATGAAAGAGAAATACAGTTATTTTTGATGTACTTTATGCTCTTTAGTATTTAAAACTATTTAAGATTTGTCAAAACAGAAGTTTGTTAAAAAAAAAAAAACATCTAAAGGTTATTTCTGGACAGGCCTGTCCAGGACAAAAAAAATCTCACAAGCACAACATGCAGCTGGACTTTGTGGTGCTTAATGTAATTGACATTGTATTTTTCCCCTTCTCACTCCTTGCTGGAAATTTGGGTTTCCCCCAAATGCATTTAGAAAGCTGTTACTTCAAAAATAAAGCTGCTGAGGGTGACCTTGTTTTTCTCTTTTAGACCAGAGATGATTTCCTGGGCCAGGTTGACGTTCCGCTCAGCCATTTGCCGGTGAGTTATTTGCATCTGTGTGCGTGTGTGTGTGTGTGTGCGTGTGCGTGTGCGTGTGTGTGTGGCCAGTCCGTCTGTTGCAACGCTGTTTTGAATGCTCAGCTGTTTCTTATCGTCTTTGCTCCGCCTGATTAACCTCTGTGAAAGTCAGGCAAAGAGTCAGCGCGTTTGTGTGTGTCCGTCTTTCTTAAAGTGTGAGAAAGCATTCGCCACACCAGAGGCATGTTGTTGTGATCAAACAGGCACTCCCTGTTTCGACTGAGATGTAAACAGAGGTGACTGTCCTGAGGGTGTGCGACCCTCGCAACCAGTGGAAAAAGCTACACTGGCCAAATTCACACACTCAAAAGTATTTGCTTGGAAACTGTTAAATCTTGAGTGATAGGGGGGTTTTGTAAACGATAACAAGAAGAACAAGTTTGTATGCTCCTTGGCTGTTTTTACAGTTTAGTGTCTGTAAGTAAACAGCACCTTAAAGTAAAACAAATAGATATAGAAGCAGCATCTTCTCTGCTCAGTTTAAAGCCGTCAGAGCGGTTGTGGCTCTCTGAAGTGCTGTCAAAGTTGTACACCTTAAAAGCACATCAAGAGAAGGTGTTGGGGTTAATTATTAATGTCCCTTTTGGCTCCCGTAGCTCCAGAAGTTTTGCTAGAGATAAAAGCCACAGCTGAGTCATGTTGGGAAATGAAGCCGGGGAGTGGGAGTGGGGGGGTCTGACGCTGTAAATGCAGCAGTAAATTTAATTTAGCCATTGAACAAATTGAGCTGGCACCGACAAGCCTCTGCAAAGCATCTGTAGATGTCCAGCTTTGCCTTTCAAGTGGGTTTGGATTTGATTAATTGATTTTATGCCTGGCTACATTTTGTAGGAATTGCAGTCTTATTCATAGTTACTTGGACATCGGATGAGTTATCTCTTTTCTACTTAACCTTACTCTTTATACTCAACTTTTTGCATCGTCAGGCCAACAGCGCTGACTCATGTTATGTTTGCATTTGCCTTAATGAAGCTTACTATGAAGCAAAACAGTTGGGCTAAAAAATACTTTAAACTCGGGCTGTCCCGATACGAAAAACAAATATCTAATATATCAGCATGCATCTGAAATCTCCGGTATCTGCACTCCGATACAAGCAGTCCATTCCAGACTCCACTCCGGCACCTCTAGCTAGCAGCGCACGGATCCAGCGTGCAGAGCCCACATGACCACGACAACAGTGTGTACAAAGGTACAAACAAAGTAGCAAGGAGTAAGAGTGTGGCAGTATTTTTCGTTAAAGTCAGAAAAATACGTTGCAAAACTTGTCATGCACAAGTTTTGCCAATATCGGATAAATATCAGTATTGGCCAATATTGAAGGCCACAATATCTGTAACATATCGGAAGTAAAAAAAAAAGTTGTATCGGGACACCCCTACTTTAAACCAACAATGCAAGAACAAAACACATTTATCCAACAGTTCCCTGTTTTTATATGAAACGTTTTGAACTGATTTGGTTTTATGGTGTCAGACCTCAGAGAAACAACAGTGTTTGGAGTCATGTCGGTCATTTATTGTTTTATTTTTAGGAGCAAAAGAAATCTTTATAAATCATAAATCAAGTTTTTTGTAAAAAAAAAAAAAAAAGAGAGAAAAATCTGCCTTTTTGATTTCAGCCCAGATCGCTCAGCCCTACCAAGTGAACATGAAAAAAGTTACATATTCTTTTACTGTGGGATTTGTATTAAAAAAAAGTGTCTTTGCATTGTCCTACCATGTAACTATTCATGTGTCTTTGTATGTGTGTGGTGATTTATGTAAGAGGCGGTATAGTGAAAGGGTGGTGGTGGTCCCAGCAGGGTACTGGATTCCCTACATGAAGCAGAGATCTTATCTCATCCTAAAGGGATTAGAATCCAATTTAGAAGTCGGGCTTAAAAACTGCGAGTGACGAGTCCAACTCATTCTGCTCTTCAATTTTTAATTAGAAAAACCTTGTAGCAGCTCATAGGGTATATGGAGCACTGCGTGGTATTAACCTCAGAAAAGACCAGCTACGTGACGCTGAATACTTTTTATTTGAATTCATTATTTAGGATAGAAGATATAAATAAGATTTTTCAAAGACTATTTTCCCCTCTGATTCATCTGGAGTTGTTTTTCTTTTTCTGTTTGCATTCAGGCCTGTAACTTTAATTTAGAGCCTGACAGCTGATTGTGATACTTTGCAGAACAGTTTGTGGTAAGCAACCAGTGTGGACTGGTATGGAGTAGTGGGAGGTTTCAGTGAGTTTCAAAAGACCTTCCTGCTGTTCAATATGTAACAGGAGAAGCTCACTGTTGCATAATGATCCCGGACTGGCTGTGCAGAGGGTTCTAGGTGACGTGCTTTCAAACTCATGACGCTGACACTTTGATCCTCTCTTACATGTGTATTTGCCTGTTGTGTGATTAATTGACTGGTGTCAACAAATACCTCCTTTTAATGTGCAGACAGAAGACCCGGCTATGGAGCGTCCCTACACATTTAAAGACTTCCTCCTGCGGCCCCGAAGGTCAGTCTCTACCAGAAGTGACGAGGCAGAATGTGACAAACACTGAAACGTGATATCACTCATTCAGATTAAATTTAGCAAACTGGATGACAGTGATATATTGTTCAGCTCACAGTTACTGTAATGATCATATTGAACACCGTGTACCTGTAGACCGATGCTCTAACTCCGCAGAGGCGAAGGTTCATGAGACGGTCAGTTGAACACTGAACGTGAAAAACCATCTGGTGCTAACAGCCAGTTTGGAAACCCCCCCTGCATGTCTAAGCATTACTAGGGGGCTAGGATGGTGAAGCCAGCTGGTTTTTTGTGCTGTTTTCAAAGTGGGTCAATTTTTGCTGATGTCATCCTTCTAGTCACAAGTCCCGGGTGAAGGGTTACCTGCGTCTGAAGATGGCCTATCTGCCCAAACAAGGAGGACAAGAGGAGGAGGCTGGAGACATGAGGGAGGAGGCTGAGGTAAGGTCTTGGCAGTGGAGACGTCGAGTTGGTTTGAACTTGCTGACTTAGCAGTAGCTGAGGCGTCTTGATCTTAATGACTTGAAGCCAGACCAGATCTTTTTTATTACTTCCTGCCGCACAAAGAAAGCAAAGCTCTAAGCCTGAAAATGAAGGCGAGTTTTCTGACTTGGACTCTGAGAAACATAAAAGGTTTCAGCTAAGATGGAAAAAAGAAGACCAGCTCTGCCTTTTTTCTCTTTTTTCTAAGAATCTGGTGAAAGTCTTTTTCAGGTCAGGGTCTGGAAAAACCATTAACAATCTTGCCTGTTATTTGGAGAAATAATAACTTTCCTCTCCTTGAATGTGTGTTGAAGTGTGGTTTTCTTGTCTAGTGCAAGAAAGATGCTATAAATTTTCAGACCGTGAAAGGCTACACTGATAACGTGACATTAAGCAGTAGGAAACCCCCAATGCCACTCTGCCAACTCTCCTTCACTGTATGCTCTTAATGTGCAAAATCTCTCATTTTGACTTTGACCTTTGGAATGAAATATTTCACACTAGCTTTGTTGTTTTCAATATCATGGTTACTTCCTCGCCGAGCTGTCCAAGAAAAGCCGTTCAAATTTGTCATCCCTCGAAGTGATATTGATGCACATTAGCGCAGTCTTGGAGATCTCCCAACCTGCCAGCAGCTTGTCAGGAAAAATGAACTCCAGTCAATGCTAACAGAAACAAACCAAAACACGGCATAAGGAAAAGTCCTAACCTGCCACATCTTTAATGTGCTGCCACGCTTAAATCCTCGGAGCTTGCTAATGTTCATGTGTGTCTGACAGGCTGTCAGCTCCCTGTGACCACAGAGTCTTTGGCCAAAGCTTCCACTGAGTTACTCATGCTTCCTTATCTGTGCCTTTTTTAGGGATGGGATGAGTCTGCAGACTCGGGCTCACAGCGACCACAACAGTTACTTCCCCCGCTGCCCCCTGGCTGGGAGGAGAAAGTGGACAACCTGGGACGCACCTACTACGTCAACCACAACAACCGCTCTACACAGTGGAAACGGCCCTCCAACATGTACGCCCTACTTCACTCTTTGACATTCTTATTTTAAACTAGTTCAACTACAAGCATCAACAATAGTCCTGGAAAGTATGAAGTCTATTTCATTAGGGGCGGCTGTGGCTTAGTGGTAAGGCCACTTGTCTCAATCAAAGGTTGGTGGTTCAGTCCCATCTCCTGCTGTCTCCTGGAAGTGTCTGAATTGAACCTCTAATTGCCCCCAGTAGCACACTCCAGCAGTGTGGAAAAACGAAACAGGCACTTTACAGAGTTTCCTCTGCCATCATTGTATGACTGCGGTGTCAATGGGTGAATGTTATTAGAAGGCTTTGAGTGCTCGCTAGACAAGAGAAAGTGCCATACAAGTACAGCCATTTAGATTTCATGAGGTCTGAATTTGCAGATGTAAACACAGTATGTGAAATCAATATCTTACTGTGATGGCCGTGTTATTTTTGTAAGAATAATATCACTCTTCCCAAATCTGGGCCTGATGAGAGTATATTTCATTTATCTTAACTATGTTTTTCTGTTTGACTGTTGAACCAGCGTTATCCTGTTTGAGAATTGTGCATTAGGATTTTCAATATCTAACGTTTTGGCATATTCTTCCTCAGGGATGTGATTTCAGAGACTGAAAGTGACAATCAACAGCGGCAGATAAATCAGGAAGCACACCGTGTTTTCCGTTCGAGACGACACATTAGCGAGGACCTCGAGAACGAGCACCTGGAGCCCAGAGACCTGGACAATGTGAGCCAGGGGAATTGACACACTTGTGCAGGATGTTACTAATAAATACCGAGCCACAGCTGTCCTAACTCACATTATTGTTGTTTTGTATTTTTCTCTCTTTTCTCGCCTCTGCAGTCCTGGGAACTCATTACAGAAGAGGATCCAAATGACAGCATGGCCCAGTCTCTTCCCGGACCCTCCTCCATGTTAACGCCGCAACACCCACCAACACCCATCACCCAGGAGTTCTCTGATGATCTAAATTTGAGGCTGTCACTCACCCCAGAAACGAACGGTGAAGTTGCAGGCCCAAGCTCAGCTCTGGTGAGACATGAACCCCGCAGTGTTGAAGTTGTCAGAACCAAGACGACTTAGTGGCGCCAATGGAAGCACGTGTATAATAATGACCATTTTGCTTTGATTCATCAGACCCAGCTGTCAAACAGACTGCGATCCTCCAGTATGACGGATGGTGTCAGCGATCAGGCCCAGGCTCCTCCTCTAATGGTACATATTTCCTCACTCCCACACATTCCTCCATCCTGTTCTCTTTCCACTTCGATTCCCTCCCTTTGCCCGCCATGTCACTGTTAGCATTGTGCACATCCTTCTTTTTCTTTCTGTGCCTTGATTTTCTGAAGCAGACAGACCCTGGTGTCTCATTTACATCCTCTTTGTTGGCATGTATCAGTGCTGTAAGTGTACCACTCTCCGAATCACCCTCTTTGCTCCTCCTGGGATTTCAAATTTCCACTTGCAGAAGTAGCTTCACCTTTCCTTCCCGCTCTCTCTTCACAGTTTGTTCCTTTCTTCCCGACTCTGTAGGATCACTGCACCTCCTCCCTCTCCTCTCTCTACTACTGTCCTCCCTTTGTGATTCACTCGCAGCTTTGTCTGATGTATTGTTAAAATGTAGGCCTCGAGGCTGTGTGCCAGTAGAATGACCCTTCCAGTAGAAACCTTTGGCAATAAGATTGAGGGCAGCACTCCATCAGATCTAGCGTTTCCCAGCGAGCCCTGAGTCAGAGCATCAGTGGAGATTCAGCCTTACACTCTGTCACAAGATCTGAGTCAGATGTTTGTCACACAGCTGAGTCACAGCAGAGAGCTTGGCGTCGTCTCCCTGAGGGAAAAGTACAGGTGCTGATGTCAGCTTTTCCCCTGAACTCCGTAAGAAGTGGATAACAGTAAGCTCATTAAAAAGCCATCAGAGGAAGCCATGTGTTTGACCAGTTTCCCCTCTATTACTGTGTTCGTGTGTGGACCCAGGAAAAGTGAAGGCGCAGTCACAGTATTACTGATGCTATAAAACGTGCATGTGGGCGGACTGGTGATGAAATGACTAATGCATATAGGATTTATCTCCTGACAAAAGCAGCCCTCACTCGTGACAACGATTGAGTTCAGCTGAAAAGATGAGGCTGGGTGGTCATGTATGTTTTTTATATATCAATCACATCCTGTAAAACAAGAGCACACTTATGATTTATAGTCTCAAGAAGAGACATGGTATGTACTTCATTTATGCTCCTTTGAAGGGAAATTTACTCGTTACATCAGTTGAAAGTAAAAGACAAGTGATCAAGTGATAATAAAAAAACAAAACACAGTTACTTCTAATATTTCAAATTTTGTATATAAGTAATTTGCTTTTTGGAATTTTTTTGATCTATCACTTAAAAGACGATAGTATGTTTGGTTAGCATAATAACTATATGTGTACACTTTTTTATGGGCAGACAGGTGATGTTCTGCTATGAAAAACTGCAAAAGGTCAGAATTAGTCAGTGGTAAATAGATATGTTAATGGTTAATGATCAATAAAGCATATTTCAGGAAAATAGGCAACCCTGAGTGCTTCACTCAAGACATCAAATCGTGAAAGAGGGCATAAAAAGTAGTCGAAACATGCCATTAAATAATAATAATAATAATAATAATAATAATAATACATTTTATTTAAAAGCGCCTTTCTGAACACTCAAGGACACTGTACAGGGCATAAAAACACAGTTAGAAACATATTTAAAATAAATAAAAACTACATACAAGTGTGAAAGTGGACAGTTAAAGTGAATATGCATTAAAGCTCCTATGTGGAGTTTTTTTTTACATTTAAAAGAAATAAACTGAAAGTCAAATTAATTTTTTAGCAAATAAGACCATCAGACACAAACTTAAAGATTTTTTATTCAATTATTTCCTCATAAAATATCCACAAAAAGGATGCATTTGGGGCAGCAAAACTGACACAAACCCAAAGAGCCTACCAGGAATCAAAAATCAAAGACCAGGTTGAATAAAAAACACAAAGAGCTTAAAGAGCAGGTATGATAATATACACAGTATAGTAGTAGTAGTAAAGAGACATATTCACTATTTATATACAGGAAAAGACATGCATAAACAAGATTATTATAAGAATGAAAATATAGAGTATGTTTAATTATCCAACAAGAACCTTTTTCCTACCCTGTAAATAATACTCAGCATCAAATTAAGTAGTTCCTTTTATTCCTTTATTTTAGACTTTTTTTCATGTAGCGACAAACACATACTATAATTTGACATCATTTTCCTTATTTTTCTAAACACATCATTATTTTCTAACAACCAGGTATTGTAGTTTTCTGTAAATGGAACAAGTGAATTGATTGGAGACTTTTTTCAGTAACAGGTTGAAACATATTTCAGAGATTTCAGGGAAAGTGCTGCTGTGTGACTCATCTGTATATTTTTGGTAGTTTTTGGCCAACAGTGGAATCCTTTAACAACAAGGACTACACTTCTGTATATTAGGCTGTGCCTCCACAGGTAATGCTTGTTGGTATCCAATACATTGTTGGTTTTGGCTTTGGTTTAGGGTTCGTATTGACATATGAAAAACCTTTCAAGAGGAGGTTGTAGGTGGACTCAAACAGACCTGTAGCGTATGTATTTGTGAGAAGCTGCTGTCTGACTGACTTTTGTTTGTTTGTTGTTGTTATATTTGAAGATGTTTCCAAAGTCCTTGTCTACTATTCAAACTGTAAACTTAATTTGAACTTCAGCACAGCATTTCACTTTTACTGTCGTGATACTTTCAGAGGGCAGAATTGTTTTCTCAGTGCTGTTGCCGTAGCTCTAACATCAGTTCCTACTTTGGGTTCAGATTAAAGATGCTGCTGTGATGTTTGAGGAATAGATTTACAGTTCAGGGAGAAGAATCTGTGTCTTCCTCAATAGCAGGGACATGTAAAAAACTCTATGCCTTAGATGTTTTGGATTATTTCCTTTGTGTATTTTTGTATCAAAGTCGATCTACTCTGCTCACTGTCAGCACACTGCTGGAAGTTTTCTTTATCTAAATTTGTATAATCGCATCAACCAATCAAAAGTGCACGCCCCAAATGATTCGTGCTCCTTCCTGCTATAGCCTTGTGTGCCTCAGTGAGTGTCCTCTCTATTTCCTGTATTCACAGCCACTGCACTTTCCCACCGGGGCCCGTAATCACAAGAGCCTCCTCCCTTCTTTCTGTCACTCCTCACTTCCCTTGAGAATAAATCCCCACCTTTTGTCCAATCAATTTTTTCCTCACTGGACCTGCACCACTGCCCAAGCACCCTCCTTGCCCTGTTAATTCCAATGAAAACAGTAACGCTGGACTAAAGACCATCTCCCCCTGTTGTCTACTACCAGCAGGGTTCCCAGACCAGAAGAACAAGAGCTCAAACAGTCTCAGGTGGTGAGGAGACCATGGTAATATCTCAGTTTATATACAGTTTAAGTCCCACCAGTCACACATCACTAAATTCCCAAAGATCACAAAGGATGAGCTGTTGTGTCCCCTGACTAGCTTTGTGAATCACTTTGATTTAAAGTCTACACATGAGTAAAGAGCCACAGGAGGACTTAAATCTTTTATCCTTATGAGGGCATTTTTACACAAGCAGGCAGCATTCACACATTTTCAGTGGGATAAGGCAAGTTTCCAGGAATTGAATGATAACACTGTGACATACTGAACAGCTTAACTGGACTTGTAGTTGTCCTGAGGTTGCTGTTTTTATCTGTGTTATAGCTTGTCTTTAATTTGGAAACCTTCTATGGTATTTAAAGCAGTACTACAAATGTGTCCAATAGGGATGCCTGATCAAGTACCTTTGGACCCTGATTCTGATCTTAGTATTTACTTTAATGTTGAATACAAATCTGACTCATTCAAACAACATCAGCCATCAGAGAACACTGTCATCTCCACCAGAATCAAAAGTCTGTAAAATGATTTGTTGACATTTTTATTATTGAGGACCCAAATTGCAGGTGAAATGTTGTGTCTAACCAGAAGTGTAGCGTAGTAAACCACCATAATACAATAATGCTCTACTACCTGGATGTAAACAAGCATTGATGGAGTTTCAGTGAAAATTGGGGTAATGTTTAAAGAAGGCTGTGTGTCGTTTAACTAAACTATAACCAGCTGACAGCAGTGGTGTGTACTCAGCACAGGTATGTGAAGGTTAACCTGCGAGGAGAACCAAAGACAGAGGAGTCCAACCCGTTAGTTTGGCCATTGTTTACCCTGTGATCACGTGTTTAGCTTTTTTAAAATATGTTGTTGTTAGAGGTTTGCTGAATTTTGCTGCCACCTGAAATTGACAAGCTGCTTCTTGAATATTTCATACACTACTTGTTAATGTTTCTAAACTCCAGAACTCAGCAAGTTTTTTAACTTCTGGAAACTCATTGTATGAGCGAAGAGTCACTAAAATGCACCCTGACACACTCGATAAAGAGACTACAACCAGCTTTATTTTAGACAACGGTGATTCATTGAAACATTTCTAGATGTGGGAACCAGTGTTTCTGCACGTGTGAGGCTAAAATATTTCTGAAAGGTTAATAAATTAGGGTTAAATATTTCTGGAGTCTTTTTTTCTTCAATGGTTTACCAAGTCAAGCAGCAATAATTCACTACTTTGTCTCCATGTGGTGTTTCTTTAGTGCCTCGAGTTTCAATGTTTTGTTTGTGAAGGTTAAACTCATACACAGTCACTAACTTTACAGAGTAGAGTTAAGACTCTACTTGTGTCACATTGTACCTTCAGAGTCTTTCTTACTGTTGTGCAACCGTATCAGAGGAACATTTTAGGCTGTAGGGATCCTGAGAAAAAAGATGGTCTTTTGTAAAATCTCTAAACCTAACAAATATGAAAAGATTCCCTCCACATGTCTTTACTTGTACTAGTTTGTACTGATAAGTTTCCATTGCTTTTCTTTCTCTCCACACTCGGCCAGTCTCCCTCCGGGACCCCTTACTCCTTGACCACTCCCGGCCTGCCCCCTGGATGGGAAGAGAGGAAGGACGGCAAGGGGAGAACTTATTACGTCAACCATAACAACCGCACCACTACCTGGACTAGGCCAATTGTGCAGGTACAGCAGGTCCGAAGGCTGGCTGGACTCTATGCATGGGGCTGGACCTCTTACTCGGGCCCCCTATCATGGCCTCGGCCTGTTTGTTCGACCTCCTCGTCCACCATTCCCTCTGTGTTTCTCCTTCTGTGTAGCCCTTAAAGAAGGACGGAAAGAGAAGCAGCTTTGCAACCTCAAAGTCTCTCCTTCTGTTTTTCTCTGTCTGGTTTTCCAGTCTGTTCCAGTTTTTGTGTGTCTTCCTCCTCTTGTCTAGAAGTCAGTTTGATACTTTGGATGGAGTGTGTGACTCTGCATTGGTCACGCCTTTCTAAACCCTGGCATGGAACTGCAACCACCAATATTTCCCTCCCTTTTTCCTGTATCGACCCTGTTTTTCCACTTGTCTTCCCCTGTCTTTCTGTCTGAGGCAGCACCACGTAGTCTGAGCTCAGGGAGAGATGACAACATGGGAATGTGTATTATGTTTAACACTTTAATGCCGTCTCTCCCTTTTTGATGTCAACCCTTTTCATTTCTGCTTTTATCAGAACACCGTGCCCCTCTGTTGTTGTTCTTCATCACACAGTCCTCTCATTTTCTGATTCTCATCTGTTTTTGTTATTACTCCGAAGAGGAGGACACTGCCAAATGTTTTATGTAATAGTATCACACTGTTTCTTCAGTCTGTGGTACATAGTTGTGGCTCATTCTGAATGTGTGTTCCTTCTAGTCTGAGTGTAGGGCCCTATGAAATCCCTTTTTCACTTCTTCCAAAATCCTATTTTTTCCTGAATCTGATATATGATTTAAGCACATTATTGTACATTTAAGTGTCCAATCATTTCATAAACATACTCAGTGATGTTTCTAGCTATGTGTCCTGCGTCTCTCACACATCAAAATCTAAGAGGATAAAGTTTGGGGCTACAGCAAACACTCAAAAACCTGATACACAAACAAGGTCAACAGAGGACGACATAAACCAGAAGATCCTCACATATACTTTAACTTAAGGTTGGGCGATATGGCCACAAATCAATATCACAATATATCGAGCAGTTCACCTCGATAACGATAAATGGTCGATAACTACTCCACAAGCTGCTCACCACCTCCCACAATAACTTCGTCTACTTCAGCCACCGCTCAGCCGCTACAACTTTTGAACCGTCCTCCATCTCCTCACCTGTCTTTCCCTCTTTTTACGGACTGGATGGGGTGGAGTCGCGTCTGTGACATAGGAGACCATAGCCTACCTAAACACATCCAAAACCAACTTTTGTTTATTATTTTTTTTGACAGAGAATATATTGACATGGGCAAAATGAAGTCAAATATTGTCATAAATTTCAGCATCGGTAAATTTTCAGTTTATCGCCCAGCCTTACCTTAACTACAACCATATCATTCTTAATCGACCTCAAGATTTAGTTTAAAACGCAATTCTTAAGTTCCACTGGAGATCCATTCATTTTCCCAGAAACCCACTCAAATCACCACTTTTGAGTCTAATGGACTTTCCACATTGAAAAATGATCCACATCACTGTCTACTTGAATTCAATCCAAGACAACAGGACACTGCTTTCGCTCAAGGTGCTTCCTCGGCTATAAAACACATTCACTCCAGAGTCGTCTGGATATCGCTCAGCTCTAAATGTAGCTTTTGTCGACTAATTCCTGTTTCCTGCTGTCAACAATTGTAAGTCACCCGCACAGCTGACTTTTCTACAAACTGTTTGGCTGTCATTGGTGACTTACACAGCTGAGCTGCAGGTGAAGCCGTGTGTATGTGTGTGTGTGTGCCAGCTCAGTAGCTCACACCAGTATAACTCATCACGGCAAAGTCTAAATTGTTTTGTCTTGTGGCTGATGTTTGGTCTGAGCCGGCCTGTTGCAGTTTCACATGACTGAAGCACTCTGCCCATAAATGGCATCAACGCAGAGTTAATTTCTCTTTATTTGGCTACGGTTCTATGAAGATTCATCAGGAGCAATACTTTGAATTTGCATCCCTAATAAAAATCTGTATTTATAAAAGTCACACATTTTTTAAAACTGGACAGTATTTGTTGTATTTTTTTGCATCATGGAAATCATAGGGCCCTACAGCTACCATCTGAGTTAGAATTCATCCAACACTAACTTTCTTTTTTCTTGTACTTTTTATTTCTGGTCCCAAACCCAGGTCCTTGTCCTCGGGTCTTATGCATGATCTTAGTCATTAGTATTTGAAGGAGCATACATTGATTGTCCTCTTGAGCCTATCTGATCCACACTTCTGATGTTTAAGGAGCTCATTTCCATGACTAAAGGTCTCTCTGATGGCAAACATGAAGCATCTCTCACAGCAGGGGTCATGATGAACTTTTCAGTCACTTTAGTCCGACCCCACTTAACATGTAAAGCTCTTTTTCTCACTGACAGCTGACTGAAGACGGAGCCAGCACCTCAGCAGCAGCAACAGCAGCAGCAGCAGCAGCAGCAACACCATCAACATCAGGAGGAGCCACGGCCCTGACACCCGCATCTACCCCCTCCTCCTCCTCCAACAACCACCTCCATGAGCCCCAAGTCCGACGACCTCGTAGCCTCAGCTCCCCCACTGTCACCCTTTCCACCCCCTTGGAGGTGAGAATTAGACACCCTTAGACACCATCCTGCCTACCATCCGTTCCCAATCATCCCCATCTGCTTCTAGAAATCCCTCTCAGCTTTTCTATTCTGTCCCTTTTTTGGTCAGTGAATCACCTCCTCCTCCACTACAAAAGAGGCAGTCTCTTTTGAGTCTCACCCATCCACGTCCATCATGCTCCCTCTCTAAAATTTTATCTCCTTCTTTCAGGTTACATCTCTCTTCATGTTGCTTTCCTCTGTTTTCATCCTCGCTAGTCCTCTGGAAATGTTAAATTTCACCACTTATTGATCTTGTCTTCTTATTTCATCTAATCTCCTCACTGAGCATCATTTCCCTCCTCACACTGCTGTTTTTTTTTCCCTCATCTTCACCTGATAATAAGCGATCCAGTTGTGTGAAACAATCAGAGCTTTAATGTCTCTTTGTGTAGAATTGATGCTCTTGTCACAGTCGGCGTTTCATTGTGGAGCGCCGTCGGCTTTTAATGATTGTATCTGGTGAGGTGAAACAAAGATGAAAGATGAAGGCGTCGTTTTAATCAATCACAGGTCCAAAACATTGGCTTTGATTTGTTAAAGAAAACTCTGGCTGGGAATCAACAGTATTGATTTTGGTTATCTAATATCCTTGAATCCAGAGGCCACAAAGGCAGCCGATGAAATGATACAGCTAAATGTTTGGAGGTGATTCAAGATTAATTCTAACAGCAGAGAATCAGTAGGGGTGGGAATCACCTGTAGCGATACGATATTATCACGATACTTGAGCCACGATGTGATATTATTGCGATTTTAAACATTTTGCGATACGGTGAGTATCGCAATACTATATATTGCGATTTGTGCAATTTCTTTAACTGTTTAGCTGATTTAGCATTTGTCTTTCCCTAATGTTCGTCTTATTGATGCAATATTTTATTTTCATATGGCGCTTCTTGCAAACCTCATTGTGACCTGCTTGCATTCCTAATGTCCCTCCCCAGGTGCTGCTATATTTGTCTCACTAACTTTCTCCCGCTCTATAATCTCACCTCTGCCAACCTCACTGGACAGTTGATTTTATTTTTCCATTATCATAGAATTGAGTTCATATTCACAATTAATTTGAAAAAATCGATACTCAGTGGATGAGACGATACAATATATCACCAGACAAAATACCGCAATACTATGCTGTATCGATTTTTTTCTCCCTCCCATCTAGAAAACTTTTGAAAAATTAAAGCAAGTGATTTTTTCATGACTTAAATTTCCACCGTATTCTGTCTGAGCTTCCACTTTGGCTGCACACGGTGTTGTTTGTAATCCTTAAAAAAAAAATACACACAGCCACAACTCTTGCATAGGCCATGATACAAAACGAGAGACATAACCGTTATGGATAAAGTACGGAGAAGATGCAGATATTCATTCTTATGTTCACACTAAGTTTATGGAGAATTGTGCCAGGATTTAAGTCTTAATCACACTTTATGTGCCATTAGTCCTGAACATGCAGGGACTGTGAAATCCTCATCTTCAGGAAAAAAAAAAAAATCACAGAAGTCAAGCATCAGTGAAGAGCTTTTACTTTGAAGCAGCAGCAGCAGCAGCTGTATTTGAAGTGTCTGACTCTGCCCACTGTGGGAACAGATTAAATATTAAATAATAGTAACTCCTAATCCTGCTGCCGTATGTTAGCATTCCTGCCTTCTCCTCTCTGTGCTTCTTACTCATTTGTGAGCTGGTTTAATAATCAGACAGTGGAGGTGGTTAATGCGTTACCCAAATGGCTTCATACTTTGTAACTTTCAGACTTGCGCTGTTAGTTTTAACTTGAGTTGGAGAGCAGTGAAATTGATAAATAACTATAATAAGATCATTAAAAGGAAGCCACTATTAAACTTTGACTATCAGACTTTTTGATCTTTAATCTACTGTAATCTCATGTCTCTCCATCTTTATCCTGTATGAAGAAAAATACATTTGTACTTAACATTACTTGGTGCGGCTATAAATACTCCATACAAACTTGGCTAATTAACATCAACACAGTGTATCTACAAAAGCATGGTCTCTTTTTGACCCCCACTCTGCATTAAAAAGCTTCTGCGATGATCCTGTTCTCGCACCGAGGGAACAGACCTGAAGGAGGTTTAATTAAGGTGTGCGGCTGATTGTGTGTCTCGAGTGTGTGTGTGTATGTGCGTTAACAAGGCGTTTTTCGAAGTAAAGCAAAGTGAAACAACCACTGCTGAATGTTGTAATTACAACTTCCAGAGGAGGTGGGAGGTCTGTGGATTAATTAGCACAGTCTTTTTCCTCTGGTTCCAAATCAGATCAGTCAGTGATAATTGCTGCAGAAAGAACATTGTGATGCAGAGAAACTCTAATCCTGAGCTGATTCACTCGGTTTTATGTTGCAATAGAAGCTTTTACATGCCAGAAACAGTGGGTTTACTTCAAATGACTGGTTTGAAGATTAGGGGTATTACATCGTCAGTTTTTTGTTCTGAGATATGTGTTAGAAAAAGAGTCGTGATCAGTGCTCTGGAGTTATTTCTTTACTTCTCTGCTATCTGCTGAAAATCCAAAAGAAGAGTTAGGATCTACAAGTAGATCTCGGTAGCAATACCCAGAGAGGCAGTGAGAAAATCTGCTTACAAAGCCTTGACGTTCCTCTTTGTTTACATTTTGATTGATGACCTGACAGGACGATGGAGTTTGCATGCTAAAGGTCCGTCTCGCTCTTGTGTTTTCATCACAGCTCATTCTTCAATTTTCCCTTTTGTTTTTTTTGCGTTCCAGGGTGCCAACAACATCCAGGTGCGGAGGGCTGTGAAGGACACGTTCTCCAACCCACAGTCTCCCCAGCCTTCCCCATACAGCTCCCCCAAGTCCCAGCACAAGACCCAGCAGAGCTTCCTCCCCCCCGGCTGGGAGATGAGGATAGCTCCCAACGGCCGGCCTTTCTTCATCGACCACAACAGCAGAACCACCACCTGGGTGAGCCCATACTCAGAGACTCTACAGACTAATGTGAACATGAGACAAGAGGAGGTCATTGTAAGAGATAATGTATCATGTATAGTGGTCTTATCTCACCCTGAAGGGATTTTCTAATGATGCAGAAGCACTTGGTCACGATACATGAAGAAAAATACTAAAATATTTGACACAAAATATTGATTGAAAGTGATTTTATTACTTATTATTATTATTAATCCACCAACATAAATATTCCCTCTTATTTTATTGCAACAGTTCTAATTGACCTCTTTGTGGGGCAAGTTTACATAAAAATGAACATTTTCCATGTGGCAGGGTGATATTATTTTATGCAGGAATACTTATGTTGTCATGTCTGTCCTCATTCAGCTCTGCTTCTTCTCTGAGATTTGTATCTTGGCTTACTTTTACACAAAAATACAACAAAGTCACAACTTATAACATTTTTGCTGTTATTGATACCAGAGCAGACAGTTCCACTCCTGAGCACTAGCTCTGCTGCTGTTTCCTGGAATGCAAAACTGCATCCTCCATGTTGTTTTGCATACCTATTTATAATGCTGAAATTTTGTCACCGTGTCAACAGGCTGAAGTGAAATGTGTCAGAACTCCTTAATAATACTATAAAACTTTCTATTGATTGATTTTTCATGATATGTGCAATCAGGTTGTCTCCAGCTTTTTCCATTGAGTTAAATCAAATATGTCATAGGTCTGTTTTTATACAGTAAGAGTCTCCTAGTAAAGATACACACACAACTGTCATCTGGTAACAAGTACAGCAGGTCAGCACAAGGTCTACAGACAAGCAAAAATAGCAGCATAATGAAAATGAATAGGCTTCTCAATATTGATGAATAATGAATGAGTTTTAACCAGGGTTTAAATTTCAAGGAAATTCCTCTCAAAATCAGCAGCTCCACGGAAACACAATGATGGCAAACTAAATTATTCTTGAACTGTTTTTTTTTTTTTTTGCTTCGTTTTTTCTTTTATTGTCATTGATAAATTAATTCTAGTTTATCCGAGCAATCTTTAAAAAATGTGGTTTAGATAAAGCGGCATCAAAAAAGTGCAAACACAGAAAATGTCAATATTTTTATGCGTCTGTGTGCTAAATAAGGATTAGTTTACAGTTTGAGTCATAGAAAATAGATGGAACAATTTCATGGCAGCACTTAGCTGGAATCTCTCAGTGACCCCTGGTGGTGAAAAGTAAAACTGCATCAAAAATTATTCGGCTATTTTCTTCCTTATTGTCCTGAAATTACTCATTTATATCGTCACACCCCTCCTTACCCTTCCTCTCCCTTTTGACTTCCAGGAGGACCCCCGGTTGAAATATCCTGTTCACATGAGGCATAAGAACTCGATGGAGCCCGGGGAGCTCGGTCCTCTTCCTGTAAGTCACACTCACAATAAGACCGAGTACATATTTAACCTTTGGCCCACAAAGCACATTAACAGAAACCTTAGATGTCCCAATGATTTCTCAGCTTGGTCCATTTATTCACAAAGTGACATAAGAGTGTTACCAGTTCCCTGAGGTAATCTTTGAATGATAGGTGGTGTTGTTGTTTTTTTTGCTTACTCGCCTTTTTTTGGCAGCTTAAAATGGTCAGTGTTTCAGTTGGAACTTTGAGGATGAAGCTTTTCTTCACCAAAAGATTACACATAGCTACAAAAAAGGATTACATAAGACCTTTTTGCAATTTCGCCTGTTTGAAAAGATTTCAGCATCTGACTCTTCAAGGATGGGAAATTGTTGAAAAAGATAATAAACAACTCCCAGCTAGTGGGCCAAACGTTACTCTGTTCAGCTGTTGAATAATCAAAGCTTCATGGGTTTGTACATCTCACAGGCTTGTGTGGTGTGTGCATGTGTGTGTGTTCTCTCTCTTTCTCTCTCTCTCTTTTCTCCCTCTTTCTCTCTTCTCTCCGTTCTGGTGGATCTAATGTATGCTACTTCTTCTACACCTGGCCATGTCTGTTTGGCAGAACCTACCAGAGGAGGTTGGTTGGTGCCTCCCTCCCTCTGCCTGCCTTGCCTTACCTGTCTGGTCCGGTCCAGTCTGGTCAAATGCCTGCAGACAAGCCTTGCGCTTTTGATTTTTTTTTTTTTTTTTTTTAGTTTATTTTGAATTTATTTTTTTTCCTCTCTCTGTCTTTCTATCTGTTCTCTTTCTCATGACCGGCATGGATGGACTTGTGCCCTCCCCCTTCCTTTTTTCATCATCAGTACTTTTACACCACTTCCTCTCTCTGTGCGCCCTTCCTGCACCACCACCACCCCCTTTTTATTTGATCAAATTTGGAGCCCCCAACCTTTTACCCTCAGACTGCTCCATGTCTGTGTACCTGTTTCAGTGTCTGAAGCCTAGAAAGACAAGAAGGGAATGGCCACTTTTTGGCAGGAGGAAAGAATGAGTGAAGGGAAAGGTTGAAGGAGGGATGAAGGAAACAAAAAGAGCTAAATGTGTCTGTTAGAGGAAGGAACTGGCTGTATGCTGCATGTGTTTCCAGCTTTCTAAAACAGTCTCTCCACTCGTGCAGCAGCCGCAGACTTCGACACAGAGACTGTCAGACCCCGCCCCCTTTTCCCAAAACCTTGAATATCAGTCTACTGTTACTTTTTGTCATTGCCTGACTGCCGGTGCCGTACGAGTGTGTGTGATTGGCCTGTGACACCGTACCGAGTGCTCACCGTGTCAGTGGTGGTGTACTGGTGAACTGGTGGTGGTGATTAACCTTTTTTTTAATGTCGTGGTCATATCCCTGCCTTGCTGACGTCTCGGACGTGACTCAAATAGGAGAGAAAATCCTCTCAGCTCCTTTGAGGTTTGTTTGATTGAGTTTGCCTCGCCTGCAGCGCTGGGCTATCAGTGTTCGGACTGTTTCATGGTCAGTCAAATTCAATCAAACATACTTTCAAGAAAAAGGAAAATAAAGGGATTTAAGTTACTATTTGAGCATGTCCTCTTTGAGTGCTTGTCCGATGGCGATGTGGTGTAACTTCCTCACTGTTTCCTGTTTTTTCTGCCTCTTTTTCAGCCTGGTTGGGAAGAAAGAGTCCACTCAGATGGACGCACCTTCTACATCGACCACAGTAAGACAACTTTTTCCCTTCAAATTTGAGTTTCTCCCAAATTTGAGGTACCCTATCCATTACTACACAAACCCAGTTGCAATATCAGGCTGTTCTGGCAAGGTGTATTGCATAATGGCCTGTTAGAGGCTGACAGGCTGTTACACAAGATGGATTGCCGTCAAGCTCTTTTCACACGTAAATGAACTTCCTTTGTTTGTGAGTGAGGGTGCAGAGTTTTGCAAGTGCGCCATCAGTTTATCTGAAAACAGCAAAGGTTTTCTTTATTCAGTAGATAAGTCTTTGTCAGTTACTCTGTGCATTAAGTGCTCTGTCTGCTTTTTAATCCAGATACGAAGAACACGCAGTGGGAAGACCCCCGTCTGCAGAGTCCAGCTATCACAGGACCTGTGAGTAGTCTCCTCTTACAGACTTAAGTACTTGAATGAGACTCTGGATCAACAGCGCTGCGACATGGAAACTATAAGTTCCTCTTCTAACAGAGAGGTCCTGTCTCTCACACCGTCATCAGCTTCAGTCTTACACTGTAGTGTAGCTCTGTGCTGCAAAGATAAATCACTTTGTCACTGCAGTTGTCACTTAACATTCCAGCACTGTCATGTTACTATAAGCACCACGGTAAATATTGTCCTCCACAGCCCCCAGCTCCACTCCAGGAGGCGTTTTTCTATTCGAAACAAGAAATTGAGTTTATTTACCTTTCCTGTTAGAATTCCTCCCAATACAAACAAATGTGTTGAGAAAGAAACGGACGACTTTTTAATGTTTTCCTCGTGATTTTCTCTCTTCAGGCTGTTCCTTACTCCAGAGAGTTCAAGCAGAAGTACGATTACTTCAGGAAGAAATTGAAGAAACCGGTAAGGAGTGATTTTTACATAACAGCACCAAGAAAAGAGCTAAATTTGGGCCAAACCTCACAGTTTATTCATGCAGAGAAAAGGGGTCCGATTCACTTCAGCTTTGATTAGGTCTGATTGCACCTTAATCAACTTTCTTCTCACTGTTTTTGCACCGCATGACACGAGTTTGATCATTTTGTTGTCTGTTAAATATTCATCGCAATCACTTCATCTTTTTTTTTGTGGCAAACACCTCAGAGGTGTTGAGCTGACACATTTGAGGTGCCTGCTTTTGTCTTTACACTTGATTTCTAAAACTGGATAAAGTTATGATTCAATTTGTTATGTCTCTTTGGTTTGACCAAAACTGAAGGAAAAATACCACCGTTCCTTCTTCTTTCTTGAAGCAGTGTCCCTACAGAATACAATTCTAAAGTAGCGTTTCTCAGGGGCTGTGAGCTGAGCTGCTGGATCACTTTTAGCTCAGTGATAGCTTACATTTCCTTCTGTATTGATTGTTCGCAAGGTTTCTAATGAGAGCTGAATTACCCACAGAAGGCGTCTCTTCTCTAAATCAACCTGAACTGAAGATTAAAACCAAGTGATAAACAGAGTTAAGCAGTTTTATGTTATAAATCTGTGCTGCTTTACTACCCTCAGTGGCATCTCATGGACTGTGTTTTAAACCCCTAGCGTTTGGGTCTGAGTCCTAGTCACTAGAGAAGAGTTTGAGTCAAACCAGAATTGAGTCTCTGTTACCTGACTTCAAGTGAAGTCCAGTCTTCCTTGCCGTTATTGTTTGTTTATCTTTGGACTAATGTGAAATGTTTGTTGACTCCTCCAGGCCGACATCCCAAACCGGTTTGAAATGAAGTTACACAGAAATAACATCTTTGAAGAGTCCTATCGTCGCATCATGTCACTAAAGAGGCCAGATGTCCTGAAGGCGAGGCTGTGGATCGAGTTCGAGTCCGAGAAAGGTCTGGACTACGGGGGTGTGGCCAGAGAGTGGTTCTTCCTCTTGTCCAAGGAGATGTTCAACCCTTACTACGGCCTGTTTGAATACTCTGCGACGTAAGTCGGCTGGTTTCTTACAGGATGTGACAGGGTGAAGTGTTTCCCAAAGCTGTTGTAGAAAAGGAGGTTGTGCTTTATGTTTGCAGCTGTGAAAAAGTCGTTTTCCTCTCAGATTTTTGGTGGGCTTTGTTCAGAGTTATGCGTAAAAGGGCGGGGCCGTCATATTGTTTTCCCATGAGACTTGTAAAAGTTTCCTTCAACTTTGATTAACCTTTCCTCTCATTCAAGAATCCATCCTGAAAACAAACGTTTCCCACATACAGCAGGGATTACGATAATTAAAGCACCGTATGTTTTGTTTCAGCTTTACTGGCACGGCAAGCAATTAACACAGACTCTGGTTTTTCTTTTATTTGTGTTTTTAGGGGAAAAAAATCGAAATGCGAACCTTGCTTTAATGAAAGGTTGTCTGGTTTAATTAAAACTAAAACAAGATGAAACTTCTGATGAAAATAAACCAGACGGAGATTATTTTGATTGAGTTTTGCATCATCTTGAAGCCACACTGATCCTCAGCAGTCAGATTGTGTGTTTGCTCCTGAGTGCAGAGGGACTCATGAAAATTTTACCCTGAACACAACGCCTTTAAAGTCAAACAATATCCCCATTGTGTCAGTGTGAATCATGCAGAGCTTTGTTGCCTTTGTACAACACTAAAAATGATTATTTAAAGAAATCAGTGGAGTTTGCAGCAGAAGCAGCCGAGTCCATGTATCGCTGAGTATCTTCTGATGAAACATTTCAGGCATCAGCTGATATCGTTGTCAAAATTTGTTCTGTTTTAGTTTTTAAATAATGTTTCTCATTATAACTCTATAAGGAAATTTTCACTCATTCATAAATCCTCCTCTACTTTCAGCCAGTCCATTGAGTAACATTCTTTATATTAGCTTGTAGCTGCAGATGCCAAATTACATCCATTTTATCTTTTTGTTGTTTCATGGCTCTGCGAAAAAAATGCAACAAAGGAAAAACCAGCCTGTTGCTCCTGACTGCACCTATGTATTTTTAAAAAAACAGGAAAAGACACTCCTGAATGCCTCCTCTTTAAAGTCTTTGTAATGTCTCTGCAGGGACAACTACACCCTTCAAATCAATCCCAACTCTGGTCTGTGCAACGAGGACCACCTCTCCTATTTCAAGTTCATCGGGCGAGTAGCAGGGATGGCCGTGTTTCATGGAAAACTACTGGATGGTAAGCTCCCTCGTGTTGAGACTATTTTATTTCATAAACAAGGTGTGAAAAAATTTGGGTTGTATGTGTGATCTTTGGTTTGTCAAGAGCCAAATGACTAAAGCAATATTGGGATGGGTGTTTGTATATTTATTTTATTTTATTTTAGCAAGCGAACACGGTGTTACAGTACAGTGATGTTTTCTGCTTCCAGGTTTTTTCATCCGGCCCTTCTACAAAATGATGCTTGGAAAACAGATCTCTCTCAAAGACATGGAGTCTGTGGTAAGACACGATTGCTTCTCAATTCATCATGTAGAAGGATGGTCCTTAAATCTGATACTAGTTTTAATCATCGTAGAGTTCATGACACTCAGTTATAGATTTTAGTGTTTGTGTGCCACCCCGTGACTTTTTATTATCCCTCATCACCACCCCTGTGAATAATTTGATTAGTATTGGACACCAGTAAAGAGACAAGAGGTATCACTTAGTCCATAAGCGATGCCAAATTTAGCACATTTGAATTTATTATGATTCTACATACAAGACTTACCCAAAAATCTGACAATCAAAGTTTCAAGACGACTTGAAGTTCATCTTACCTGGGTTTTATCTTTACAGGACAGTGAATATTACAACTCTCTGAAGTGGATCCTGGAGAATGATCCCACTGAGCTTGACTTGAGGTTTTGCATCGACGAGGACAACTTTGGACAGGTGTGTGAACTTCAGTCACTTTGACTCTGTCAGAGACTAAATTTTTAGAGCGGTAAAGCAGTGAAGTGGAGTATCAAGAGTTCTTTTATCTTATTCTTATCGTTGTGTCTCAGACGTACCAGGTGGACCTGAAACCCAGTGGCTCAGACATGGTGGTTACCAATGACAACAAGAAGGAATACATCGAGTAAGGACATTACCAGCATCATTTTGTTTTATGATTAATAACAGGCTCATCAGTTGATTTAAAATTCTTAAATTTTCCTAAAAACTTGTTTTTTTGTTTTCTTTCACATCTAAACAATCCTCCTCCTGACAGCCTGGTCATCCAGTGGAGGTTTGTCAACCGAGTGCAGAAGCAGATGAACGCCTTCCTGGAGGTATTAATGTGCAATAATATAGTCACCACTTGGTGGCACTGTGACCACACACACTTTGTGTTGACATATTGTGGTCTCCAGTAGAGGAGTCAAAGTCAGCCTTTACATCTAAACTCCTCTGAGTATTTTTTGCTTCCAAAACTGCAGAATTGTATGTATTTTAATGGGATAGCCTGTGGTTATTTATTGGTTAATTTAGAATCATCATTAATGATGACCATATTGACATCAATATATTGCAACACTTGAAGGTTTTTCATTTTAATTTAATTTGTTTGGTTTCATTTCTAGGGCTTCACAGAGCTAATTCTTGTAGATCTGATCAAGATCTTTGATGAAAATGAGCTGGAGGTACGGATTCTTCTTTCCAACATTTGCACCGCTCATTTATAAAACCACATTTGTGTAGATTATACTTCTGTAGAATGAGACTCAACATCAGTTTAATTGCTCTTCTGTTTGTAGCTGCTCATGTGCGGCCTGGGCGACGTCGACGTCAACGACTGGAGACAACACACTGTTTACAAGAACGGCTACTGCCCAAATCATCCTGTCATTCAGTGGTTCTGGAAGGTACGACCGTGATACAAACACTCCAACTGAAACATGCATGCACACACTCAAGGGCTGATTTCTGCAGAGGTGTACTGTGTCAATTATCGGCCGCGCATTGCTACACATCAAACATTGGTCTCAGTCCTCTTTCCATCCATCTATCCATCCGCCCAGCCTGCGACCGGTGTGCTGGCCTCGCTTTTGAAGATCAAAGTCTGTTTGGAAGAACAAGCTTGTTTGCTCTGATGAAAGGGCCTCAAGTGATGCCTGCCCCGGTTATCATGTGTCTTGACGTTGACACACACACACAAAGCTTTGACACACAGTAACAAGTGCAAATACACTTGGATTGCAAATAATGCACACAGGCGGTAGTTTTTGTGTTTTTCTCTGTGTGCCCGCATGTGTGTGTGTGTGTGTGTGTGTGTGTGTGTATACATGCCACTGGCTTAAACAGCTTCTTTTTAATTCCTGCCTTTGCAATTCTATGTTTTTAATATACAGTTTAACAAAATCAAATGCTTTATTTTGTAAATAATGATAACTGAGAAATCTGACGTGTGTCTCATCAGGTCGTCCTGCTGATGGATGCTGAAAAGAGGATCCGACTCCTCCAGTTTGTAACGGGAACATCACGTGTGCCTATGAATGGCTTCGCAGAGCTTTACGGTAAGTCGGCTCACCAGACAGCTTCTACTTTCCTGTGTTTGCACTAGTTTCTTTAACGTCACATAACATCTGTTTAAACTGCTGCCCCCTGGGCGTTACGTAACCGTGACACAAAAATAGTTTTCATAGAAAAGACTGGTCAATAGTTGTGGTTCCAAGAAATTAATTACTATCTGCTTTTACAAACTATACGTGATCAAAGTCTGGTTTAGTTGTTGTTGTTGTTTTCATGACCCAAGTTGGTGATAAAGGAGGTGCAAATGAGGCTTTTTGTTCTTCAATAACTAAACATATTGAATTACACTTAGGCTCTAGTTAACACTCTTTTTCTCCTGCATTTACCAACTCAAATAAATTGATCTTTCGGTTTAATTTCACTTTTTTTATTTTGGCAGGTTCTAATGGACCACAGCTGTTCACAATCGAGCAGTGGGGGACACCAGACAAGTTACCAAGAGCTCACACATGGTATGTCACCACTGACCCACACACACGCACACGCATATGCATGCATGCAGGAATAACAGCAGCTCTGTCGCAGCTTTAACGCTGCCAACATCAGTATGCCAACATGTTCACAGTGACAGCTAACACATTAATGCTAAGCAGGTGTAGCATGTACTATATCACAAGTTTCATTTGTTGGCATGCTAACATTTCCATTAACTTTGCAAGAAATGACAATGAGAGCTGAGGCTGACGGGAAAGCTGTTTTTCAAAAACAAAAGTTAAGTTACAACCAAGCCAAAGTTCAAACTCTGCAGATCACCTGATTTTTCCCTTAGCCTCCACAGCAGGTCAGATTTATGACATTTCATCCTCTGGAGAGCATGATAGCAGAACCAGTGATGATGGTAATTCATCTGAGCAAATGACTGTGGAGACATTTCACTTGAATCTGCAAAAATGAACCTCATGGTACTGCCAGGGGAGCAGTCCAAGCATCACCAAAGTCAGACTTGTGTATATTCAGGGGAACATGGATATCTTTGTATTTTTTATAATAATACATCCAGTATTTGTTGAGATAGCTTGACTGGGGCCAAAAGTGTCCCATAGAACAAAATTGCATTTAGCTGCAAGCACAAGTCCTATGTCAAGTTTCTAGATACCAAGTTCAGTTTTGATCATTTGTAACTTTCTTTCTTCCCAGTTTCAACCGTTTGGATCTCCCCACATACGACTCGTTTGAGGACCTGAGAGAGAAACTCCTCATGGCGGTGGAGAACGCACAGGGCTTTGAGGGAGTGGATTAAAGACGCATCCAACAAACCAATACTAAAAAAAAACACAAAGCTACAGGGATGTCAAACCAGCTGCTGTAGCAGCAGTTCTGTGCAAGCATGTTGTACTGTAATGCCTGACTGTAAGCCACCTCCACAGCACGGTGGCTTAAGACTGTACAGCGATTTGTCGAGCCAACTTGCCTACGTCTCTTTATCTTTTCAGCATGGGTAGCTCGCTCCTTAAAAGGTGCTGGGGAAAAAAAAGAGAGAGCAGCCACCGTTGAATGCTGAAATCTATTATTCACAGGCATGAGCGACAAATGATGAGAGCTGGCCCCGACCTGAACCGCCATTTCTTTCCCCTCTCCCCCTTGTCCTGTGAAAATCTACAGTGCTGGAAAACACTAATGCATTTCAATAGCTCCTTTACGTACACTATAGCACAGTATTCTGCACCCTTCACCGGGAGGGTCTTAGCATGGCCTTAATCTGGCTCCTACATGCACTATTTCTCTAAGAAACTGCAATGGCACTATGATCACTACTCTCTCAAATCCTTAGACCAACACCAGATTACCTTAGGAATGCTAGCCAATCACATTTCAGGAAATCGGCCACACCCCTCCGTAGAGCCTGTTGTGTGATCAGATAAACCGCCACTGCAGCCTTTTTGTAGAGTAATGATTTTGTTATTTTAGCCACTGGTAAATAATTCAAGAATGGGGGATGGACTAATCCCCAAAGATGATTTTTACTGTTTTGTCATCATGGAAAAGATTTTTTGTTTTTTTGTTGTTGTTTTTTAATCATTGGTATAATTCTTGCAGGAAAATACTTTAAAACGTATTTGTACTGATGAACAATGTTGTTTACTATTTTGACAATTCTATATGACATGGTGTGTGAAGTGTAAATCTGGCTAGTCTGGGAAATAATTAATCCATATCATTTGTTATGGTGATAGCAAATGTGTTGAATAAAATGGTTTTTATTGTAGTGCTATGAAAGCAGCATGAAACTGTATCTTGTGTTTGCTTTGACTACAAACTGTAGTAGTAATTTGAACGTGTAATCTGTCTCGGGGGTCGAGAAGGGACAACTAAAACCGGGTTTCTCTGAGATGTTTGCGTCATGATTATATTAATATTCTCATGCCTGTTGCTGTTCATAATGCTGTAAATTGTTCATGAAAAAAAAATTAAGTTCTTTCATGATATATAAATATATGTATGAACTACATTTAACAGAAGTATTACTGATCAATGACACTAAAAATGAAGCTGTGTGTGTGAGCGGGTGTTTGAGAGAAAAGCTGTGATTGCCACTGAATATAAAGCAGCACGTTTCTTACAGAGAAAAAAACTTTTCTTTTTTATGTTTTTGTTTCTCTCTCCTTTTTCTAACACCATTGAACCTAAAGGGCACTTTATAGATCACTCTGAGGTCATGTCACCTATTGTATGTCTTTTGTCATTAACTTGAATGTGATCCTTTCTTTTTTCCACTTGGAGCACTTACCTGGTGCAATATAAATAGTCTGTAAATCTGGGTTGCTGCTAAAGTAGAAAAAGTTGACAGAAGTGAAGCATGGACTTCACATCCTTTAGTATTCTTTATTTTTCCTCTGTTTTCTGTATCCCCCCTCCTCCCCCTTCCATTTTCTCCCTCCTGTGATTATCTCCTTTCTAATTGATTCAGTAAAGATTAGTCCTTTTTTAAGAAGATTTGTTATTTTAATGAATGACAGAAAAGTATCTCTTTTGTTAAAGTTCCCACCACTCTTCTGCAACTCTTTGTGGTTCAGTTAACTTCAGTCAAATAAAAATGAAACTTCTCACTTTGTTGTTTTGAGTTTATGTGACTGGGTTTAAATTTTCTCCAAGAAATCAAGTGACGCATTAACTTTACCGCGTATATATTCTAGATACCATCCATACATTTTGACCCAAAGTTATTTTAAACTGGCTATCCTTAAATTTATTCAACGTAGTCTATTTTTTATAATTAACTTGAATGTCATGTTTAACACACCCCTCAACTTTTACCTTTAAGTCCAGTAAACCTCTTGTAACTAAAGGTGAAAGGCTGAAAGAAAGGCCCCCAAGAGCACCTGGATGTACAACTCTTCCTGTCTCCTATTAAAATGTTGTAATTTCCTTTGTGCACGTGGTGTGGTGAAGGGACCTCAGTTCATTCACACAATTGCAATCTAGGAGTTATCAGCTCCAAGGACAAGCAAATAAAAGCCACCCTGCCAGTACAGGGACATTTTATCAAGCCCTTCTACCCTCAATCTGGTCACAAACAAGGTCAGAGCCAACTCATCTTCAGATTCCCCTTTTAAAATATTTCATAAAAAATTGTCACTCTGTGTAAATGAAATCAAATAATTTTTGTCTTTTTATTTTTAAGACAAGATATGCGTCCCACCCTGACCTTTGTTTGTATGTTACATCACAGCAATGACCTTATGGGAAGTATAGGCAAAAACTGAAAATTACAGTACATGGCAGTTTGTTTTCTCACCTCTATATTGCCTCTTCGCAAAGTCTTCATTTAAAAAAGAAACTCACTATTACTCCAGCAGAGTTGCACAATAGTTGGGCCAGTTTTCATCATTTTAGCTGATGATGCACCCATAGACCTTTCCAATCAAACTGTCTGACCTCTGTTGACCCACACCTGTCTTGTTTTCCATGTGCTCAATAAACAATCTGGTGAATCTTTTATTCCAACATTTTTAGAGGTACCATTGGCCATAAATTGTAACTGTAGGTGGAGTCATTTTTCTTACAGTTTCTATGTCTTTTGATTTAACAGCCGTCTTTAAAAGTTTATTGTAAGCAATCAATATTATCTTTGGTTCTGCCAAGCTTCATCTACAGGTAAGTTGACTGCAAGCCCAGTTTGCCATTTTTGTAGAACTTCAACCTAACTTCTTGAACCTCCCTGATTTAACTATTTAAGCTCAATAATAACCCGAAACTTAGCCAGGTGTTTGTGAAGTTAATCATTACTACCTGATTATTTCAACCTACTTTTGGCTAGCTGCTTCTAACCATTAATCACTGACTTCTTGCTGACTGTTTCAACAACATATTTACTCATGAGTTCTAACAGTATCATTAACGGCTCGTCCATTTAGCTTCTCCTCGCTTATTGAAAACCATCTCTCAGTTACTATAAGTTTATCATCTTAAGTGTTAATCAATGAGTTTAGGGTTCTGTCCATTTATAACAACTACAACTGTAAATATAAACGACATCTACTAACAACTTGGTTTCATTTGGCTACTTTTGTTACAGCCTCTCATTCATTTTGAGCCTACAATTTCAACTGTTAATACTACAACTGATAACATAATAAACATTTACAAACGTTTTTCTTTTAGCTATTATTGTTACAGTCTACATCACAATTTAAGCTAACAATTTCAACTGTTAATACCTAAATTGTTAATATAAACAACATTTACTAATCTTTATTTCTTTAAGCTATTATTGTTACAGTCATTTTAAGCTAACAATTTCAACTGTTAATACTTAAACTGTAAATATTACCTTCCACATTTACTAACATCTTTATTTCTTTTAGCTGTTATTGGTACAGTCTCTTCTTCATTTTAAGCTAACAACACCTTCCACTTTTAGCTAGTATTGATTCAGTCTGTTCTTTATTTTGAGCCTGCAATTTTAAATGTTGATACTTAAACTGTAAATACAAACATTTACTAACGTCTTCATTCTTATAGCTGTTATTGTTACAGTCTCTATTTCATTCTAAGCCAACAATTTCAAATGTTAATACTACAACTGTTAACAAAATAAACATTTACAAACGTCTTTGTTTCTTTTAGCTATTATTGTTTCGGTCTACATCGCAATTTAAGCTAACAATTTCAACTGTTAATACTTAAACTGTAAATATTACCTTCCACATTTACTAACGTCTTTATTTCTTTTAGCTGTTATTGGTACAGCCTCTTCTTCATTTTAAGCTAACAACACCTTCCACTTTTAGCTAGTATTGATTCAGTCTGTTCTTTATTTTGAGCCTACAATTTTAAATGTTGATACTTAAACTGTAAATACAAACATTTACTAACGTCTTCATACTTATAGCTGTTATTGTTACAGTCTCTATTTCATTTTAAGCTAACAATATCTACTGTTGATATTAAAACTGTAGATACAAACAACATCTACTAACGTCTTTATTTCTCTTAGGTATTGTTTTTACAGTCTCTCCGCCATTCTAAGCCAACAATTTCAAATGTTAATACAACAACTGTAAATATATAAACAATATTTACTAACGTCTTTGTTTCTTTAAGCTGTTATTGTTACAGTCTACATCGCAATTTAAGCTAACAATTTCAACTGTTAATACTTTAACAGTTTGCATATACTATTAATTTATGTCTTTCCTTCTCTCAGCTAATTTTTGTTACAGTGTACCCATCATTTTTAGCTATTGAGCATTTTAAACTAACAGTTGTACCTGTTATTAATCAATCAAGCAAGCAAGCAGTCTTTATTTATATAGCATTTGTCATACACGACCATGTAGCAGAAGGTGCTCAACACAGAAAAAGGAATAAAAGAAACAAAGAATACCCAAATCTACCCAAACCCAGGAATAAAAAAAAACAAGATGGCAAAATCCACCCCAACCCAACCCATTATTCCCACCCCACAATCTAAATGCTACAGAAACAGTATTAAAATGCATTAACTTAAAAAGGGCTTGATTTCATGGAAACAGGAATGTCGATACCTGTTAACACTATGTTGATCTTTTATATTTTTTAACTAATTATTGGAATAGACTTTAATTTGTTTTAGCTGCTTCAACTTTTTGACCTACTTTCAATATTTTGAACAACCTGCCTGCATGTTCCTTACTTTAAATTACTACATAGTCTGATATAATATTTGCCAGCTTTATACATCCATTTCTCCATAACTGTTTTAATTGTCTTCACTTTAGCCACTTCAACTTACTGTGAAATACTTTGGACAAGCAGGGCTATTTCAGTGGTAAAATATATGTGGTTTTTCTGTTACTATAGCAGTCTGTCTCAGTTGGAACATGCAGTGTTTGCTGTCGTAAAATGTGTACACTCTTTGGCATCCAGGAGGAAACCAGAAACCGTGTCAGAGATGCACATATCAGTACTCCAGTTTAAGGAGGGCTATTTCATGTCCTGAGTTTTATTATGAAACTGATCCATTGGTATTGGTATAAAGTGGCCTATCATATGGTTAGCCTGCTGGTTGAGAATGTTGCCTCCTAAGTCCAAATGACTTCATATGGAAAGATTTTTGTTCATGGTTCTTCAAGGACCCAAGCAGCTCAGGGTGACTTTCAGTGAAACTTTGGTACTTAGGCCCTGTTGCCTCACCAGGCCAGTTTTTTGAGTCCCCCTTCCTCCACCCTTCACCCTCTACCTCTGGTCAGGGTCGATCAATACTTCCCCTGTAGCTTATCACTAATGTGGAACTGGCTGTTTGTCCAAACCCTGCTCTGTCTACATAAAGACTTGGACAGGACAGCATCAAACCAAAATGCACCACATATCACCTCGTGAACGTGCAACTCTGGACCCACTACCGGACTTTTACCTTTTCCAAAGAGATTTGGAGACGTGTTGGTTTGAGAGGGAAGGAGAAGCGAAAAGAGAGCAGCTGTGATGATCAGGACTAACCGCAGAGTACCAATGGGTGTATCTGAAAGAAGGATCCGCGTTAGAAACTCAAGGTGAGTTTGTTTTTAAACTGAAATAAGTTTGTCTCTTTATGTCATGGTGATATATGTTAAGTTGTGATTCATTAGCTGTGATAGAATTATGAATTGGTGGCATTTTCGGCTCAGAAATGTTAAGAATAATGGCAAGTAAAATAAAGAATTATCTACATGCCAAGCTAGTGTGATAAAGGAGTATGAATCGCTTTTTTTTAATCTATATTTTTAAAAAGATAATGAAAAATTTTACTAATGAAAGAGAAATGGATCAAACAGGTGGCCCTTCACCTTCTTGCTTGCTCACACTCAAATGCACACAGCTGCAGCCATCCCACAATGATTAGAAAAGACTTAGTGAACTTTGGACACTTTTGATAAGCCTCGCAAATTTAGTCACCTTTGTTTTTTTACGTATTTGTTTGACGTATTTTACTGTTTTATCGCAGAATATTGACAAAATCTAAGCGCTGTATTAACAATCAATGATTTCATCTTCTTTTTCGCTAATCTGTGACTTTCCTTATTCACCAGGTCATCCTTCCACCATGTCATCCATCCATCCTTCTGTTGACTCTTTTTTCCACAGTAAATCCTCCAGAGCTGTGGAGTGTGACAATGGTGTTTGTGTCCTGTCTATCAAACGCCATTATCACACTAAATAGCTACAGTGCGAACACAACTTCGGGTTGTTTGTCAGGTTGACTTTTTTCATCTTTTGTTTTTCTCCCAGGTCTTTGTTATTTTTCCTTTTTTTGATGTCCTTACTCTTACTAGTCTGCTTACAATCTTGTTCCTATAGCTCTGGACACATTACACCACGCGGGAGGAGCAGAGATGAAAATAGGCATGTGTGTGTTCATACACGATGAGTGTGACCCACTTACCTTCACTTGTTAGGTGTTAATTTGCTGCTGAAGACTTTCTCCCAGATTGGCATAGTTGGACTACATGTTGTCACGACTCTTTCAGCATGTAAACAGGTCATCTATTTTAAATGCTTATGCTCTTTTTGAAGATAACAAATTGTATTAATACATGCAATAAACAGAATAAACAGTGTTTGTTTTTGTTTTTGGGGGTTTTTTTTTTGTTGTTGTTGCAGGAGTTAAAATTTTGGCACATTTTGCAGCAATGATATAATCATACTTGAAGACTGACTTTCAGACTTATCTGTATAAATATGAGAAGACATTATACATTCACATGGATATAGAGAGTGGAGCGATTTTAACCAGTATCTCTTTAATAACAAAGATCTACTGTTTGCTTACACACACTGGCCAAAGCCGCAACCTTAGAGCCATGTCAGCAATTTGGGTCAGGGATTTCAAAGTCAGCAGTGAGAGCAGGACAGAGGCTTATTATATAGAGACAGTTTGAGATTGTGGTTGAATAGCTGGCATACTTTAGAGATCAAATGGGCTTGAGTTGGCTTTGGCAGTAAACTTGGCTTCCCATATAGATCCATAAAGCGATGCCAAGGTCTCAAAATCAATCCAAAAAACAGAAATACTGCAGAGGATACAACCAATTTTTGGCAAATACACCCAAAGGCACGTTTAATATCAGCATCTGTGCAGAAAGTGTGTTATATCAAATGAACTTTTTTATTTTTTTAGTAGCCGGCCAACTTAAAAATTTTTCAACATTAAAATGAATAAAAGTTTGCCAAATTTCTCCGTTCCATCGCAAACCAAACGCACAAAAATACCCGCTCATACTATGTCACATTACTCAAAGCAGTTAATGTCCTTTACTTGGAAGACATTTTCTCTAATTAATCAATTAAAAAGTTCATTAATTTAATGAACTAACAGCTAGAAAACATCACCGACGTAGAAAAGACCACAAACAACATCATTGCATCACTTCAATAAAGCAACCGCTAAGACATCAAAGTTCGACTTTGTCTGCAAACACATCATTCTCTCAATCATTTTCAAGTGTTCAAGCATATTAGATTTGTCACAGTTTTCCCAGAAGTTATGAAATAAAGTGTCCCCGTAGAACATGATGCCCTTTCACTGATAAAACATCTCTGGTGATATCACCGTTGAAATAAAGTAAATTTATCAAATGTTCAACATGAGATAAAGAAAACCTTCTTATGAAATAGGAGTCATGTGTTGCGTAACAGGTTGAATCGTCCCCCTCCTCCGTGATTCAAAATTTGAATACTTTGTTTTTCCTCTTGAACAGGTGAAACTCCAGAAGGTCCAGAAGTAAAAAAAAGAAAATCAAAAAACTTCACCATGTTAACAAAAAACAAACTCCATAGTCCAGTGCTCTCATCGTATTATGACTTGCCCTTCACTGTGGGCCCAAAAGTTTTCTTCTTGGGTGCAGCAGCAGGATGCTGTTTAGGTTTGGGTGCAGGTTTTTTAGGTTTGGGCTGCAGGGATTTGAGCCCCAGTATCTCACAGTACTTGTTGCACTGGTGCAAGGCTTTGAACTGGTCAATGAAGGAGGTGGCACAGTTTCCTTTGAAGCCTTTGTACCTTAAAAAAGAATAGATTGTTGATGCATCTGTGTCGACGTAGAAAGATTTTTATCACTGATCAGTTGAACAGATGACTTACCCTTTCTTACACGTGGCTATTCCCACATCTGTAAGCTTCATTCCCACACCTAAAAAAAAAAGAAACAGCTAAAATTTAGTCCTGTGAATTATAATTTAGAATCCATGTAAATAATGTGATCATTTGCATACACTCAAAGTTTCTCATTTTCCAACCTTGCATGTCTGTAACCAGCAGGTTCCCCTCAGTGTTATGGTAGACCCAGTGCTGGAAAGCACAACATTTCTGTCCTGCCTCTGAATCACGTCTCATCAGGTTGATCTCTTTGCCGTCCTTCACTGAATACTTGACAAAGTCACCGATCAGCTCCTCTTCCAGCGTTGCGTACGGGATGTCGTTAGATGGACGGTGAACCAGGTAGATGGGAATGATCCTGGTAAAAGCAGAAAGAACTTTTTAAATAATTTAAAACACTGAAGAAAGATGAATGTTGTATGGTGTTGAGCTTGTAGCTCTCAATACTGTGTGTGTAACTCACACTGGGACTTCACCGAAGGCTTCAAAGGACTGGGCTGCGGTGGTGTACGCCTTGATGTACTCTCTTGCTGTGTTCTGGACCTGGCACTCCTACAGAAAGCCAATAATACACTTACTTTACCACACAGTAACATTAATGTCAAAGGCTGTAGGTGCACACTTCTTACAGCCTCCATGAAACTCAAATCAGAACTGCTGGGTTGGCCAATCAAAAGATGACCCACAATTTTTACTATAATATGTGTTCTGAGGTGCTTATCTCTGATACACAGCAACGCTTTTATCTGTTTGAAATCAAATCAAAAAGATGATTTTTACAGTAACATCAAGGAAAAGTAAATTCAATTAAATCCTACATATAAAAAATTACGACGAGTAATGTTGTTGAGAAAATTCAGTGTTTTATCACTATTTGGGAATTTGATGGCAGATTCATCCAGCTGCCGTTATTCTATGCCACAGACCTTTTGAGCCATGTATATCAGAATATGTATGTTATCACTGTGATAAACCTGCAAAATAGTTTAAATTATTTCATCAACGAAATCTTGTGGCAGAAAGTTTCCAGAGATATTTAATATGTGGTGTCTAATACATATGTGGGGCTCATCATCACAAGCCCTCAAGCACCCTATTTACGGTGATCCTGACCTCAAAGGTCCCACAGAGCATTTTGTGGTCTGAAGGATGTCTAATAGACATTTAAATGTAGCCTAAACGACTGGTCTAAAATCAGGCTACCACATCTAAATTTAGACCAAGTTTAGACCAAGTCCAAATCTGGACTATATCTATACCACACTGTATATTGCTCAACGGCTATCATAATTATTTTGGTCAAGTACTTGGAGATCAGTTATGTAGCTCACAGTTGCTTTTTGAAATAAATAGTTATCGAACAATGGGTTAAAGTGCAACTTCTAAATTCCGTCTAAAAATACACAAACTCTAGATGGTTAAAATTAGGTCTATAAAAAAAAACTAAACGTCTAATAGCCATCTATTGCTCAGTGGGGTTTCATGCATGTAATCATAAAGACAATGATGGGCCAATAGAGTGAACATTCTTTAAGCCTTGTGTTTTTCCTCTTACCTCGACAGCCAAGCTGAAGTTCTTCTGAACCAGCTCTTCGTTGTTCTTGGTCCCGTAGCTGATAGAATTATGCACTTTGAGCACACAGGGGTGTCCAGGAAGTAAAAGGGGTATCTGACCCGCCTGCAACTTAGTCCGGAAAGCCCGTCGGTGCATCCCCTCCCCAAAGTGGATCTTTTCTGTGATGATACTGGCAGGTTGATTCTCCCCAAAGTATTGGTCGGATAAGAAGTCCTCTTTGAAGAGAAGCCTGGAGCATTTGACATCCTCTTCTTCACTTCCCACCTCTGCAGGAGCAGCTGGGAAAAATAAAAGCCGGCACATTGTCACACCCAAGATCAATGTCAAATTATAAAACAAAAGCTCAGCTGTGTCTTAAAGCTTGTCAGCATGAGCATAACTTACATGTGATGGTCTTAGGAGCCAGAGGGATGACAATCTCACTGAGCACTAGAATAGTCCAAAGAAGAAACACTTTGAATATTCATGTTCTTCATCTACAGTATTTTAAAGATTGTGTAGCTGAGCCATGTTCTATACCTTCATATGTTAGCAGGTAGTCCAGAGTGACAGATCCATGTGGACTAGTGAGCTGACACTGGTACTTGCCCAAGTCTTTGTGGGAGGCGTTGGAGACGGTCAGGGACACTCTGCTCTCATCCCCTGCACTTCAGGGAGACACACATGCAGCAAAACAAAGCAATGTTACCCTTCAGGACTGGATCTAAATCATGCATCACAGGATCATATAATGCTATGTCTTTCTTGTCTGATGGCTTGACTGATCCATGTTTGCGAATTGGTGTAGTGTCGGCAGGCTTGTATTTTCAACAAAACCTCCTACCTTCTCTTGATTTCAGACAGGACGGTGCCATCTCTGCTCCAGGTGACAGTGTGGTTGGAGAAGACCGCTGAAAACTGACACCACAGGCACAAACTTTGGGGATCGCCGCTCACGGACACTGCCTGGATAGTCTTCACCACTGTTATTTCTGCAGATATTATAGTGGTTTTATCAGGAGATGAATGATGGGTTTCTTTGTATTAACATACAGAAGAATAGCAGATTTATGGTTTACCTTCCGTAGGTGTGGTTTTCTGTTTGACCACCTCATTGTACGCCTTCTTGCGAGCTTCCCCTGTTTCTACCTTGGCTTCCTCCCCTTTTGCCTTCAAAGGAACCTCTTGTTTTGGTAATTTAGACTCTAAAACACTTAAAATCTTCCCAAACTTATCTCCTGACAGGCGTCGCTTTTTTATAATATCATCATTCGAAGGACTCAGGGAAGTTTTAGATTGATGGTCTTTGTGCTCTGTTTGGCGTGGGGCTGGTTCATCCTGGGAAGCCTTAGCCGCTGTTTGCTGGGAAACTTTCTCCACGCCAGTTGACTTTTTGCTGTCCTTTTGAGCTTTCCCAACTTTAGCGTCCAGCTTAGCCTCAAACAGATCAATCTTTCCTTTTGCACTCTTTGGTTTTGCTCCATTCTCCACTTCGACCAGTGGTTCCCCCACGCTCTTCACTCCTGTTGCACTCTGAGTGTGTTTCTTCTTCTTTTTTCCATGTGGCTTGCTCAGAGCTTTCTCATTTGCAATACAAGTCTCAATCACTAATTTAGCCTCTTTGTCATCTTTGTCATCGAGCACAGCTGGAGTGTTCTCACTGGTATGATTTTCTCCAGCAAGTGGAGCAGCGTCCTGCTGTTTGCAGATTTGCTGAGCTGAAATGTGGTGAGATGAAACAGAGTCTGGTTTCTTTGAGGCTTGTGCACCATGATGATGACCAGATGATTTGTCCTTTTTGGAGCGTGTTTTGTGAGGCATCTTTTCAGCTGTTTTCTGATTTACCTCTGTGGGTTTTACAACCCTGGGGGCAAACGGATCATTTAAATCTAAAGTGATGTATGCAACACGGCTCTCCTCTGAGATAACAAAATTACCTGCAGGGATGGCGACCAAGTTTGAAAATTCCTCACTGAGGTAACTGATATCGTAATTTATTGTTTTTCTTGCAGTGAGGACACACTCGGTATTAGAGCCCAGTTGGTCCTCTGAGGAAGGCTTGTCAGAAGACTCTACTGTATTTTCCTTTTCAACAACCAAATCCTCATCGCCCTTGAGAGATTGCTCATCGGTAATCCCATCCAAGGTTGGCCAGAGATCACAAGGTTGTATGCGACTACAACTGAGGTCTCTATTGTCATTTAGATCCTTTTTAACACAAGTTTGATCTTTGTCCAAATTGGTGCTTGTTCGACAGACCAAGGAGGAGCCAATGCTGAGAGGAGCCAAGGGCATAATAAACTTCGGACTCCCCCCAAGTGGCTCCAACTGACATGCTCCGTCAAAGTCGGGTGAAGTGTCAGATGACTCGTGTGCAGGGTCTTTAATTTGCACGCCAGGTTTTATGTCCTCACCTGGCACGTGCCAGCTCGTCTGAGTGTGTGTGGTGAGGGAACCAAGATCTGTTGGACATTCGGTTCCTTCGCGATCAACCTCAGCTGGCCCAAAGCTCCTTTCAGCTTCCTGCTCCTCAGTCGAAGTTGGCTGGGAGATACGGGGTTCATCTGTCACTTCACACAATTCACCTCCAAGGGGCTGCTGGTGAAAATTGACAAATATTTAGAAAACAATAAGTTTGAAGAAATTGAACAATTCTGATGCTTGTGGTGTCCTGCACTAGAAAGAAATATTTTTGATCTGATTTACACAGGTCCTCATAGTCAAAGCAGATTCTGGAGATATTACGCAACAAGAAAATGCTTTCCAAATCTTAAAAACATACCTTTCTATAGAGCCACAAAGCAGAACTTTCCAAAACACCATGCTTCTATATCCAACCCTACTGTCCATATGTCCTTCATGCAACTGAAAGCAACACTGTCACGGTTATGGACAAGTGCTCCAGCTATGCCCTGTGTACCTAAGCCAATCACAATCAGTCTCTAAGGCCTGAAGACCTGTTGCCGTTCTGATCCTGGGTTTTTAAAGGAGACCTGGTGGGAATGGGTCTGTTAAAGGGCGTATAGAAAAAGAGAGAGAGAGCGCAAGGGAGGGTCAAGTTTCAGTCCTCAGCTGTGCTCTCCTCTCACCCCTCCACCCTGACACGCCACGGATGCATGCTATTATCATTGAACTCTTAGCTATTATTAGATGCCATTTCTGTCCATCTGAAGTTTTCCCCTCAGGCACTCCCGCTTCCTTCAGCACACACAGCTGTCGGTCTTTGAGATGGACGCCAAAGGACTTATCCAATAATATTACAGAATCTCACATAGGTGACAGTTCTGGGGTGCAAAATGAATGGCTTCTATCCAAAGCAAGGTGACAATACTTGTGGGTCTGACATGTGGTGACCAATGTGGATTTCATTCTCAGGAGTACTGTACATACCTCCTGACTCGCTATCATTGCTTGAAAGTAAGAATGACAACACTGACAAGGGCAAGAGTGGGAATGTTTCCTCATGTTCTGGCTGTGTTTCCAAAGTGCGTGACGGGTTTATCTCTTGGCAAGCACGATTGATGTGAAGGTGATCGTTGTTATTCTTTCTACAGTAAAGGGCGAATCTTTCCAACCACTGCTACCCTTCACTTCAAAGAACAGGATTTGTGTTTGAGATCATGGGCTCAACTATGTATTTACCTGTATGTACGGGATGGTGTGTCACACTTTCCACAAAAGCCAAGGAACAAACCTGACCAACACGGGTCAGAATCCCCCAGTATACTAGTACTACAAAATAAGGACTAATAAAAACAGATATAAAACAAGCGATCTTACCTTGTCCTCTATGAGCCCTGCAGGTGCATTTTGTCCCTCCAGATCTGTATCCTCGATTATACTCAGAATGATTGGATCCACTTCATAGCTGATTAAACTGTCTGTCTCTGACTCCCCAAATCCACCAAGGTGACAAAAATCCAGATAAGCAGAAGTGGCCGATCCAGGAGTCACGCTTGTGTCGTATCCTCCAGAAGAGGCCATCATCACTATAGATGACTCCTGCCTTGATGGACATGGGGCGCTCTCAGCCTGGCTGCTCTGGATCTCCTCTGGCGCTTTTGATACTTGTGTGTCTTGTACTGAATCACACAAGGATTCAACACTCTGAGAGGCATCTCTGTCTCGGGGCTCTACTACGGAAGATTCAAGGCTGAAAAAGAGACAGCCCTGCCCAGAGAGCATAACTCCCTCTGGGATGTTCTGTGCCTCAAAGGGATGATCCTGGACACCCATGGGTAGCTGTGAATGTGTCTGTACTGCTGCTCCTTCTTGACCCTTACCCCCTTTAGACTCTGAGTCTATTTGAGCGTGTGTGTCTACTAGTGCCTGTGTCAAAGCATCTATCTCAGCCCCTATCTCTGTGAATGCAGCTGTAAAGTCCTCTGGTGGAGCTGCAATAATCTCCGTCCAGTCTGAGAGTGCACTTGCCCAGCTGTCCACAGAAGACCACCTCTCAACCGGTGGCCCCCAACCTTTGGTGTCATCACTAGACCAGCCAATCATCTCACTTCCATCTGAGTAGTAACCTGATACTTGAGTCTCTCCTGGGGAGGAAAACCAGTCACTAGTACCCGTGAGTACATCTTGCATCACAGAATGACTTGTCTTATTCGAGCCATCCCTATTTTCTGTATCCTCACTTGTTAGATACTGGCATGCGTCCAGCCACAGCTCAACGGGGCTGTCGCCTTGATTTGGTCGGGGGGTTAAATCAGTGACCCCTGCCTCTCCTCGTCCTGCATCATTTCCTGACATAAAGCCTGCCTCACAGGCATCCTCAGCAGGTGATGCTAAGTGATCCACGTGTGACTCATGTACCCCTATAGCTTGTTCCTCATTTGACCTGTGATGACACTGCCTCACTAGGTTTTCTGAATCATTCATCAGGACATGCGGACCACAGTTAGGGTCTGCGCTTGCCCTCTCTGTTTCTGATAACGGTTGGTATTCAGGACATCTAATCTCCTGGGGATCTACTTTTGGGCTTAGTATAAAGTCCTGTGTGTCATTTTCAAAGATATAAAGCTCTGACACTGGTGCTATGGCTCCATTACTCTCTAAACTATCCGAACCATGTGATAAAGACCTAGATAGACAAGTGATTTGACTGCATTTAAGGCTGAGGTCCGGATTGGAAAGAGGCTCAGCAACAGATGGCTTCATCAAGCCTTCAGAAGAGGATAACACGACCTCAGAAGACTGGTCTGAAATACCTTTTTGTACAATACAAACTTCACAGGTCGTTTCTTGTCCTTTGTCTAAAAAAGATTCAGATAGGTGTGAAATTGCTTCACAGGAGAATTGAGGTAAAAAAGGTAATCCATGTTTTGAAGAGCCAAAATGGCTACAACCCTTGGAATCCTCCTCCTCTGGCACAGGCTCTGAGCAAAGCGGAAAACAGTCCAAGTCGGATCTTAAGTCTGAGTGCTTGCTTTTTTCCTGAGGGAGGCTTTTGGAAATGATTGACAAAGACTCGAATGATCCTTCAGTGAGGTATGAGAGGTCTGACACAGTCTCGTATGCGGATAGTTTGCTCTCTGTGGGAGCGGGAGTTTGCAGAAGAGGGAAAGAGCTTAAATCTGTAGTTTGACTTTCAGCAGGAGGGACTGCTGACTCTGTGCAAAAGGGTGGTAGATCCATTGGGACTTCTGATTGTGCAATTTAAGGGAGAATACAGAGGTAAGGCTCCAGCTGTGAAACACCAACAACAGGCACAACTTTTGGATGAAAATTCAACTTCTCTGCACACATTGCTTTTGCCTCGCTTTTCTTGTTTCATTTACTCTCCTGGGTCTGAGCATTTTCTTGCATTCATAGATCCTGCACCTGCAAAGCAAAAAAAAAAAAAAATGACATTAACAGAAAAGGAAATCTTTATTTGCTTTTGCACAGACAAAAAAATAAATCTGGCAGTCCAGGAATTTCTGGTCTTTGTCCCTTGTGCATGTGTAACCATCTCAAGTATTTGAAGTGAGGCCTCCTATCTCCCTTTAGCTGTTTATATAGGCAGCAGGAAATGCCCCTTTAAATGCCTCTATTTTAGAAGCTTTTAAGAGACACTTGACACACTTTATCAGCAGGAAACCTTCCTGTTGTTCCTACTTTGAAGCTGCTTAAATGCCTCTTTAGTTGTTGCCCCTTGCAGACTAAATCCTTCTGTTTTTGTTCTCCTGCACAGTAAGAGTTTGCATTGTCTGTATGTTGAGAAATGCAAAGGGGGGTAGGTCTTTTAGCAGACATCAGCCAGGCCACCAAGAGTGCTACTGAGTGAGACAAGGTAAATTTGGAAGGAACATTGTTTCACAGGAGATGGTTAGCACAAACTTTTGGCCTGACATGGCACTACAGTCTGTGAGTCAGCGTGAAGGTTTGGCAGTAGAAGCTGAGAATGGAAAAATAAACGTTCGTCCAGCTGGAGCGGGATTAGAGAGCTCATAGCATGATGAGTTATCTAATTACTGGGAGAACTGGACATGCATGGGCAAAGTGTGCGAAAGGCCAATCTCAGATGAAACGGTCAGTGGATTTGGATGTGGCGATATGAATCCGGTTGGGAGCCAAGACAAATATTAAGGGAAATCCATTTATCTCCTTTCTCTTCTCTCTTACTTCTTGGCAATGACAGTAGGGGGAGGTAGAGCATCCACCCTTGCCCTGCCTTCCCTGTCCTCTTTCTCCGATCTGTTTTGGAGTACTTTCACATTCTCCCTCTTCCTCTTTTCCCGAGGTAGAGCATGAAGCCTCCAACCTAAACAGGCTTCTCCCCCCTTGTCCACCTTTTTTACACCTTTAACCACCTCTCTACACACTCCTCTTCCTGTCTTCCTCGAGGAGCTAGTGTGGAGGTGAATGGTTTGGGGACACCAAAGCCGACTGTTAAGCCTTTCTGAGGTGTTGTGAGTATAACTTGGCAAACATTAATAAAAGGAGGTGGTCACTTTATAAGCCCAGTGATGTGTTGGCTCTGCCGGTCTATTCCCATCTATCCTCAGAGGCCATGTTTGAGGTTATGTAATCTATCAGTAGAGAGTTAGTGTTTGGGTGAGGGTGTAATAGGGTAAGTTTCCTCACCTTGCACTTGTGTTTTTTATTAAAGGGCCCTGTTTTTATTTCAAAATATAAACTCTAATGGCATTGGGTTTCGACTAAGAATTAAGAATCACACTATCTTGCCTGATAACTTATTGTTCTTTTCCAGGAAAAATGATCTCTAGTACTAATTCAGAAGAAAACTCAGGGTTGTTTTAGATCATGTATTTGTACACTGTTTTTTTCTGACCTGTTTTGTTCTCTTACTTGCTTGACATCATTATAAATGAGAGCCAGCCCTCAATGATTCCCTATTTTAGACAGGGGTAATCTTATTAACCTCCGATGACCCTGCATCATCACATAGGGACATTACATTTTGCAAACACTGGCAGCAGTCTCTGCTACATTACCCTACCCTTAATCTTAAGGTTAAAGCAGCTGAGGTATAAAACCTTATCAATGATAGAAGCGATTTTTTCAAATGAGCAGTCCTCTTAAAGGAGCCAATTCAAGTATCACCATTTAAGGATGTCAATTAAAAATATATAAACTAGTTAAACTAAAAAATGTAAACAAAAACCTCCAGTTTCAGAGGTTTGTTTAAAGGCTTTCCATGATATTTAAACCACAAACATATAGTGTCTTACATTGTAAAACTGCAGAGAACCGCTTTAAAGTAATGGTCATATCACTGTTAATATACCCGATTAGTTAACCTAAGGATGTCTCCTGTTACTTTTCTAATACAAAAAAAAAAGTCTGACAGGGGCCTCAGGTGACAGTAATAGTTTTACCGTGCCTCCATATGACCCTGCTTTTGAAAAGTTTCCCACTACCTGCCAAATGTTCCCAGACCTGACATGAAGTGTTGAAAAGGGGCGCTTCAGAGCATGCATCCTGATACACAAGAAGATTGCAGGAGGGAAACTGATGGCACAGATGCTGGAAAAATACCAGTGCATCTTCACCCATGACCTGCATTCATCACATTCCAGCGAAGGACACCTAGCCGAGCCCTCAAGCTTGAAATGTTTACTATAAATACGAACTCTAACTGCAGTGAGTCTATTGACTAACACCTTGAATTCAAACTCATGCGTACGCTTCGAGGTTGCAAAAGACATCAGATGATGGGAAAACTCTAAACTTAGAGTCAATGTCTCTACACTCATGTTCCATCGATTAGTCTTTGACATCTCTAAACAGCTTAAATAATGATCTTTTCAAAAATCACTGAGACGCATTTCTGCTTAAACCAAAATAACTCCAGACATTCGAGACAGATTTGTTTTTTGTGGGCATTATCAAGTCAACCTTCCGAGGGACTTGGAACATTCAAATTTAACAGACATTGGTGTTGTTGTTATTGTAGATCGGTATTTTAAACTGGACTTGACATTAAATAACAATAAAGTTGTCACCACCTGTCTGACTTAGAGTAAGAAAGCGTAATTCGATGTCCATGCCAAAATAGACCCATCCTCGGTCACACAACACCCCAAGAGCCTGCCGTGTGTTTAAAGCTTAAAGCTGAACAGCCAGACAGAAATACGGTTGTTCATATTTCACCTTATTTTTGAAAACAACAACAAAAGCTGCCTTAAAATGTATGACTTTGTTAACTTTTGCTGCTACAAATAAGCTAAATTTAAAAAAAAAGTTGTAATAATTCACTTTAAGGACTTGACTTTGTTGTTTGGCAAAGTAATCATCCTCACAAATACCAAGCAGCTGACTGTGCGTATGTCAACATAACAGCAGTGTTGTGACAGGCAGAGCGGTTCCAGCTTGTGTCATTTCCAGATACAAAGCCACAAACAAATGTCTAACAGGTTGCCTCAAAGCTGATTCACTCATGCTGAGATTATTATTGTCACTGCAGGCATTAAAACAGAGGGGGATTTCCGGCCCTGCATGCAGTACGTACCCTTTTCATTGCAGTGTAGTTGGGGATAGAGACCGATGATGTAGGACCTGAGAATGAGCTCAGGCAGAGTTAGCAGTCTCGGGGTGTGAGTCTATTTTTAACTGCCGTCCCCCGCAAGTACAAAGTCAGCTACCTGATCTTGCAGACATGTGCCGATCTTGAATATTCAACACTTGATATCCATATTTACTGGCTGTTTTAAGTCGTGGCCTACTTTACAGTGACTCCAATAAAAATTTTCACTCAAAGTTGTTAAACAAATTAATTTAAGAAATTTTTACAAAGTCGAAGTCGAAGCTTAGAGTTTACACCTCAGTCAAATCAGTCATTTTCTTTTTCCATCACAATTAGAGAGAAAAAAACTCAGACACTGTTGTTGTTGAAGTATTATTCACTACAGTAACTCACTCAGTTGAGTTATGTGACATTCATTTACCATTTCCTGACTATTACGCAGAAAAAGAGTCAACAGAAAACAATCCAGACTAACTACAAGCCATATTTCAAGAAACAACTGCATATGCTGGTATTTACAGCTTTTTAGTTTGCACTACAGAGAAACAGAACCTGGAGGTGTCTAAAAGTTAAAATCAACCGTTTTAAAAATAGTTCATGTTGTCTTAACTTTAAATTTTCACGGAGATATTCAATGTTTATTGTCTTTTCCTCATCTGTTCATTGTTGTGAAAGACTATGGATTGGGGAAACCTGCAGGAATCAGGCAGGCAAAAGCTGATACCATAAAACTATCTCCTAGTCAGGGCTTAATTTGTAAATCCTGAGGTCTCAGAGGGCTGTCAGGGTCAGGGGCGAAATGAAAAAGCCAGAAGAGCACAGAGTCTGAGGCACACTATTTACAATAATCACCAGCTGGAGAGAAGTGCATACAATAAGCTGTTTTAAAGTGTGCATCTCTTGCTGATTG